TGTTCATATAACTTGAATATGTATTTTAATGAATATATTACAATATTATTTAATTATAATATAATATATAAATATTATAGAAATTGTAAGAATGAATTGATGAGGTGAGGTGAAAAACTGAAATAAATTAAATGTGTAAATATTTCTGATTATACATAAAGAGTATATAATATTTTATTATTATTATTATAAATAGATTATACATATATTTTTTGTTGATAAAACAAAAACATGCATAAATGTAATGGACGGTCGAGAGTATATTTTATGATTATGTTGACTTGAAGTTTGGTTTTGATTTCTTTAAAATTTAATATCGTTATGTTATACTTTTTTGTTTCACTTTAAAGTATCGTTTTTTTAAGTTTTACAATATATTAACAAGTAATAGATTTTAATGGTTAGTAAAAGTGTATAGAGTTTTGATATTTTTGCTATTTTGATTTTAATTATAAATTAATTGTATATATAATGATGTATTTGTAATTTTGGTAAAAATTTATAATATTTTAATATTAATGTATAATCATTTTTATTAAAAAATAATACTTTTAATTGGAAGATAAAAAATAATAAAAAAATATTTTAAATTAAGACAACATAAGTAAAATTTAGTGTAATTTTTTTAGACAATTAAAAAAATATAAAATACTCACTCCGTCCCACTTATCATGTCTATGTTGCCGTTTCTGTCCGTCCCACATCTCATGTCATTTTCATTTTTTGGAAAATTGAATCACCCATCTTAATCTTATTTTCAATTTTCTAATTAATTTTTTTTTAATTTTAATTAAACTAATTAGTTATTTTAATCTTAATAATAATAATTTATCTCTGTCCCTTGACCATCTATCCATTTTTTCCATCTTGGTCTCTCCCAAGTATCTATTTCCTTTTTTTTTTTTTTGGTTAGTAATTGTACTATATACATAACATTACAAATATCCTTTTAATTTACAATATATTACACAAATGTCATTACCTTTATATTATACAATACTAATATAGTTAATTTAGTCTTTTTACCTTTAAAGCAAATGAATATATAGATATGGGAAAGATGGAGTATAAATTAATTATTTTCAATAATACATTCTTAATTATCTACTAATTATATTTATTCTAAATTTTCGTGTCTATCGTGACCAAAACACCCCCACGTGGGACCGAGGTAGTACACTATAGCAGTGGGTAGAATAATCCCTTTAAAAAAAATTGCAAGTAAATAAGTCAATTATAGACTCATGAAAAATGTGAGGTTTGATTTGGCTAATAGCTAATAAATCAAAGAAAATAAAATTAGAATGTCTATAATCACAATTATTATATTCCGATTAATAACTCATTTCAAAGCTAGTTAATTTATCATTCTTGAAGTCTAAATTATATATATATATATATATATTTTCATAAAATATCTATTCAAGTCAAAATATACCTAATAATAATAATAATAATAATATAAAAAAAATATATTTTTAAATATTATACTCCCTCCGTCTTAGACGAATATATCTATTTGAATTTTTATAATAGAGTAAAAAATAATAATCTTTTGTCTTGATTGAAAGTATCTTTTTATTTTTAGTAAATTAAAAAATAATAGTAATATTTATTAATTAATTAGTAAAAATATATAAAACAATTTTGATATTTTGTCATTGCAAGTACAAAAAAAGAAAAAATAATAATAAATACTTTTGTATGAATTAGGAATATTTTGATATTTATAAATTATATTTACTATAATAGGAAAAAAAATTAATTTTGAGCATGGCACACATAAAAATGAAAAAAAATGATACATTGAACAAATATTTTATTAATCAGTGGAAATATAAAATTCTGATATTTTTGTCATTTTTACTTTATGTATATATGTAATGATATATTTTTGTAATATATGTAAAAATTAAAATATTTTTTTATTAATATGTAATTCTTTTTAATATATTAAAAAATTGATACTTTTGAATAAAAATTACAAAAAAAAAAAAAAAAAACTACTTTCAATTACAGAGAATGAGCATAAAACATTTAATTTAGTCCACATTTTAGTTATTGTTGAATAATATAGGTGTGTTTGGTTGTTCAGTGAGAGGCCCAATGACAACAGATCTCCGATGGCAATAGTGTGTTTGGTTTATACTTTAAATTCAAATGAAGAGTGAAAAAAAATATCAAAATATCAAAATATCAAAAATTATATGTACCGTATCAAAAAATATTGAAAATATTAATATTTTGGTATGCAAAAATTTCAGCATACTCTAAGGAACTTTTTTGGTATAGTAATGGTATATAAATAAACAAATATATCTTGTAAAAAATAAATGTATTTATATACATATTTTATTTTTTCTAATTCAATTTATGCCCATTGTGTATAAATATATATTATTTATTTATTATATAAAAATTATAAATTTAATTTTGTTCATATTAAATATACTCTTTTATTAAATATTCAAAACATTTTTAAAATTATTTTTAAGTAAATTTATATTATATCATTCCGTTATTAATAAATCAAATATCTCATTTTGTGAGATAATTAGTGTTTTTTATTGCAAGTACTGTAGATATTGAATAATATGGAAAATTTGTATATAATCAATTTGTGATATGGAAAGTTGGTAACATATTTTCTTATAATTTAAAAATTTTATAAGGTTCTCATGCTGTATAAAAATATTGCAAAAATTTTCTTAAAAATTGAATGATTTTTTTTTATCTCTTATTCTAAAGTATTACATGTAATCTCTTACAAAAAAATTTTGCGCAATATTTTTGAAAATATAAGAAAATTTAATGTAATTTATAAATAATGAAGATTTTTTATACCACATAAGAATTATAAATACCTTTGCGGAGTAATATTGATTTGAGTTATTAAGTATAAATCAAACATAGAGTTTCTTTGTTTATAGAGTAAACTGTTTTTCTAATATTGTATTTGACCCATTTATCATTTTAGAAGTTTAACTGGACCATATTTGAAAATAGTTTCGTAAATAAAAAAATTTCACTAAAATGATTCTCCAGTATCGGATTCGTCATGCTGGCATGTTGTTGCTGACGTAGTATTGACGTGGCAGACATGTCATCTCCATGTAGATGTCATATTAGCGACACGGGGTATATTTTTTTTATTTTACAAAATTTATTGATAAACTATTTTTTTAGTACCGTATATGATGTCTTTTATCATTTTTAAGATATTTAAATGGATTATGTCCTGAAAATAGTTCTGTAAGTAAATTTTTTCCTCTAAAATAGTCTTCCGACGTGACGTCTACATGACAATGACATGTTAGTCACGCCAGTGCCACACCAGCAACGGCTAGCCAGCGTGGCGAGTTCAGCACAGGATGATCATTTTAGTGAAAAATATTTACTTACAAGACTATTTTCAAGCACGATCCACTTAGGGTGTGTTTGTTTGGGTATTTGGATTTTGAGTTGAGATTTGAATTGTAAAAATTTAAATTTGAATGGTAAAAATTTGAATTTGAATAGTTGTATGATGTGATATAAATAGGTGTTGATGTGATGTTTTAAATGTAAAATTGATTTTTAGTATAATATAAAAATAAAACAAATGTATTTGATTTGATGTTTTTAGAGAAAAAAAATGAGATGAATATATATTTAAAATCAAACCCCTTAAACAAACCCTTAAAGTTCTAAATGATAAAGAATATTAAATACATAACTGAAAAAACAGTTTGCTTATAACTAGCATCTTTCTTAGGACATCATATTAAAAAGAAAATTATACTATTATTATTTTTTATAAAATATGTTAATAATTCTTAATAGTTAATAATAAAAAATTTTAAACACTAATATATTAATAATTTTTAATAGTTAATAATAAAAAAATTTTAAACACTAAAAACTCACCATTTATATTGAGTATCAATTCTTGATTGCATCTAAACCACCGTTCAAACTTTAAACCAAGGGTTTATTTACTTGGCCTTCGTGTTTAAATATCATTTGGATTTGATTTTCAATGATAAAAAATATATTCCATTCGTCTTATTTAAGGGTTTCATTTATTTTTTCTATCATTGTACGTAACATTTAAAATATTTTTATATTTATATATTTTTTTCCACAAATATCACTTTAGTAGTATTACAAAACAATAAAAATATTTTTGTCATTTTTTTTTAATTTGTACAATGTTTTCATATAATAATTAATATTCAAATATCAATATAAAAAAAAGTAAATAAAATCTTTAAAACCGAAGGACATAATATATATTTATACTTGAATAGTAAAAAATAATAATAATAATAATACTTTAAACTAGTGTGTTCTTTTAACAGAAAAAATATATATATTTCCAAAAATATTAATGTATCACGTATATTCATTATTTTTTTATATTTTTACCCAATTCTCCGCTTCATGTAAAATAATTCTCCTTTAAATTATCTCACATAACAAAAATATTAGAATCACACACAGAACACAAAAATAAATGTAAATACAAATCAAACATATACTATTTTTTTCTTAAATAAATATCTCATTTAATATTTATTTTTCATTCAATTATTTTATAGAAAAAGCTAATCTAAAATGTATTAAAGGTGTATTGCCCTCCTTTTTTTTTCAATATTTTATAATAAATTGATAATCGTTCGGGGGTAATTATTTATTATTTATTTATTTTTTTTATGTGATCTACAAAAATTATGTATAGTCTATTTACAGTAAAATATTTTATTCATTTGGAATTTTATTACTCCTATTTTTATAAACAATATCAATTTATTATTATTTTTTATATTTATCTCATTTTTTAAATTATTTCTTTAATAAATTTTTGATGATACTCTTACTTTATTTTTTTATATCTACTATACTTTTTATATTAAAATATTATTATTATTATTATTATTATTATTATTATTATTTCATTTTCATACACAATCAAACAAACATAAATATCCCGAATCAAGAAAGTATAATATTAATAAAAAAACAATTAATAAAAAAACAAGTATTAAATTAAACAATTTTTAAAATACCCTAGAGTGTTACAAATTTAAAAAAGAAAAGTTAAAACAAAAATTTCATATAAAAATAATTTCAAAAAAAATAATTGACATAATTATTGAATAGCATACGAGCGCGTACAAACCATCTCTAATGCTTCGGCTATCAAGGTCGAGAAGCTTGCGGTGGCGTGAAAAACACCCGGCAAGCCGGTTTGTATGTTGTTCAGCGTCATCGCTCGGGTCACCTCGACCGCCTTCGAGTGTTTAGCTATTTCGTCGTCCACCCGTCGTTGGCATAGCGCAAGCTCAGCCTTTTTCTCGGCTAACGGGTCCCGTGTGTCCAATGCTCGTCCGTTATCATCGCCGGGAGGTTCCACGCCGACCAACGAGTACGAGTTGTAATACTTCTTCTCGATGGATCTAATCGAGGATTTCTTTCTCTCGAGCTCCTTGGCCGCGGCTTCGCCTCGTTTTTTTATCTTTACTTCCTCCGTTTGCTTGGTAAGTATCGAGCTGACGACATTGTCGAAGCTCTTGATTGCTTCCGATGCGACGGTATCGGGCACGCGGTCGAGCGCGAGTCTCCACTCATCGAAGAACGCTAGAACCTCGCGGAAGTCGTTTTGGGCATTGCTTGGCTCGACGGTTACGGGAAGGAGAGTGAGTTTGAACCATCCGTAGAGGGCGCGTATAAAATCGCGTTGGAATTTTATTAGACGGCAAAAACTCGAGTGCCACGACGATATCGCGGACTCGAGATCGCGGGTTGCTTGAATTTGCATGTCGGAAGTCGCCGCCCCAGTTTTGGCGGTTGTGGCGACGAGACCTCGGACTTGTTGCACCACGTCGCTTTGGATTACGTGAGATTGGTTCATCGATCTCCACATGTACATAAACCTATATTCGAAATAAAATTGTTTACGCGCACGATTAATCTTTGTAATGTAGCGCGTCGAGTTTAATTATTCAAAGTAAACACAGCCTCGTCAGTGGAACCGTACCCGTGACATAGCTCGACGAGTTGAGGAACCAAGTCGGAGTCTCGTAGCCCAACAATGGCAATCGAAGTAGACGACACGGCTTGAGATGTAACCGAAACCAAAGATTGCAACTTCTTTATTGACGCCTTCGTCTTTACCAATTTAGCTTCGTCTTCGCCGCGATACTCTTGGGCTTGAAGTACAGATAGTTTTTTCTCGTGCGCGAATTTAACACCTTCTCGAGCCTACAACAATCGAATTGCGCGCTGATTTATTAATCTAATCGACAATGAGTTTAAATGAATGAAGGGTATCTATTACCTTTACTTCTTGATACAATTTCGTCTCCCACGCCAAGAGACGGTCCAAAGACGAGCATAGTCCTCTCGGACCGCCACATTGTTCGATCGAGCTCATTTCTAAGCGGTACTTGACCGTCAACGGAGGTTTCGATGTCCAGGTCGAGGTCAGGGAATTTAGTATTCCGTTAGAATGAAGGATTGTTTCTGTAAAATAATGTCCAAAAAATTATTGTAACAATGTAGTATGAACTCAATGTAAGAAACAGGGCATTCTTGTAATGCTGACTTACTTCTTAAATGCTTGAAGTTCCGGTCCAGCTGGGCCCGGCCCGATTCGAGAATCTCGGAGACCGGATCGCCGGCTGAAGCAGCCTTGTCGAAATGCTCCTTGAGGGCCGATGCAATCTCCACCAGATTTTGATGCCTCACCACGATTTGACGGTCAGGATTCGCCGTCGATTTTCCGATCCGACGGTCAGGATCGGACGCCTTTTCCCAGGCTACGGTTGATCTACTATCCGATTTGTTGGAGGATGAGGTTTTCCGGTAATCAGACCGGCGGCGGAATTCCGATGCTCCTTCTTCTTCTTCGTCGTCGGAGGATTTGGTCGAACTGCTGCTTGTGGTACTGCTGCTATGATTGTCGTGGTCTCCCCACTCGCTGCACTGCAATTCCTCTCTCTCAGTCGACGACGACTCCTCCGGCTCGCTCCCCCAATTTCGAGAACTCCGGCGGGCGTGGATTCCGGCGGAATTGCGTGAGTTGGATGAGTGATTCGATGCTCGATCGTCGAATTTGCTGTGAATCGACGAATTCCGGCGAGGAAATCCAAGGTCGCGAACGATATCCATGTCGTCGGCGTCGGAGTCGGTGTAGTGATGACTGTACTTGAAGTTAGGGTTGGCGTCGTCAATGAGAGGTTCAGATTTCTGTGATTTATCAAATTGGTGGAAGAAATCGGAGCCCGGCGGCGATGGCGGAGGGTAGAAATGGTCCCAATTCCACGTCGACGACGCCTGAGAAGGGGTGGTCGCGTACGTCGAGTATGCCCTAAAATTGGACTCGAAATTGGGGATAATCGGCGGCGGGGAGGAGGATAAGCTCGAATCGGAGAGTATATGGGGAAGCTTAATCGGCTTCCGCCGCCGGCGCGGCAGCTCCGGCGGCGGCGTGTTCGGAGAAAATGGAGGAGGAGGTGTCGTCGGGGCGTGGTCGGAGACAGGCTCGCCGTGGGCGAACGTGAGGAGCGCCGAGCCGGTGATGCGGAGGGAGCGGCAGTAGTCGGAGTGGGCGGCGGCGAGGTGGTGGCGGGCGTGGACCGCCTCCTTCATGAAGCGGCGGCGGTCCTTGCACCGCCGGACGGCGTCGTCGGCGTCCAGCTTCGACGGCGTGCAGCCCATCGCTTTTCCGGCGATAATTTATTATTATTATATTGATATATTTAATTAATTTTTGGAAGACACTGTATAGTGGTAGTTAGAGTGATTGAGGTAGAACGATGATGTCCATCATGTGCCTTTGTTGCACTTGGCTTGGCTACTTAAAGAAATTGGTTTCTAGTAATCATCAGATACTGCCAAAATTAATTTTGTTGTCATTACAGTTTTACGATTATATTTTTTCATTAGCCAATATTTAGGTTGTCATTATTATTGTCGTGGTCCTGTCATCAAGTTCAAGGAAGCCTTCAGGACCTCAGCTCCAGATGGATTTTGGGACTATGGGAATCCACTCACTTTGCATCGTGTCGAAAATAATATTGAAAATATCTAAATTTTGATATAAAAAAATATCTTATTAAATTTTGATATATACTAAAGTATTAAATCATTTTAATTTCACTATTTCATTATATATCCCAAAAAGAAAATTTTGCATATTATTTTTATATTTTAGTATTTAACATATTAATATACATTAATAATTAAATATATTATATCAAAATTATTATTTTTAATTTCTTTTAAAATTTATAGAACTTATATTTCATTTTGAGAATTCAATATAAAATGATATATATCGATGCCCGAACAATTTAGTCTATTAAATTATAGATACAGTACAATATACAATATTAAAAGTAATGATATTTCAAAATATCATACTCCCTCAGTCCCGCAAGAATGTTGCTATTTAGTTTTTGCGTTATTGTACTTAACATTAAAAATATCTTTATATTTGAATAATTTACTCGACAAATATCATTGTATTTGTATTATAAAAGACTAATAAATATATTTTTGTCTTTTTTTTTCTTGATTTCTACTGTGTATTAATTAATATTTAAAGATCAACACGCAAAAAGATCATGACAATCTTCCTGCGGGAAGGAGGGAGTATTAAAAATTTTAATACCATATGTACTACTTTAAATTTTGATTTGATTTGGCAATGGGCAAAATCCCCATTGATGAGGTAGGCGATGAGGTTCGTGGAGTAGCTGAGAATTATCTGCCTTGAAGATGATGGGTGTAATAATTAAAACACTTATTGAAACTTATATTCCAAGAAATTTTGGTGGAAATTATGGGTGCGGTCCATATGTAGTCAACAACAAAATTATTTATCCCACTTAGACGAGAGAAGATGCTCGACCGAGAGAGCAGCTCCGTTTAGACAAAAGTCTTTAGAAATTTTTGAAAATTTTAAAAAAATAAATAAATAATTATAATTTAATTCGATATTTTGTAAAAAAACTATAATCGATGAAATATTTTTAAAAAAATATAGTGTAATAATAGACGTTGTATAAATTATTCATATGTGCTGTTTGTTTCATTTTATATGTATATTGTACTAATATAATTAGTATGTTGAAATCAATTACTATATCATATAAAAATATAGGTCATTTGCCATGGTTCGCCTAGTATGATTTGTCTATCGGGCCTAATTTACAGGGTATTAGATTCGGACGGAATTTTTACCCAGTGCGCACTTTCGGGTAGCGACCGCGGGTTCCCATGTCATTAAAACAAAAAAATACTCAGTTGGTTTGTGCGCAAATTTTAATGTGATATGTATTTTTTATATTTTAAAATAAAAAATCGAAAAAATTACTTCTTCCATCCGAGTTAATGTGTCCGCGTTAGACATGATAATTTAAGTAAAATATAATTAATAAATAATTAAGAAATATATTAGTAAATTTAATTATTATATAATAAAAATAATTATAGATTAAAATAAATAAATAGTTTAATTAAAAAAATTATAAATTATAAAATATAAAATATGATTAAAGTGTATAATTATATTTCTAAAAGATGAAATAACAAATTATATTGAACGAATGAAAAAAAATAAAAATAAACACTTTATATAGAATGAAGGGAGTAATATTTTTAACATTAGTTCTACCAATTGTTGCCAAAAATAATAATTTTTGATATTGCTATTGGTAAATGAATAAAATGTTTCAAAAAGTTTAGATAATATTTGAAGTAAAAGAATTTATTTAGTTTTGATTTCAAAATTAAATTTTTATTATTTAATTGGTACGATTTAAAATAAAAATGTATTATATTTTCTTAATAAAATATAAATAAAAAATTTAAATCAAAACCTATCAAACAAAGCTAAAAAGTAAAGAAAGAAAACATAGACCCCTACTTTAATGAACTGTATCTTTTTTTTATTATTATTAAATTTATATGATATGGAAACTAACGGCCGTTATTCCAAAGTGTGCACTAGGTTGAACATCATTTTTATTTATTGGGAAAATGATATAGGTTTAGAGATTAGAGAATTTTACAGGAAAAAATCAAGAAAACTTCATAAATAATATGTGTATGCAATATTAGGATTTTTATTAATTTTATATAATACTCTCTCTTTTTCAGATAACTTACCTTAAACATTGGAATTTAGAAAGAATATCATTAATAAATACTTAAAAATATATTACTAAAAATAATTAGAATACAATACAAATAATTATAAATTAATATTACAATAACTAATTAATTTAATTACAATAAAAAATTAAAAACCATTCCAACAAATTAAGACCATCTTCAATTAAGTTTGACACATATGATTCATCTCGCTTGATTTTATTTACAAATCTAGCAGTACATATATATGATTAAAAATCCTTGTATACCATTGAATAATGAGATAATAAGTATGATTAGACTCTTGAGTAACAAAATATTTCATTAAATTTTAATGCAATATACTTGATTAAAAGATATATTTTAAATATTTTTTTAATTCAATATGAATATCATAATAAATAAGATATATTTAGATATGATTAGGATAAGTTGAAATTTTTAATATTTATATTTATTTATTTATTTAATAAATATAACAAATAATATATTACGAGTAAATCTACTTTTAAAAAATTGAGAAAATATAAATAAGATTGAGTGCACTAAATTCTAAACCCTAAACCCTAATCATTTCCTTTTTGTTACCAAAAGAGGCATTGAGAAGGAAAAAAAAAAAAAAAAGAAAAAAAGAAAAAAATCATAAGTAAAAGTATTTTAGTCCAAAAGTGGTTGAGTGTGATGAAGAATATAAATTCTGACAATATTATAGATTAATATTATTAATGAAATTACGAATGAGCCCCTTAAACAGAATATCCATAAAGACCTTTCTGTTTTTCTTTTTAATTTCTAAAAAAGATAAAATGCCAACATGAAAATAATAAATAGCATTTTAAAATTTATACAGATTTTTTTTTTTAATTTTTTAATTAATCGGAAACTTATACCGAAATTTAAAATTATAATTAGGTGTTTCTATACAATTTTAGTAACAGTTTTATAATCTCTAATAAATAGAATCGTAAATATAAATAAATTATTATTTTTTTTCATAAGGATCTAAACAATTAAAATATTTTAGTAATTAATAAAAAAATTCGAATGAATATTATTAAAAAAATATTATTAATAAAAATATAATAGCTTTGTTTACCCAATATTTTTGCATAAAATAATTTTTTGTGTGATACGAGGAATTGTGTCAAAAATATAAACTATATTACTCTCTCCGTCTCATAAGAATGATACAATTATCCATTTTTGTCTGTCCAAAAAAAATACCATTTTTTAATTTAGTAATTGATTACCTGCCAAACATAATTAATATTTTTACAACTTTTAATATATTTCACAAATGTCATTACTTTTTTTATTACACAATCTAATATGGACATTTTTGTCTTTTTCACTATAAACCAATCTAATAATAATATTAAAAAATTTACATGCAAAAAACAAATGTTACTATTTTTGTAGGACGGATGTAGTATTTTAAATGAATATTTGACTTTTTGTAATGACTTTTGTATTTTGATTTTTGTATAAAATAGAATGTCTTTTACTCCTCAACGATCTATCCATTTTTTCATTTTGGTCAACCTCATAACAAAATATAAATTTTAGTAATTATACTATTTACTTAACATTACAAATATTCTTCCAATTTACAATATATTATACAAATGTCATTATTTTTATATTATACAATACTAATAAAATTAGTTTAGTTTTTTTACATTTATTTCTAATGCATCCCAATATAATATTAATATTTTTAAAATTTCGTGCAAAAAGTAAACAGATAGATAGATATGAGACGAATAGAGTATTATCTTTTGGGAATTGCAATTGAAAAATAACTCTAGAAGAACATATCGAATGTATACTCCATCTAAATTATTTTTTCCGAGTGCACTCTGGATAAATCTCAGCCAAGTTTAATAGCATGCAAATGGACTCTCATTCCACGTTTTTTTTTTTTTTTATATTATTATTATTTTTATATGGAAATTCACAATTGCTACTTTTCAAGTGCGTTTTGAGTAAGCTCTCAATTGAACTTAATAGTATGCAAACTGACTCTTTTCCTTCAAGAATTCGCAGTTCCTACTATTCGAGTGCGATTTGGATAAATCTTCAATCGAGTATACTAGCCTTTAATTAAGTTCGATAAGATAAGTCACACTGAGTGAATCATCGTTGCAGACAAGAACGTGAAGACATCATAGCACATAGGAGAAGAAGGAATAAATTTAAGAAAGTTGACATTCCAACATTACTATTGCATATTTACATTGCATCTTGCATTTGGATTCCCCTTTAATCCCCTTTTTAGTTTTTGTCTAAATAAAAAATAATAATAATTCAATTCAATTCTTTTAAAATCTTTTCCTTTAATATGTGTTGATCTTTGGAATCTCAACCATAGATCGATCCCGATAAAAGGATGTTCCAATGTGAGTGAGGAAAGACATTGTTCTATCTATGTCACGTGAAATTAAAATAAAAAAGAAATACGTTATAAATAAAAATAATAAAAGAAATAACAATATGCATAAAGAAAACAAACATTAGTGGACGTGAAAGTTCAAAAATAAAAATAAAAAAATGGTTGAAGTTTGTGAAAGGGTACTTTTTCATCCTTTTCCATCTTCCCATATCTTCTTCTATTCTATTTAATAGTGCTATTAGGTTGAACCACATGTTAATACGAATATACTATGGAATATTTTTTATTTAATATTGTCTCATATTTTGTTCAACTTTAGCTTCAAAAGGTTTTTAAATTATTAAAATGTATAACATGAGAAGATTATATAGAAATTTTTATTTGAATTTCTTATATAAATCTAATGAATATGTATATATTAAAAATTACTCACAATCAGTAAAAAATATATACTCATTCCTTCTGTATCATAAAAATTGTTTGTAGACACAGCATTTCAAGAGAAGTATAATTAGTTAATAACTAGAAAATGTATCAATAAATTATTAGTATTATTTTTTTTATAAATTAAGATTACTATAACTAAATAGTTTATTAAAATTAAATTTTTTTATAAATGATAACCTTTAATGTAATTAAAATATATAATAATTATTTTTTTTTTTAAATAAAGAACAAATTACATGGAACAAACGAAAATAAAAAAAAAAAATAAACATTTTATATAGAATAGAAGGAGTATCAATTTGTGACAGAGAAATGAATATCCCTCGCAAACAAATTTGCAACAAAAATTTTAAAATTAAACTCCGGAGTCGAAGAAATGATTTAGCATGTATTAAGCATTACATTCCATTCTATCTCTACTTATGGTGAAATCAAAATTCAATAATAATAATAATAATAATAATAATAATAAAGGTGAAAGGGAAATATTAGAAGACCAAATTAGATGAGGGACATGCAAGAATTTTACTTTTCCCCGGACGACGACCCATGCATGCAGATAGAATCGACACTCTTTATATATATAGAAAGAAAAGAATATAAAAGAAATTGGTCCCTACCACGGCTGCCTTGCTTTCGCAAGCACGAGGCCAGTTAGCTTTTCTAAGATGCCTGCCTGCCCGCCGCGAATGGATAAAATACGGTCTAATACATACATATACATATGCATATATATTTATATAATCGAAGGAAATTAGTGTGCGTTTTTCTTTTGTTTTAAACCTCCGCTCTACAAACTCAATTGTGCAGTTTTCTGAATAAAGAATAGACATAGTATGCAATCCGTTACTTCATACATAAATAAACCTGTTATTTAACTAACAAATTAGGAGAATTTTCAGTTGCCATTTCTAAAAAATACAAAATATTTTATACAAAAGTAAAAAATTCAAAAATTTCAAATACTCATTATAATTAAAAAATCACTACAAAAAGTCAAATATTCAACATAAATTAATATATTTTATATTTTTGATACAATTCTTCGTAATACACATACCGAAAACCATATTATTTAAAAATGCCAGGCGATCGTACGGACAAATTACGAGAATTTTCAAATGCGATTTCTTAAAAATTATAATAAAAAATATAAAATATTTTATACAAAAATAAAAAAAAGTCAAATATCTAACTCAAAATAATATATTTTATATTTTTGATACAACCTATATCACATACCAATAATCATATTATCTAAAAATGCTTGGTGAATGAAATCATTATATCTAATAGTGAATTTTTTGTACTCCCTCATTCGTCTAATTATATGTTCAAATATTTGAAGCCACCGTAAGGAATGATCTATAGGTGTGGGGGTTGGACGTATGACCGCGAGATCATCGCCTAATTTGCAGGGTATTAGGTGTTAAGAAAAATGAAGACATTTTTTTAATGACAACTTTAAAAAAAAATAACATAAATTTGTATAAAAGAAGAATTAATAGATAATAGACCATAGTTATTAGGGTAATAATTCATATTATTATTCAAAATACTTGTATTATATTTGGTTGTTATTCAAATAAAATTTACTATCCTGATAAATCTAACGTTCTACCATTCATCTAGTTTTAAATCTATTGCAATCATAATAATAAGAAATTTTACACACTAATATAGCCATAGTTCTCTTTCAAATGAGTATTACCTCCTTATATTACAATATTTAAAAGAGTTTGTTCTTTTTTTCTTTTTTATTTTTTTCTCACATATTTTTTTTTTTCAAAAATTAATATATTATACACATTCATTATTTTTATATTTTATATATAATACTACGCACAAAAAATATATCTTCAAATAATTTTTACAAAATAAACACACCCTAGGTGTCTCAAACTTATCAATTAATCATAATGAATAAACAGTAACGGAACTAGCCCCTAACGGGGCGAACGGTTAATTTTCGACATTTTATTTCAACCGATAGTTTAGCTTATTTCACTACTATTAATTCAACACAATTTTATCTTTTTTTTTACACTAAAGTAAAAATTATAAGGAAATAAATTAAAAAATAAACGGAAAGAAGAAAAAATAGAAAAAAAAAATGATAAAATTGTAGTGTAACATTTAGAATAAAAAATTGTGTTTTTTATATTAAACATTTATAATAAAAATTATTATACTCCTATATTATAAATTAAAATAATGTATTTAAGGATAAAATAGAATAAAAATTTTTAATTAGTAGGGGCAAAATTACATAATTAGATTAAAAAAACTTATTCTTACTTAAAAAAAAAAAAAAAAATTTAAGTTTGGGGGATAACTGCACCTAGTATCTTTACTAGGTCTGTCGCTATGAATGAATATCATGTTTACTCTCGGTCAACTTAAATGATTTTTTTTTTTTTAAAGTAAATAAATGTGTACACAATGGTATGCCATAATAGCAAAACTAACAAAGAGTTCATGGAACCAAGTTTTATAGGCACCATATGATCCTTAAAACTTTTAAGTGGCATACTTTTAGTCAATGATCGCAAATTATTGATTTTGTGTCAATGTATTTAATGACCATTTTATTTCCTTTAAGACATTCTTCATGGTCAAGCATTCAATATCGATATACTCTCTCCAAATATTTATTTGCTTTTACATATAAATTTTTTAATATTAATATTCTTTCCGTCCGTCTATGGTCACATTTATCTTTTGTGTTATTGTATTTAATATTAAAAATATTCTTATATTTGTATAATTTTTTTTTTTGTACAAATGTCCTTCTATTAGTATTATAAGATACTTTTGTAATTTTTTCTTAATTTGTACTACGTTTTAATATAATAATTAATATTTTAAAGATTAACACGCAAAAAGTAAATGAAACTCTTATAGGCAGACGAAAATAATATTATATAGTACATATCAATATAAAAGGACTAAAATACTCTATTATGTAATATAAAAATAATGATATTTGTGTAGTAAAATATATTATAAATAGTACGAGTATTTATAATATTAAATATGTAGTACAATTATTAAAAAATGCTTTATCTTGAACGGACGAAAATAAAAAAAATAAAAATCTTCTTTTGAGACAAAAGATGTACTCTACTGTTCTTGACCATAATGCAACAAATTTATCACTATACAGTTTAATTGGCCTAAAGATACTATTAATTTTTCTAAGCTACCGTATGAAACTCTTTAATCATAGTACGTGGCTTCAAGTTAGAAACAAATCTAGTTTGTTTATGATATGAAATTTTGTATCTTGAAGTACTTTGAGTGTATTCCTTTGAAAAACCTACACATTTTTTTTTATCAAACTATTTCAAAAAATAAACACATCCTTTATCACTTTACTTGAAATTTTCCGTGGTCAATACTTGCATTGATGGTATTTTCCTAAAAGTCATTCATTGATATATTATTAAGCCTCTATGATCCTATTATTAAGCATTTATCTAATCATGACCTCATTATTATTATTATTATTATTATTATTATTATTATTATTATTATTATTATTATTTATAAATAAAACATTTTCAGTTTCAACTCCCCGAATTTTGATATATTTCGCAGTTGGGCTGGCTACATCTATAGTTTGCAAAAAGCTCCATGATCTGAATTCTACACGCAGAAGGCGCGCACCCCGCTAACGTGTGCGTGTATATATATATATATATATATTGGGCGATGTTTACAGTTTCACGATCTTTTTTGGATGGGTACGTAGGATCTTAAAATGGAGTTTGAAAGACGTCAGGCGGAGCATATAGCGAAGTTCGTGGAGCAGGCTTCGAGTCTCAAGGGCGCAGAATTGACTACAGTGATCGTCGAGGCCACTTCTGAACCCTCCTTGTTTGCTTTCTCGGAGATACTCGCCGTTCCAAACATTCTCGAGGTAATTATCGATGATATCCGCCAGAAATTGCTAGGAATCAATTAAATTAGCATTCTCTCTGTGTTCGTTACATTATATCTGATACTTATTTGTAACTCCTTACCTTTGGCTGAAATCTGTTTGGCTCGTTTTTCCTGTATATTCTGACTGAGCTTGCGTGTGTTTGTGTCTGTGTACATTTTCACAGCTGGAAGGAACTGGGAACAGTTGCTACCTTGAATTACTTCGCATCTTTGCATATGGTACATGGAGTGAATACAAGAGTAAGATTCTTTGTTTCTAGGCATCATCTCTGTTCAATTTGCTTGATCTATTGATTATCGTGTCTGTTTATCTAAACGGTTGGTATTATATGGTACTGATTATCAATGTGCTACCTTTCCTATTGGTAAACCTCTTGTATACTAGTTATTATACGAACTGCTGCATCAATGACTTCATATTATTGTCAAGGTATATTCGTATGGAAAAAAAAATTTGTGCAAACAAACTATCAAGCTGATGTGTCTGTTTTTTAGGTATTTTAATTTGCTGTAAAAATTCATCATGTTGCTAATATACATGTAAAATCTGTGTTCCTTAGTGCACCAAAGTCATAATCTAGACACTGCTTGTGCATGATAAGAGTCCTCCTTGATTTTAATTGTTGAATCTTGCTTGAAACTCATGTCAGACACTTTATGGATAATTTAGCTTTTGTTCAGTTTTAGAAGAGCATAATGCAGACATAAGACATTCACCTGAAGAAACTGTGTTCTTCATGAGTTGATTAGCATACTCTGTAGATGATTCCAAATATCTTAAAGGCTGTAGTGAACTGTTCACTATGGGGAAACTTGAGTTAGGCTTCTGGGACTATTGTTGGATCAGATCACATTCCATCAATATTCAAACAGTCAGTAAACAAGTGCATCAATCTATACATTTTGTTTGGGGCTTACTTGATAATGCTTGCATATTTCTGTAAAGATGTTGGAAGCTGTCTTCCTCAGTTGCATCCTAATCAAATCATCAAGCTGAAGCAGTTGACCCTACTTACTCTTGCAGAGAAGACTAAGGTAGTTTACATTTCATGTATGCACTGTGTAGTTACGAGAAGCGCATAGTTCTGTTTTCTCAATTCAATTTCTCTCGTGGTGTCACCTATTTAGAATGATGATCGTGTTTCTGTAAAAAATTGAATGCTGAAGTTCTAAGAAACAACAGTACACGATGAATTCTCTGAATGTATACTTAACTCTTAATTTAAATTATGGAAATTGGCTATATAATATGATAAAGCTATTGCATAATTTTGAAGTTTATGCTCTAAAACTACTATCATAAACAAATTTCCAGATTTCTGTTAATTCTTTTCTAGTGTATTCAAGGTTTTCTTGTTTGTTTTAATTGTCCTTGAGTTGCAATATTTTTTGTATTAAATATGAACCTGCCTAGATAATTCAGTTCATATTCCATTTTCACTATCTTGCTACACTTTTAAGTATGAAGTGAATGTCTTTGAAGTGCCTGCACTTTCAAGGTTGGTTTTCTCCCTCTTGATCAATCTCAGAAATACATACTCTTCTTCAGTGGTAGATAAAGATTTCTGTTTGGAACATTTATAGGCAAATACTAATTTCCTGAATGATAATGAAAAGGTAAATCACATGAGTGGATGGAAGTGGTTTTTAATCCACTACTAACTGACCAGTTCAAAACTTGTCACTTAATAAATTATTTATTAAACCATTTCTTAAATACAATATATATATTTTATTTATCTAAACAAGTTTTTCTTAGAATATCTTGAATCTTCTAAGCATTATTTTATTGGTCTTTCCCAGCTATTGCCCTATGATACATTGATGCGGGAATTGGATCTTTCGAATGTCCATGAGTTGGAAGAATTTCTCATCTGGAACAGCATCTATGTGGCAAGTGCATGCTCTTCATCCTGCAAACTTAATCACTTCTATGAGAAGCTTGCATGGGATTAAATTATGGGGCAAATTGTTTTATGTCTTCTAAATTTCCTTCTACATAAGTTCACCTCTCCTTCTTTGTTCTAGTTGATTTTTTTTCTTTCTGAGCTAATTTATTGTCTTAACATAGTAAAATATCAGACTTTTAGATTGCAGAAATCTCGTCTATTAGTCTTAATCTTGTGGTATCATGGACAGGGATTAGTTGAAGGAGTGCTGAATCAGTTGAATAGACGCTTTGAGGTCTTCTTTTTTTTTTTTTATTTTGTTTTTTTTTTTGACGCTCTGAGTTCTTGCTGCTTAACAGTTTGCAAGAACCAGTAACTTTGTAGCTTATCCTAGTGTCGATGGGCTTGTAGGTGCGATTTGCAGCAGGCAGGGATATGAAACCCGGACCTGGACAATTGGATACTATAATAGAAAAACTACAAAACTGGTAAATATCATTAACATTTCCATAATTGATGTTCTACTTGTGTTTTGAGCCTCTTAGCATCCCATGGAAATGTTTTTGTTGTTCTCGAACGTAACTGGTGGAAATGCTTATTTTATCACACTTCTCTCTCTCTCATAGTAACTAATAGCAGCACTAGGCAGCAGCATAATTGTAGCGGAACAGTTATACAAGAAACCATGATTCAGAGGCATTAGCAAATAACAATGGTTTCTTGTACGATCACAATGTCCTGGAACATTGACATGATATTGGATTTGCTTCTCATTTGTTTTTTGTTCTTGTTCTCGTTAAATTTTTTTTCAACTCTCTTCTATATCATGTTTAGATTCTAGCATTTAATATTGTATTTGATTCTTGACATCTTGTTTAATTCTTAGGAGATTCGCCTCAGCCAACATCCTTCTCTCAATTGAAAATCAATTCAAATGGATGGATTCCATGACTGAGATGGAGCACAAAACAAAATTAGATCAAATGGGGCAAGAAGAGAGAGAAGAGAAAGAAGAGAGAGAAGAGAAAGAAGAGAAAAGGACACCTCGTGGGCGAAAGGTGAAAAACAAACTAGCTTCACCTCGTGGTCGCAATATATCATTTTATCCTCTTACAATATACATATATTGACTTCTTGTGCACTTTTAATTTCGTATGTTTAACATTTCAAATAATGTGTCTGCAAGACTACGTTTTTTTCAGCACGTGTGAGAGGATAAATGAGGGTAGCTTAATCATAATCAAACCTTCGAAAAAATTCTGGATATGATGATAGTTTATATTTTATATGTTTGTAGAAACTCAAAACTCTGGAGCCCTTGCCTGATTTTGATCCTGATACAGCAAGAGTTGCGAGAATGAAAAGGAGGCTGAAAAGGAACATGGACAAGAGGTACCAATATAGTTATTTATGTTTATGCTAATGCTATGAACGTCGTGGAAGATATTGCGTTTTATATCAATCTATGGTACCATTTGTTTCTCACCTTGTTCATGTTTTGATGAGGGGATGAATATATGGACATAGCAGAGGGCGAGAAATGCATACAACTAGAATATATATATATATATATAAGATAGCATCTCTTTATCAATTATTTAAGAAATTTTATGCTGCTTCAGATGGCTTGATTTATTCATTTAACTTAAATAATGCACAGAAGGTCCACTACGTGACTCGACCACAAAACCGCTTGCTGCTCTTGGTCCGTTGTACTGACAAAACAGAATTGCTGCTCCCAAAGCTAACATGATTCCTCTGAGTTCAAACATCAGGCAATTATATACAGTTTTAGCTTGTGTTACCTTACTATATTTCCTTTTTGGCCTTGTCAAGAACCTGAAATTACTTTTGTCATAAGAGACGAACTGAAGTTTTGATGAAAAATCCATCAGCATTTTAATAGAGGCAGTGCGGAAAAATGACTTTCATGGCACATTCAGGTTAGCTTTTGTGATTTTGATGCATTTTTTAAATGGCACATAGGGTAAGAACTGCATTCTATTTATCATTCATATATAAGTTGACGGTTGAGGACGTATAAGATAAAAGAAAAAGGGTGACAACACAAGAAAGGGCGACGGAGATAGTAATCATGTGGACTTAAGGATATGAATAGCCTTTTAAGCTGTGTAAGAACGTATATTTGTGTGTATATTCATAAGATTGATATTGAACCTGATAGTGATTAAGCAAATATTGAATCTTTCGTGTTTATATGGTGAAATAATAATTTTTTCGATAGGAGCTTTCTTACCTATTCCTATAGAAGTAGCTTGCAAATGTATTCTATGTTTTAGCTCTGAAAAACATAATGATGTTTTGCATTCCTGTTGGACAAGCATATAGCTGTTACAAAGCTGAGGACATTGAAGCTGCATATGCAGATCACATTATTCTTCTCCTCTACACCTAATCCAAATTTATTCATACTCAGCTCATACATATATATATATATATATATTGTATAAGCTGCACTTCAATTCATATTTGTTGATCTCTTCTTAGTGGATCCTGCAAGGAGAGGAAAAAATAGGTCAAAATCCAGGAAGATTGTATAACTTTTGGTATGGGAATAGGGATCAGAACAATCCCCATTTCCATAACACCTGCTTATAGTTAATCCTGTAGTTTATACACTCACTTATCACAGTCCACGTCTCGGGAGATCGGGATGTCCAGCTGAACCTGGCACTTGGTCGGCAGGCTCTGAGCAGCCTCATCCTTGAGGTTGCTGTACTTTCCGGCAGCTGCCTTGACACAGCTGCAGCAGGCCCTCTTGTCGGCCAGTGTTTGCCCCAACGATTTCACAGTCTTGACGCCGCCACAGCAAGCTGCAGAGGGGCTAGCTTCCTTACCGACGAGGAAGCCGATGCAGGGCAGGAGTGCGGCATCCACCTGGCCACAAGTGACAGCCTGTCCTGGCTGCACAACCAGTTGGAATACGGCAAGAATGGCAATGACTGCTACTGCAACCTTCATGTTGTGTGAATGTAAGTGGGAGAGAGGTATGATCTGTTTATCTTGTTTTTGCTTTAAGTGTATTTGATTGATTGTGTGATGCTTTGGGGCATGCATGAGATGGGTATTTGTAGGCTGTGTTTTTGGGGGGTGTTTTGGTGAATTGAGTCATATTATCTTGAATTGCAGTTGTGCTATTTCGGCTCCTTGTAGTTGAGATGCCTTGAAATTAACTAAAGATGATGAAAATCTGAAACTGTTTTTATCATGTTGACAGGCTTGGCGCAACTATTTCTCCTTTTAAAAGGTTAGTGTTTATTTGTATCCGACTTTATTAGTTTTTTTTTTTTAATGACTAAATATAGATATTCATAATTTATTAAATAAATATGTTTTAAAAAAATAGAATATATTTTTTTTGGGTACGAGAAATTGAAATAAATATCACGCAGGATCCTCGGTCCCGGGCTTTGACCCGGTACCAGGAGTGCTACATATATATATATATACATACATGTCTGTGTATGTATTAGTGTTAATTTTGTTATAATTAGGAGTAAAAATAAAAATTGTAGTTAAATTAGAAGCAAACTTATGCTAAGAATACCGTTTATATTTAAAAATTTAATGTTAGGATTGATATCATGTTAACTACTATAAATAATTGCTTTGATTTTCTGCTTTAATAATATACTAATATTATTCAAAATTCATATTTTTAAATATAGATATATTATTTTTTTTTCAAAAGATATTACATTAAATTACTATTTAAAAAAATAAAAAATAATAAAAAACATAACTAAAACAAAAAAGAGCAAACTCATGTATTTTTTTTTTAATTTTATTTCTTTAGTATGTGTGTAAACACACACTTATATATATATTAGAAACATCCAAGTTTATTTAAATAAATATAAAACTTAAAAAATACTATCAGAGCTCATTATATTTAACATTTATTTTTACTTAAATATATACTACTATATAAATGCTCATTGCTCAGTTTATTAATTTGATTGTTATTTTATTTTCTTAATATAAATTTTATTTTTATTTTGTATTTAATATTACTTTTAATACTAGTTTTTTTTTTTTTTATTATTATGGGTGAAACAATGGATGGGTTGATTGAAATGAAAATGTTAGATATAACGTTGAGAATTATTTTAATTTAAAGTTATTTTTATTATACGATAATTATTTTTATTAATATATTTTTAATTATTTATTAATTATAATTCTTTTAAATTTTTATGTGTACATAAAAAGAACACTTACTGTAGTTGTCGGGGATGAAGTATAAAATTAGTTACACGCCTCTTCTCTCTAACAAAGTAAAAACTATGAAACAAACTAACAAATACTAGTGGCCTAAGACACTAATGTACACACATAAAAAGATGTCTTCTAGAGAAGATTTGAAAATTTTCTTAGGAACTTCTACCATACATCCCCATGAGTATCCTAACTTGTAAAACATTTTCTAAATGCATTAAGTAAAATCTAATTGTACGCAAAGTTCAGTTAAGGGTGAATCAGTACGATATACCGGAAATTATATACTGTATATCATACTCATTTTTTAATACTGAAAATTCAGTATGATAGATATGCATATCATACCGTATCGATATATCGAATACCAAAATATCAAAATCATATATATCAAAATAGCAAAAAATTTTGGTATTTCGGTATATACCAAAAATTTCAATTTGCATTCCATTATTGTACCAAAATTTCAGTATTTCTGACATTTTTCTTCGGTACGGTATAATTAAGAAAACAAGTTTAAAATAACTAATAAATATTCCATCAACAGTAAAATTAGTTCATTTCAGTTTGACACAAAAATTAAGAATAATTAATATTTTACTAAAAAAATAATAAAAATAAAAAGATAATTGAAAGTATTTCAAAAAATTTAATGAGTAATTAATGATGATAAAGAAAAAATAAAAATGGTGCAAGTGTAAATAAATATTAAATGAAAGATAATAGTTAAATATTGAAAAATTAATTTTTACCAAAATTAGTAACATACTAAATGTAATATATAAGCTAAAAAAGAAAGTATGAATAAAATTTGACGGAAGGAAAAAAAAAATTAAATAAACATATAAAACATAGTCAACCAATAAAATTTTGTACTAAATTTTCTTATGCAATTACATCTATAATTCCGACCAGAAAGTGCTCAAAACAGTGTTTCGCTAGCTTAGGGCCCATCACAATATTGCGCCAACTTACCGAGCAAAACATAATTGAATTTATTCTTTTCAAATTAATATTTTATTTTCGGAAGTATTAATATAAGACATTTTTAAATACATAGAATTATATCTAATTTCCATTAATTACTTGAAGATTTATATAATACATGTACTTTGACCTTTAGATCTACAAATATACTCACATCAATGCATAAGTGGATCTTTACCCATGCTATGAATTCCAATTAATGTATATAAAATTTTACATTCAAAGCCAATTAATCCGAATTCATAAGAAAAAACTTGAATCTCCCAAGTTCTTGATAGTGAAAGTTTCATTTAGATTGGTCTTCATCTCTTGTATTAAATGATTAAATAATTTTGGTTATAAGGATACCATCCACATATAGTGTCAAAATCAACATGACTTGATTATGCTGTTTCGATGAATAGACGATTATCATAAGAGAACTGTATAGATCCAAATTGCAGTATTGGTTTAGTGGGTTTTTATACCACACTTGGAAAGCCTATTTAAGTCCATAAAGTGTGTTCTTTAATCTACAAACTTGTCTAGGAGCTGTAGTAGGATAGTCAGATGGTGGCTTCAAATATAGCACTTTGGAGAAATGTATTAATTACATCCATTTGGTCCATACTACAATATTTACTGACAACTATGGAAGTAGTAATCAATCCAACAATCACATTTTTAGTGATTGGGGCAAAGCACTCATCAAAATCAATCTTATGACTTGGAGATATTCTTTAGCAACTAATCTTACTTTGAATTTACTAATTGTTCCATTCTTGTTCATTTTCACTCTAAAGATCCACTTATTTCAATAGCCCTCATTCCCTAAGGCATGCAAGTAAGTCAGCTCCCAAAAGTGCCACTAGTCTAAAGAGCCCTTATTTCATCTTTCATGGCATCAAACTAATGCAACTTCTGAGTTGCCTCAGCATAAGTGAGTGACTCATCAAGGTTTGGGTGTGAAGAAGAAAATTGATTAGTAAACATAGTCCTTGATCTAATATGGTTTTCTTATGTTCTTATGAAGTCTTATGGCAGTACGAATGGAGTAGACAGAATTTTGAGGAACCTCAAGACTATCCCTTGGAATGAATCAGGCCAGAGGCAGAGGATCTATCAGATGTGCTATCAATTACATTGACTTGCACTGAAGAAAATTCCTTCCCATAATAAAATACAATCAAGATACCAAACTTAGTAGTTAAACATAATTTATAGGATATCAATCCTAACATCAAATTTCTAAATATAAACAAATGCTTCCACATATCCTTTCAAACAATTTTTAGCATAATTTGATTCAACTTAACAACTATTTTTATTTTTGACTCCTAACTATATAAAAAATAACCGTAGATTTTTATGCTTTGTGTACCGACTCCTAAGTCCTAATCCCATATTTATTCTAATTTCTCGTCCTAATGCCCAAGAAAGAATCTATTCTATTTTTTTGAAAACACATTTATTTAATGAATCATGAATATCTATATTTAGTCATATAAAAAAAAATAAAGAAATGACTAAAATCCGATGCAAAGAAGCACTAACCTTTCAAAAGGCGAAATAGTTGCACCAAACCTGCAACATGATAAGAACAGTTTCAGATTTTCATCATCTTTGGTTATTTTCAAGGCATCTCAACTACAAGGAGCCGAAATAGCACAACTGCAATTCAAGATAATATGCTGAATTCACCAAAACACCCCCCAAAAACACAGGCTATAAATACCCAACTCATGCATGCCCCAAAGCATCACACAATCAATCAAATACACTTAAAGCAGAAACAAGATAAACAGATCATACCTCTCTCCCACTTCCACTCACACAACATGAAGGTTGCAGTAGCAGTCATTGCCATTCTTGCCGTATTCCAACTGGTTGTGCAGCCAGGGCAGGCTGTCACTTGTGGCCAGGTGGATGCTGCACTCCTGCCCTGCATCGGCTTCCTCGTCGGTAAGGAAGCTAGCCCCTCTGCAGCTTGCTGCAGTGGCGTTAAGACCGTGAAATCGTTGGGGCAAACGCCGGCCGACAAGAGGGCCTGCTGCAGCTGTGTCAAGGCAGCTGCCGGAAAGTACAGCAACCTGAAGGATGAGGCTGCCCAGAGCCTTCCGACCAAGTGCCAGGTTCAGCTGGACATCCCGATCTCCCGCGACGTGGACTGTGACAAGTGAGTGTATAAACTACAGGATTAACTATAAGCAGGTGTTATGGAAATGGGGATTGTTCTGATCCCTATTCCCATACCAAAAGTTCTCCCTAATTTACATAATTTCAGGGGATACAACTTCCTGGATTTTGACCTGTTTTTTCCTCTCCTTGCAGGATCCACTAAGAAGAGATCAACAAATATGAATTGAAGTGCAGCTTATACTATATATATATATATATATATATGAGCTGAGTATGAATAAAGTTGGAATGTGGATTAGGTGTTGAGGATATGCTTTGTAACTGCCAGATGCTTTGTTATAGTGCCAGCAGGAATGCAAAACATTATTATGTTTTCCATAACTAAAACACACAGCACATTTGCAAACTACTTCTATAGAAATAGGTAAGAAGCCCCTATCAAACAAATTTATTAATTCACCATGTAGGCACACATATTTAAAATTCAATATTTGCTTAATCACTATCAGGTAAATATCAATCTTAAGAATATACACACAACACAACTTAAAAAGTAATTCATATCCTTAAGAAGTACTAATATATATTTAACCACTAAAACAACTCACAAATATACCAAAATTCAAGTCCACAGGATTGTTATCCCCATCGCCCTTTCTTGTTATATGTCCTCAACCATCAACTTACATATGTGCGATAAATAAAATGCACTCAATGCAGTTCCTACCCTATGTGCCATTTCAAATGCATCCATATCGCAAAAGCTAACCTGAATGCGCCAAGAAAATCATTTTCTTCACTGCGTCAATTAAAATGCTGCTAGTTGTACACATTTCTCACCCTCTGCTATGTCTATGTATTTTCCCCCTCATCAAATTAAGAATTAAGTATACTTGCAGAGAACTCATCATGTACGGGTTTTCATTAAAACTTTAGCATTCAATCTGTTACAGAAACAAGATCATTATTCTAAATAGGTGACACCAAGAAAGAAATTGAATCATACTCTCCTCGGAACCACGCATAGTGCATACATGAAATGTAAACTACCTTCATCATCTCTGCCAGAGTAAGTAGGGTCAACTGCTTCAGCTTGATGATTTGATTAGGATGCAACTGAGGAAGACACCTTCCAACATCTTTACAGACATATTCAAGCATTATCAAGTAAGCCACAAACTAAATGTATAGATTGCTGCACTTTTTTACTGACTGCCTGAATGTTGATTGAATGTGATCTGATCCAACAATAGTCCTAGCAGCCTAACACAAGTTTCCCCATAGTGAAACATTTCACTACAGCCTTTAAGGTATTTGGGATCATCTACAGAGTATGCTAATCAACTCATGAAGAATACAGTTTCTTTTTGGTACAAATAACAGGTGAGTGTGCATTATGCTCTTTTAAAACTCTGAGAGCTAAATCATGGATAAAGTGTCTAATGAGTTTCAAGCATGATTGAACAATTGAAATCCAGGACTCATATCATGCACAAGCAGTGTCTAGATTATGGCTTTGGCGCCTAAGGAGCACAGAGATTTCTACATGTTTATTAGCAATATGACAGATTTTTAGTTCATATTAAAATACCTGAAAAAACAGAGACATTAGCATGATGATTATTTGCACAAGTTATTTTTCCATTACTAAAAACCTTGACAATAATATGAAGTCATTGGTGCAGCAGCAGGTCGTATAACAACCCGTATACTAGAGGTTTACCAATAGGAAAGGTGGAACACTGCTAATTAGTACCATATAATACCAACCGTTAAATGAACAGACAACATAATCAATAGATCAAGCAATTTGAACAGAGATGATGGCTGGAGACAGCGAATCGTACTCTTGTATTCACTCCATGTACCATATGCAAAGATGCGAAGCAATTCAAGGTAGTAACTGTTCTCAGTTCCTTCCAGCTGTGAAAATGTACGAGACACAAACACTTTCACACACGCACACTCGGAATATACAGGAATAATGAGCCAAACAGATTTTAGCCAAAGGTAAGGAGTAACAAATAACTATATGGTAACGAACACAGACAGAACACTAATTTATTTGATTCCTTGCCATTTCTGCTGGATATAATTGATAAATACCTCGAGAATGTTCGGAACGGCAAGATTATCGGAGAAAGCAAACAAGGAGTGTTCAGAAGTCGCCTCGACGATGACTCAAGCCTGCTCCACGAATCCCGCTATATGCTCCGCCTGACGTCTCTCCAATTCCATTTGAGATCCAAAAAAAATATGAAACTTAAAACGTTGCCCTATATATATACACAGACGTGTGCGGGGGTGCGCGCCTCCCCCGTGTAGAATTCAAATCATGGAGCTTTTTGCAAATTATAAATGTAGCCAGCCCAACTCCGAAATATATCATAATTCAGGGACTTAAAATTGAAATTTGTCTTATATATATACGATTTAATGTAGTCCATATTTCAAAAAATATGTTTTATTCTGTTCCCACCAAACACAACCTACCTCAACTCCACGCCTTCATCCTCCGCCACGCCCACGCCATCGGTTCCAACCTCACTTTCCACTGCAACACCATTATCAAGTCCCTACTCACTTCTGCCCACTTCCCCAAAGCTATTGCTCTCTACGCCCATCTCAGGAGGACTGCATACTTCGTCCCCGACAATTTCACCTTCTCCACCCTCGCCAAGTGTTGCGGACTCAATTCCTCCTTCTCCCATGGCGTTGGGATTCATGGCCAGGCTTTAAGGCTCGGATTCGCCGCCTCCAATCTGTACGTCGCCACTTCATTGGTCGACATGTATGGGAAATTTGGGCGGATGAATTGCGCGCGGAAGGTGTTCGACGAAATGCGCGAGAGGAGTTCCGTGTCCTGGACGGCATTGGCCGCCGGGTACGTGAGGATAGGCAATATGGCCTCCGCCAGGGAGGTTTTCGAGGCGACGCCGCCGGAGGAGAGGGATACGGCGGCGTATAATGTCATGGTCGATGGTTACGTAAAATGTGGCATGATGGATGCTGCGAGAGAGATGTTCGATGTGATGCCGGTGAAGAATGTGGTGTCGTGGACGACGATGATCGGTGGCTGTTGTAGCAATGGCGACGTCGAGGGAGGGAGGGCGCTGTTCGACACAATGCCGGCGAGGAATTTGTGCTCGTGGAATGCGATGATCGGAGGGTATAGTTGGAACGGGAGGCCAGATGAGGCGGTGGCATTGTTTCGGGAGTTGGTGGCCGGAGGAGTGTGGGAGCCGGACAATGTGACCGTTGTGAGCGTGCTTCCTGCCGTGGCGGATTTGGGCGCGCTCGATGTCAGGGATTGGGTTTACGCGTTTGTGAAGAGGAAAAAACTCGATGAGTTGGCGAATGTTGTGACGGCTTTGGTTGATACGTACGCCAAATGCGGGGAGATCGAGAAGGCGAGGAGTATTTTCGACGAAGCGCGGGGAAGAAAGACGTGCACGTGGAACGCTTTAATTAACGGATTGGCGCTCAACGGGCGCGCCAAGGAGGCGCTACGAGTGTTCCGCGAGATGCGAACGAAGGGTTTCGAGCCAAACGAGATTACAATGCTTGGTGTATTGTCGGCTTGTAGCCACGGCGGGTTAGTTGAGGAAGGAAAACGATGGTTTGACAAGATGGGCGAGTTCGGTCTAGCTCCTAAAATCGAGCATTATGGTTGCATGGTGGATCTTTTGGGTAGGGCCGGGCGTTTGGTCGACGCCGAGAGATTAATCAAGGCCATGCCTTACGAGGCGAACGGGATCGTGTTGAGTTCTTTCCTATTCGCGTGCGGTTACAACAATGACGTGCCTCGAGCTGAGAAGGTCGTGAAGAAGGTGATTGATTTGGAGCCGAGCAACGATGGGAACTATATAATGTTGAGGAATTTATACGCTTCGGAAAAAAGATGGCGAGACGTGGACAAGATCAAAAGGCTGATGGTGATCAACGGGGCGAAGAAGGAGGTCGGGCGTAGCGCCGTTGAGATTGACGACGTGGTTTTCGAGTTTGCGGCTGGGGACGATGCGCGTCGGAAGAATAAGAATTGGCATTGGCATAATAATTTGGCGCGGAGGATTATGGATCAGTTGAAAATACACATGATGGCGAAGAACTACTCACTGGAGGCAGACTTCTTCAAAAGCCTCTGAGGTCTGTGTGTTTCTTGGGGTTTAAATGTAGAAGATTTGGTTTAAATGTTTGTATTTAAATAATATTTGATGTAATATTATGCTATAGGAAAAAATTGAAATTCAAATAGAAAAGTTCAAATTTTTTTTGCCACAACACTCGTGAGAACTGATATATGATATGATAGTCTTTTCTTTTCTTCTTCTTTCACACATAATATGCTAGAAATGATATGTTCCTTGCAAAAATAATAAATGCAGAAACTCACCTGTTTTTCGTGGTTTAATGGCCATTAAGTTCGACTCGACTCGGTTCAGCTCAATTCAATTACCTGCACATAAAACTGTAGTACCATATATATACCCAAAGGGAATTCTCCCTAAGGACTCTGAGAACACACCTCTGAAAACAATAGTCATGCGTTTGATTTCCTCTTATATATGAAATTAGTCTTGCCTTGGATTTTTTTCGCTCATGCTTATCATCTCTCTAAGCGGATAACATCAAAATCAATCAAATTGAATATATCTGTAGCTGAAAAGTTCAGCAGTAATGTTTTTCGATGTACCTTTATTCTCAGAACCTGGAGAGCAAACTCATCAATCGATGACTTTGGCGCTGCTCTTTCCTCTAGTTCTTGGATTTGGATTGTGCAGCTGTGCCCGGAGAATTATTGATACTTTGCCCACCCGACTTTTGCACTAGCTGAAAGTTTTCTCCATCGGGTAATTTTCTGTTTGCCTTGTCCCTCCGACTGTACACAAGAACATTGTCATCCTGAATGCATAACACATGGAAAAAGAGTTATTAACTTATTGTTGAATAAAGCTATCTAATAATTTCATTCGCTACACGAATTAACTAAACCAAACAAATTGAATTTGATCGTTTGGTAAGTAAATGTAGCACCTATATATGTGTGTACGATGTTCGGTTGCACCTTAATATATGCCAGATTCAATCACAAACTAACTATCAATGATCTTAGATTCTTACAACACAACTAATGCCTATAATCAGAATCTAAAATACCAAACTAAGAGAATTGATACTTAGCATACATTAATTCAAACTCAACTACGTGCGTAGGTATCTATGAATATGATCGGATTTAATTATATGCACACAATAATGAATCCACATAGGAAGCCTGTTGCATCAAATAGAAATATTAGTCCAATCATAAGTCAATAATCACTTATTTTTATATATTATATTTCAAATACATAGATTAACATGTATAGTTTCACAGTTAAAATGCTGTATGACATAATTCAATAATCATATTTGACATATATATAAAAAAAGAAGATCAAATAAAATGTATGCACAAAACAAGCGCCATGATAAAAATAATAGAAGATACTTAAACTTAACAGAGCATCCATCATCACCCAAAAACAAACTCAAAGCATGGTAAGAATTAAATTGAGGGGATAAAAAGCACAAAACACCTTCATGTTATACCAAAATAGCATAGTTAAATTTGATAGTATAATACTTCATTGTCATATCGAAAATACTGTATATAAATTACCGTTATAGTTTCAAAAGTAAAAGGATGTTGTATTTCGATTTGGTACAGAAGAGATTTATACTATTTACCCATCGACAAGGTAAAAAGCAGGAAAGCAGTCTATAGAAGACTTACATCTGTGCTTCTGCTTGCACAGGGAACGACCTCTGCTCGACCACCAACTAAAGCACCCTCAAGCTCAGCTTTGCTATCCATATTCTGGCTCTGTGTTGGCTGAGGTGTCATTCTGTCATTAGTATCTGGAGGGGGCATGGCCAAAGCATTATGAGGAGCTGCGGGAAGCATCGAGTTCTCAATGGGAGGAACCTCGGTAATGGCATGTTCATTCATCAGTTTGTTGGCTCTGCTTTTAAGCTCGCCAACATGTGTTTGTAATAATGAAAGTTTGCGGTACAGATTTTCCAACGCTATATCATCATTACCACGCCCAATGGCGTAAGGTTGTTCATCAAAGTCATGATAGTCTACATCATTGCTGATTGGTTTTGCGGTTCTCTCTGCTACAAAAAATAAAAAGTCTCTACATCAGAACAGAGATTTTTTGTGTGAGCCTATTCACTGTCAACGACACTCAATGTCAATATGAGATGCATAATTATAACAAACGATGTATCCAAATTATAACAAACTCAATTTAGATAAAACACCATGAATTCAATAAATTCTACTTTTTATGCACTTTGTATAAATCAATATAATCAACACAAAATAATAGATATACATATATATATATATATAATTACTCACCAGGATTCTTTGAGGAAGATACATTGACAGGAGCTTTAACAGATGACTTTTTCCCAGACTCTGAAAAATGCCACATATCAAAGATTTAACTGAAATAAATAAATAACACATGAGTATCTTGAATCTTCACAAACAAGACGCAGTATTGTACCATAATAAGAAAACAGGTTATGATTCGACATGTATGTTGCAGTGCCCACAGTTGCTTCATCTTTTCTTCTTTTATTCCTCCTAAATATTTTGTTTTTACCGTAGTACAGAGACAAAGGAAGCGACTTTACACCGTATGCTTCCAATGTTGGTTTTTCTATATAGACCTGCTTGTTTCGATGGATCTCCTCAAGTTTTTTGTCATATAATTCAGCTTGTTCCTCTAACTTCTTGATTTGCAATTCAGTCCATTTGCAACGCCACACAAGAGAATGTATGTGTTGTCTCCAATCACTTTTCAGCTTTTTTCTCCTGAGAAACATGAATGAGCTCTGGATAAGAACCTGAAGTTCAATACAAGCATTTATTCTTTCTCCAAAAAAAGTTCGATGTTATGAACCAGTACCTCACTCTAAATATGTCCTCAAGCACATCCCGTTCCAATGCAGCACCACCATCACCACGAAAACCTGATAAAGCTTCAGATTCACCAAATGCATTAACATCATCAGCTTCACAACCAGAGTCACCAAACGAGCTTGAACTCTCTGTTAAGTCCATATCTTTGCTCTCAGCTTCACCCATCATATGATCACCAGGTACGGCAGGTTTAGAACAATCCACTATGTTGACTACTTCCTCATCTTGTGTTTTCTCAGTTTGCACAAAAGAGTGACAATCCACTCCGTTTCCCATAGCTCCCGTGTATTTCATGAGCTCCTCTTCAAGTTCTTTAGCAAAAAGATCATTGTCTATAGAAGGCGAAGGCTTGATCTTTGCTTTTACATTTTTGTCTCCCATGTCAGTTTCAGGCGACAACGGGATGTATAAATGGAAGACTATGCAGAGTACCTACTAAACAATAAAATTAAGGATCAATGTTTGATGTATTAACTATGTACATATGCAATAATTGTTAATCATGGTACCATATGAAAAAATAGAAATTAGAAAATAAGATTATTTGATTGTTACTACATTTGCTCCCTTCATCATCGAAAGGTTCCTTCACCATTTTTTTAAAAACATCAGAATGAAAAAATGTACATAGTTTTAAGCATTAGAAGCTGATCCTTTTTATGTTTGTTGTTATATTTAAACTTTTTGTAAATTGTTTTTTAAAGTTAATAACAGAACATACATATTTTTTGTTCATGTTTTATGTTGTGCTGCGATAGGGAATGCCGTTTTTCTTTCGTTATAGCTCTTAAAGTCTGTTATCATAATATGCCATTCATCAGCAACCTAAAATATTTGCTTAGGATCTTTATCTGGTCAACATTTATCAGTAAATGCCAAATGTTTTATATGCATTTTTTCTAGATTGTAGCAATAAATCCGACCATGACATCTGCAATCGATAAATCACGCTAACTACTTAAAGCAAGAAAAGGATAAGATTTTCAAATCGGATATTCAATTGCCTTAAAAGATTACATTTACCTTGTTTAATGATGCTCTGAAAAGTTGGGATAACTATAAAGTAAAGTAGGCTACGGAATTTACTCGATGATACATAGGTGGAAATGAAAGACATCACCATGCTGCAAGAATGATCGAAAACAGAATCGCAGTACATATGAAATCCAATTGTCCACTCAATTTAGTGTATAACAGTTAATAATTTCAGTTGAAATCAATCCAATACTATAAACAACATATCCAAATTAGATTCTCATCTTCAATGTCTCAGCTTATCCTAGATTAGAAACTAAACCACAGAAAACATGCCAACCACAACAAAAGAAAAGAATGCACATATCACATGTCATATGTATGTATTGTTCGTGTATATACCATAGATTCAATATACATGAACTATAGAGCTCTGATTTCTATATCCAAAAATCACAAGGTTCATGAAAATAAGATCGATACAAAAAAAAAAAAAAAAAGTAAATAAACACCCAACAACAAACTCATACAAAAAAAACATCCAACATTCGCCGATTAGCCGATTCACAAAGCAAACAAACAGCCAGAGAACAATTATAAACACAGATTGCAATTCCATATTAAAAAAACGTAAAAAATTTTATTAAAAAAAAGGTAACAAACCGCAATCTGAATGCGACGACCGGATTGTCACAAGCTGCGCCCTAACAATCCAATTCCGAGCGATTATGTAGAGCTCCGGTGGAAATTGGGAAACAAAACCTCTCTCCTCTCCTCGTGACGAGTTTGGATTTGTTATGCAGAAAGCCTTCGCGGTGAGCGAAGAGCAATAAATGCTATATAGTGTTCTCTGAGTTGTCAATTCAGTCAATATCTGTCAAATATTTTGCGTTTTTCTTTTTTTTTAATCTCGTATTTTAAAGGAGTCCCTGGTGTCGAGATCCAGATGAATTCTGGCCTTGTATATAGTAAGTCAACCATTAGGAGGAACTTGGTGTTTGGATCCTGGGAGTTTATGTAGAAGTAGTTATATTTCTAGGCTTGGTGTCAAGTATTTTTAAATAAGCAGGTGTTTTTCAGAGAGGAGGTTTGTGTTTGGACAGAATTTTTAAGTTTGGTAAAAGCTCGGATATTGCTTAAAAAATTGATATTATTTTCGTTCAATTTCAAAATAAATATTTATTTTTAAAAAAAAATAGAAAAATTAATAATATTTTAATTATTGTAAATAGTTAAAAATAAATATACTCCTTATGTCCACCATCTATCTTTTTGTTTATTTTTTGCACGTAGATTTTAGTATATTAGTATTATATTGATACCTGTACAATTGATATACGTAAAGACTATTATATCCCTTAACATTTATGGTATTAAGTGTTGTTATTTGATAGCATTTGTGTAATATTATATAAAGGATGAGGTAATTTTATATTTTAGTGGAAGATACATTTACTAAAAATAAAATTGATATATTTGCGATGGAGAGACTAAAATGACAAAATGGATAGATTGGCGGTGGACGGAAAGAGTATATGTTTATTTGGTTTTGATTTGAACTTGAATATTGATTTGTGTTTTGATTAAATAATACTTCCTTCGTCCCAAACGCCCTGCAACATTTTATTTTTGATATGTCCCAAACACCCTACAACATTCCAAAATAAAAAATAATTAATTATACTTAATCTCTACTCCACACTTTATCCCCTCACATCATCCAAATAAAAAAATAAAATATATATTTCTCTCTATCTATCGTATCACCTAATTTTTAAATTATTTTACTTAATACTATCCACCTAAAAATTCGTCCCAAAAACAAATATTGCACATTGTTTAGAACGGAGAGAGTATTTTTTATGTAATATTTTACCAAAAAAAATATTTTTATTAAATATTGGTGGATTCCAGTAAATTTATAAATAAATAACGCTTATAAAGTATGATACTGTTTGAATTTTCGAAATTATCGTGTAGTTAATACCAACTAATTTTAAAAAGTACTTTGTAAAAACAGCAGCCATAATTGTATGGTTTGGGTTTGTAAAAGTGGTTGGAGATTGTGTAATATTAATAGTGGTTTAAAATACATAGTAAGTTATTAAAATTTGTAAAATTATACTAATTAAAATATATATATATATTTTTTATTTTTTATAAAAGTAAATAATGAGTATTTTTTTTACTTTTAAAATATAGTAGTAATGTTTTAGGTTGAACAATTTTTCAAAAATGTTACTGTAAAAATATAATATACACGCTTAGCATAATATATATAAGTGCTGGGCAGATTCTATAGGAAGAAGAACAATAACCAATGGGTATTTGGTTTAGGTCGGTTGGAGGTTTATCATATTTTCGATAACGGCTGCGAATTTTCACGTAAAAAAAAAAAAAAAATTAATGATATATTAATACAGTAGTTTACTTTTTATAAATTTATTTTTTCATTAAAAATAATATTTATATATTTTACTTTTTTGATGATGTATTTACAAATATTTAAAATTTACAGGTTAATAGAAATATATTAACAATAAAAAATTAGTTTTTTATTTTTATTTCTTCTATCTAAACTCAAATTTATTGTCAATTTGGATATCTGAATATATGTACCAAGGTAGCTATAATCTTTTGTTGATCTAAATTTTGAAATTGGGGTTGAACATGTTAATAAATTTGTTGATTCATTTTTATTTTTATTTTTTTCTCATAGATTAACATATATATTTTTTTGATTTTGTTTGCTCAAATATATATTCTTTACTTCTCATTTTATTAGTCCTGCAATGAATTTTTTGTAATTTTATACAAATTTTTAAAGCAAAAATAAAAAATTGTATCATTGAAATCCTATCTTTTTTATTTTTAATCTCATTCAAACAAAATATCAAAGCTAATTTCATTCAAAAATTTATTTATTATTTTTTATTCTACCGCTTAAAACTGTTAGGGAAACGCAACATATGTGTCCAAGGCTCTGATACTGGTAGAAAAACACAGTCATTAATTATATATCCGTAAAGAGGAGTCCCTAATATTGATGCGGTGTCTGCTACGGATCCAACACGAATCCTTTGCCTGGATGGCCATAGGAGTCCGCCACCGCGACGAGCTTCGATGCTGGAGGAGGAGAAGCTGAGTCCGAGCTCTTCCATGTCCCGCCACCGATCGGAGCCCCGTCAGGGAAATTCGTGATGAAGAATTGGGAGAACGTATTGTCAGGATCACTTGCGGCTCACCCACCCAGGCTCCGGTGAATCATGACTGATAATGCTGAAGATCCAGACCCCTATTTCCTCAACAAAATCGGAACCTCCTCCCTGCAGAAGCTCGACTTCGGCGGCGCCGATCAATTGGTGTATGGCACTGACCCATTCCCTTGGCTCTTCTTCTTCCCTTTACTGAACAATCCGAATCAGGCGCCACGTCAGTTTTCTTTAACGCAATGTAGCTTATTCCGTTAAAATTTCAAAGATGAGACAAAAAATGATAAATAAATTTTTAAATGATACTAGTTTTGATAAAAAATATTGTCTGAATAAGACTAAAAATAAAAAAAAAATAAAAAAAAAAGAAGATTTCAATGGGACTATTTTTGATTTTTACTCAAATTTTTATATATGTTTATTTGAATTTATTGTTTATATTATGACTGTCTGATCTCGTGGTGAACATTTTAATTATTTTAATGTATTAGCGATTGTTAATTTAAAGTTTCAAATTTTTTTAATACAAATTTTCTTTGATGTATTTATTTATTTTAATTATATTAATTTGTCGACCCACCAAATTAAAAATCCTAAATCTGCCCACTGATTACACCTAGTAGTACTATTTGAAATTTCAACACCAGTTAAGCAACATTTCTAAGAGCTTCTGATATAACAAAAATTACCTAAAAGCATTGTCAGAGAAGGTAAAGCATGCCTCTTAAGCATCAATGAAGACTCCACCGGCGTTATGTAGAGCAGATAAACATATACGTTAATTCTTCCTAAATGTAGAGCAGAGCTGTTGTGTTTGTCCGTCTGTCAGTTTGGCTGTCTTCTTCATTCACTGCCACTTTATTCTCCTTTCCTTCTTCCATCTGCAACCAATCCCAAAGACAAGAGTCCAAATCAAAAAATTCGTCTTTGAAGCCCCCGATCCTCTTTTCCGTTGCCACAAACGTGCTGGCAAGTCAAGGCAAGGGAAGAATCAAGACAGACATACATTATTCAATCACAAACCAAACTAAAAACATAAATCTCCACAATGCTTATTTGTTTCTTTTGATTTGGTTTGGAAAAATTTGATCTAGATTTTGTATTTAGATAATGTTTGATGTGACGTTTTGTTAGAGAAAAAAATATACTCTCTTTATCTCCTCTTAATTTTCATTTTGGTCCGTCCTGCATTAATGTATATATTTTCTTTTTTAATAATTATAATTCCACTGTTTATATAAATATCCATACTTCACCATCATATTTCACCTTTTGAACATATATATATATATATATATACATTTTTATCAAAACGTAAAAAATTGACTTTACATTACTTGTAACTACCTGGCGCTAAAATTAAATGTATATATTACAGCGGCAAGAGGGAGTAACTTTTTTGCGAAAAATACAAGGTCAAATAGCAAAATTTGAAAATTTGTTAAAAAGAAACACACTCGATCATGTCCCCTTCACTGTCCCCGTACACCACTGTATATTCCTCTTTTCCAATGGCTTCCATTGTTGTCATTAATTAATTGATTGATTAATAATCACAAAACATCTGATGTGATCTGACCTACAAAATGTCAGAAGATTTGCAGAGAGAGAGACCAGCGGGCAGGCAGGTAAAGCAGGAAGGAAGGAGATGTGTTAATAGGCCATGAACAACCGAATATAATTAAGGTTCGATAATTTAATTGTGGTATATATGCTTTGCCGTGGAGTTTCCTTCTACTCAAAATCTAAAATTTTAACCATTCACATGCTTGTTGGTTGATTCGGTATGTAGATAAATTAATGATACTTGTGGGTTAGCCCATAATATTTTCAGTTGCCGTTTAGTACATAAAATAATGGTAGAAAAATAATAGCAGAGAATAAAAATTCAACATAGAATTGAGAATTCTATAGATTTAAAAAAAAAAAAAAAAAAAAAAATCCATAATGTGTGTGTGTTTAGGGTTTCAATTTGAAGGTTTTTTTTTGTTTTTTTTTTTTTTTTCTGCCCACTTGTGCAGGAGATAGGTTATAATTCATCTGATGTATTTATCAAGAGAATTGTAGCAAAAGGTGGTGAATTTGTAGAGGTCAGTGACCGCAAAATGTTTGTCGAATCTATTTGTTTGCATCTTTTTGTCTTCTTCAATAGGTCTAATATTATTTCTTGTGAAGGTTCATGATGGGAACTTGCTTGTCAATGGAGTTCCTCAAGATGAGAATTTCATGTTGGAGCTACTTATCAACTCAACATGGTTTATTTATAGAATAATCATATGCCATGACTACAAAGCATGATTCATTATTGATTTCCATCCCTTTATAACTGTAATAACAATTTGATTCGCATATTTGGTAATTTCTTAGTCTCGTATGTTAGAAAAATAATTAATGACGCGTATTCCTATTAATTTAAATTTTTAGTTGAGACGGTCATTCCAATCATATAACTTGCTGCATAACTAAGCTAAGTACTCTTTGTCTATATTGAGATTCGCTTAGATTTTGAGCTGATGGTGTTTGGTTTCTCAGGGGTTCACTTCCCGTTAAGAATATAGTCCGTTGCTCAGTTTTTTAATATTGACCTCCGTCAGAAGTATCTGACACTATGGTGTCTGGTTATGCATGTATTAGGTATATTGATTTTTATCATATGTTTTGGGACACATGTTACATACTATCACGTTTCTTTTATTGATGCAATTATTGATTTTATTGTTTGATTTGTTTTGCTTACAAAACATAGTTGACTATTTGATTATTAATGGTTTAATATATAGAATTAAATATAATTGGTCAGAAAGTGATTGAATATAATTTTTTTTGGAATTGATTGAAATTAGTTAAATGTATTTTGAAGCCTGCGGCTTGGAAAAATTAAAAACGAAAGACCACTTGGGATTTCTTGACATCGAATTGTTTTAAATTGGTTAATGTAATTTATTTAAAATTAGTGAGGAAATTACCTAGGGTTGTATTCCTCGCGGCACATCAAAAAATCCAAATTCCGCATTGATTTATTTTGTTTGCATAATATTTTAAATTATTTTTATACTACGTGGCATCATTTTCTTGAAAATTATCCTTTCACATTATAATGAATTGATAATGTAAATAGTGACAATTTTGTTGAACCCTCTTTGGTTTCCATAATATAGATTAAAATAATTTTGAATGTGGATTGGCCTGCCCAACTTTACTTTTAAAGGGGTTGAAAGATTTCTTAAATCCGTTAAAATACAGATATAAATGAGCCAATCCATGGGTTAGGAGTGAGTTAGCCCGCGACCAAATATAATAATTATTACTCTATTTGTTTCAATTAAATATATTTTTTTTATCATTTTCGTCTATTAAATTTAAAAATATCATTTCATATTATAGTAAATATAATCATAGACTAATACCGAACTATCATTAATTTTTATGTAAATTACGGCCATACTACTATAATCCACTTATTTACGGGTTACATTAGATTGTGAGCTAATCTACCCGGCTAACCCTTTTGGACAATTATATACTCACACTATTCTCCTATATATGATGATATACACCTAGCACAAATTTATTTCTCTATTCTATAATGTTGTGTGAGGAAGAGATTTACTGCGTTCAATGTAAATTAGAGATGCATAATTATAACAAAATAATGTATTCAAATGTCAACACACTAAAATTAGATAAAACTCCATCAATTCAATGCAATTCTACATTTTATGCACTTTGTCTGAATCGATATAATCTAATATAGATATATAGATAGATAGATAATTACTCACCAGGACTGTTTGAGGTAGATGCCATGACAGGAGCTTTACGAGATGACTTTTTCCCAGACTCTGCAAAATGCAACATATCAAAGATTTAACTGAAATAAATAAATGACACAGATTGGTATATATCTTGATTATTTAAAAACAAGATGCTGTATCGTACCATAATAAGAAAACAGGTTATGATTCCACATGTATGCTGCAGGGTCCTTAGTTGCTTCATATCTTCTTCTTTTCCTCTTATAAATTTTGCTTTCACGATAGTAGCGAGGCAAAGGAAGCGACTTCAGACCGGATACTTCCAGTGTTGCTTTGTCTATATCGACCTGCTTCTTTCGCCGGTTCTCCTCAAGTTTTTTTTCATATAACTGAGCTTGTTCCTTTAGCTTCTTGATTTGCGATTCAGTGCATTTGCAATGCCACAAAAAAGGATGTATCTGTCTTCTCCACGGATTTTTCAGCTTTCTTCTCCTGAGAAACCTGAACAATGATCTCTTGATGAGAAGATGAAATTTAATACAAGCATTTATAAATTTGCCACAAAAGGTGCGATATTATGCTATGAACTGGTACCTCTTTTTCACTCTTTCCGCGAGCATATCCTGTTCAAATGCTTTCTCACCATCACTAGATAAAGCTTCAGATTCACCAAATGCATAAACATTATCAACTTCACAATTAGAGCCACCAAACGAGCCCCAACTCTCTGTTAAGTCCATATCTTTGCCCTCTGATTCAACCGTCATATGACCACAAGTTATGGCAGGTTTAGGACAATCCACTTTGTCGACTACTTCCACGTCTTGAGTTTTCTCAGTTTGCTCAACAGATTGCCAATCCACTCCGTTTTCCATAGGTTGGGTGTGTTTCATGAGCTCCTCTTCAAGTTCTTTAGCAAAAAGATCATTGTCTGTAGAAGGCGAAGCGTTGATCTTTGCTTTCAACTTATTGTCTCCCATGTCAGTTTCAGGCGACAATCGGAGGTATAAATGGAAAAATATGCAGAGGACCTGCTCAGCAAAAAAAATTAAGGATCAATGATTGATGTATTAACTTTGTACGTTTGCAATAATCGCGAAACATGGTACCTTAGCTTGCAGAAAAATAGAAATTAGAAACTAAGATTCCTTGATTGTTACCACATTTGCTCCCCTAATCATTCTTTTGATAGTTTTTTAAAACATAAGAATGAAAAAATGTACATAGTTTTCAGCATTAGAAGCTGATCTTTTGAGAATATTGGACATTCGAAAAATTGTTGGGTCTCCCCACCTTATAAGGGTGAAAGACTACTCCACTTAATTCTAATTGATTTTAAATTAGAAGTTTGGATCCGTTGTTAACAAGTTTTTTTCTATGTTTGTTGTTATATTTCTGTTCATGTTATGTTGTTTTGCAATAGGGAATGCCGTTGTTTTGTTCATTATAGCTCTTAAAAGTGTTTCTCATAATATGCCATTCATCAGCAACCTAAAATATTTGCTTAGGGTCTTTATCTGATCAACATTTATTCTAAATGTCGTACATGCGTTTGTTCTAAATTGTCGTAATAAATCCAACCTCAACACATGAAATCAATCGATCACGCTAATTACTTAAAGCAAGAAAAGGACAAGATTCTTCAAGTTGGATATCCAATTGCCTTACAACTTTTAGTGATTGCTTCAAAAAGTTGATATAACCATAAAGTAAACTAGGCTACGGCATTAACTCGAAGATACGCACGTGGAAATGAAGACGTCACATGCTGCAAGCATAATCGAAAACAGAATCACAGTATATATATGCAAAATCCGACAAAATTGTCCACTCACTTTAATGTATAACAGTTAATAATATCAGTCGGAATCAATCCAATACTATAAACAACATATATCCTTGTTGGATTCTCATCTTCAATGTCAGATTCGAAATTGAAGCACAGAAAACATGCCAAGCACAACCAAAAACGAGAATTCACGTATCAGGTCACATATATGTCTATTCTTCTTACATAGTTTCGATATATACTTAGATTCAGAATATAGATATACATGAACTATAGGATTTTGATTTTCTATATTAAAAAATCACACCTCAACAGAGTCAATCAAGGTTAAGTTCAATAGAAAAAAGGAACAATCACTGAAAAAAATAAACATAACAACAATCACCACAACAACCAAAGCAGGCTTTAAAAAAAACACACCACCGCCGGATTAGCCGATCCACAACGCAAACAAACAGCACAAACACAATTTCACATATTGCATTTCTATATCTAATAAAAACATAAAAAGATCTAACACTGTTTTAACCAAAAATGTAACAAGCAGCGACCTGAATGCAACTCTCGATTGTGACCAGCGGCGCCCTAGCAGAAAAAATGTTTTCCTGGTGACGGGTTTGGATCTGCTCTGCGGAAAAAGCCTTAGCGGTGAGTGAAAGAGAAATAAATGCTATACAGTCTTCTGAATTGTCACTTTCAGTGCCGTTAACATCTGTCAAATATTTTGCGCTTTGCATTTATTTTATTTTTATTTTTTATTTTAAAGGATTCCTTGGTGTTAAGATGAACTATGGTCTTGTGTATAGTAAGCCAACAAATCGGATGAATCTGGTGTTTCGAATACTGGGATTTTATGCAAAGGCAGTTACATTTCTTGACTTGTAGTTCAACTGCTTTGTTCATCCAATATTTATTTTCAATTGCGATTTAAAAAAATAATGATAAACAATATAAAATACATTTTATAAAAATCAAAAAGTTAAAAAAATTTCAAATACAATAGTTAAATATTTAATTTAAAATAATATATTTTATATTTTTTTACACAATTCCTCGTATCCTACCTCAAAAATCAATTCAATTAGATTTTTAATATTATATTTTGCAAGAATAAATATAACTTTAAGGTATATTTTTAAAAAAAATATATATAATTGTTGACTAACAGTAACAAATTTTTTAAAAGGTGTGTTGTAAAGAGAGGCATAATTGTCTGGTTTGGACTTGTAGAAATGGTGGGAGATTGTGTAATAGTAATAGTGGGTTAAAATATTTTTATGTAATAAAAATTCATGATGTCCACGACTTGTTTTTGCATTACTATTTCAAATAAATTATTTGGATAATACTATAATTATTAGTTATTATTAGTTTTGGAAGAAAAATGTATTCCACGCAAACTTTATTGAGTTTTATGTGACAAATAAAACATACTAGGTGTGTTCAATTTGTATTTTTGAGTTAGGTACGTAGATTTGTATCGATAATATAAAAAATAATATTTTTTGGATGAATAAATTATATATATTATATATTGCTCTTAAAATATATAATAGTATTTTTGTAATATTTATGAAAAATCATACCAGCAAATAAAAAGTTAGGTGAACAACAATTTCTCTTGAATTTTCATATAATAGAAAAATATGTGATATATTTTACTCTAAAAACAATCATTCAGAGTTTATTAATTTTTATAATATATTTAATTTTTTTTAAAAAAAAAATCATAATTAAATATCTATTGAAGTTTAGACATACAATTTAAAATGACTTATGATGTACTCCATCCGTCCGCTCACATCTATATTTTTGCGTAATTAATATTAAAAGTATCATTTTGTATAAAAAAATTTTGTACAAAAGCATTATATTAATTAGTATTAAGACACTAGTAGTAGAAGTATTTCTTTTGTCATTTTTTATTAATTTGTATTTATGTTTTATATAATAATTAATATTTAAAAATCAACACGTAAATCTGGCCTTAGAGTGGGACGGTGATGGTATTTATCAAGAGAATTGTAGCAAAAGGTGGTGACTTTGTAGAGGTCAGTGTCCGCAAAATGGTCGTCAAATCTATTTGTTTGCATCTTGTTGTCTTCTTCAACAGATCTAATATTATTTTCTTGTGAAGGTTTATGATGGGAAATTGCTTGTCAATGGTGTTCCTCAAAATGAGAATTTCATGTTGGAGCCACTCAAATAAGAAATGGATCCAGTGATAGGTAACTTATCAAACTCGTCAATATGGTTTTTTTTTTTTTAATCGAATAATTATATGCCATGACTACAAAGCATGATTCCTTATTAATTTCCATCCCGTTATAGCTTGTGCCTGAAGGCTATGTGTTCGTGCTTGGAGATAACTGTAATAACAACTTTGATTCACAGATTTGGTAATTTCCTAGTGCCGCACAACTAAGCTGCGTACTCTTTGTCTATATTAAGATTTGCTTAGATTTTGAAATGGTGGTAGGTTTTGTGAGGATAGGTGAATCAAAAATTGGCTTAATGTAATTTGGTTGGATCCAAAACTGGTTAAATGCAATTTGCTTAGTTTCGAATAGGTTGAGACAAGTTTAATTTAATATGTTTTGAATTCATTTAATGTAATTTATTTGAAATTAATTGTACATTGTTCTGGTCGAAATTAATTTAATGTAATTTGACTGTACTTGGTATAATGATTTAGTGGAGAATTAGCTAATAATTTAATCCCTTGCTACGGACGAAGAAGTGTCGCAAAGTGTTGCAACTAAAAGGATTGCGAGGGATTATTTTGCGTTATAAATTCCCTCGCAAAACTTCGGGTTTGTTCACGTTTTGTTTTTAGATGACAAAATTTCTCATAGATATTATAACATATATATATACACTTTATTTATTCACAAAAAAATAATAATTTAATGCAATATTATTTTTTGTATTATCAATTTAATTTCGCATACTTAACATAAAAAAAACAAACTCATCCAAAAACACAAAATGAAAGAACACTTAAATACTTGAAAATACATAAATTACTAGATTCACATTGTTCTCCTATATATTATATACTAATGCTACTAATCCTAAGCCGCCCGTGCTATGCACAATTTTATTTTATTTTTTTGGTTCCGTAATTTTATGTGAGCAAGAGATTCACTGTCAAACAACGCTCAATGTCAATTTGAGATGAATAATTATAGCAAATGATGTATTTGAATGTCGTCAACAAACTCAAATTTGATAAAACACCATGAATTCAATCCATTCTACTTTTTATGCATCTTGTATAAATCAATATAGTCTAATATATATATATATAGATAGATATAATTACTTACCAGGATTCCTTGAGGTAGATGCAGTGACAGGAGCTTTAAGAGATGACCTTTTTCCAGACTCTGCAAAATGCCACATATCAAATTAAGATTTAACTGAAATAAGTAACACATATTGGTATATATCTTGATTATTGAGACACAAGATGCAGTAGTGTACCATAATAAGAAAACAGGTTATGATTCGACATGTATGCTGCAGGGTTCTTAGTTGCTTCATATCTTCTTCTTTTTTTCCTCCTAGAAATTTTGTTTTCACCGTAGTATTGAGGCAAAGGAAGCGACTTCACACCGGATACTTCCAATGTTGCTTTATCTACATCGACCTGCTTCTTTCGCCGGATCTCCTCAAGTTTTTTGTCATATAACTGAGCTTGATCCTCTAGCTTCTTGATTTGCAATTCAGTCCATTTGCAGCGCCACACAAGAGGATGTATGTGTTCTCTCCACTGACTTATAAGCTTTTTTCTCCTGAGAAACATGAATAATGATCTCTTGATCAGAAGATGAAATTTAATACAAGCATTTATAAATTTGCCACAAAAGGTGCGATATTATGTTATGAACTGGTACCTTTGTTTCAATATTTCCGTGAGCTCATCCTGTTCCGATGATTTGTCATCTTCACTAGATAAAGCTTCAGATTCATAAGCATTATCAACTTCACAATCAGAGCCACCAAACGAGCTCGAACTCTCTGTTAAGTCCATGTCTTTGCACTTCGCTTCACCCATTGTATGACCTCCGGGTATGGCAGGTTTAGGTTTAGGACAATCCACTTTGTTGACTACTTCCACGTCTTGAGTTTTCTCAGTTTGCTCAGAAGATCCCATAGGTTGGGTGTATTTCATGAGCTCCTCTTCAAGTTCTTTAGTGAAAAGATCATTGTCCGTAAAAGACGAAGGGGTGATCTTCGCTTTCAACTTATTGTCTCCCATGTCAGTTTCAGGCAACAACAGGATGTATAAATGGACAAAATATATGCAAAGGACCTGCTCAACAATAAAATTAAGGACCAATGATTGATGTATTAACTTTGTACATATGAAACACTAGTGAAAAATGGTACCATAGAAAAAAAAAATAGAAATTAGAAAATAAGATTATATGATTTTTACTACATTTTCTCCCTTCATCGCCGCAAGAATTAAAAATATGTACATAGTTTTCAGCATTAGAAGCTGATCTTGTTTATGTTTGTTGTTATGTTTCAAATTTTTTTTTTTATTTTTTGAAGTTAATAATAACGGGACATACTTATTTTTTGTTCATTTTTTATGTTGTGCTGCAATAGCGAAAGCTGTTTTTTGTTCTTTTAGCTCTTAAAAGTGTTTTCTCATAGTATGGCATTCATCAGCAACCTAAAACATTTGCTTAGGATCTTTATCTGATCAACATTTATTCTAAATGCTGTGCATGCGTTTTGTTCTAAGTTGTCGTAATAAATCCAACCTTAACACTTGAATTCATCGATCACGCTAATTACTTAAACCAAGAAAAGGACAAGATTCTTCAAGTTGGGTATTCATTTGCCTCAAAAAGATTACATTTACACCTTTTAATGATGCTTCAAAAAGTTGGGATTACCATAAACAAAAGTAAGCTACGGCATTAACTCGAAGATACACACGTGGAAATGAAGACGTCACATGCTGCAAGCATAATGGGAAATATAATCATAGTATATGCGAAATCCGACGAAATTGACCACTCACTTTAGTGTATAAGTGTTAATCATTTCAGTTAAAATCAATCCAATACTATAAATAAACAACATACCCCATATAGATTATATATCTTCAATGTCTCAGCTTATCTTAGATTCGAAATTGAAACACAGAAAACATGCCAACCACACCAAAAATGAGAATGCACATATCAGATCACCTATGTTATATGTATGTATATATATATTTTTTGATAATTGGATATACACTATAGATTCAGAATATAGATATACATGAACTATTAACTATAGAGTTTTGACTTCTATATCTAAAAATCACACTTCAACAATCGATCAAGGTTCAGTTCAATAAAAAAACCAACAACGAAAGCACACCAAAAAAAAAAAAAAATCTACACCACAGGATTAGTCGATTCACAAATCAAAAAAAAAAAAAAAAAAAAAACACGCCAAAAACAAAGAAAAAAATATTAAAAAAAAAAATCAACATCATTTTAGCCAAAAATGTTACAAACCGCTGCCTGAATGTGATGTCGGTTCTCAGAAGTGGCGCCCTAGCAGAGAAAATGCTTTCCTCTGACCAGTTTGGATTTCCTCTGCAGAAAAAAGCCCTTCTCCCTGAGCGAATGAGCAATAAATGCTATATATAGTGTATCAGTGTTCTCTGAGTTGTCAATTTGGTAAATATCTGTCAAATATTTTGCGCTTTGCTTTTTAATTATTATTTGAAGGGACTCCCTGGTGTTCAGATCCCAGATGAATTCGATATAATAATCCAACCAATAGGATGAACCTCGTGTTTCTCGAATCCATGGATTTTGTGTAAAAGTAGTTATATTTCTAGAATCGGTTTCACTGCTTTAAAATAAGCAATGTTTGAAAGAGAAATAGGTTTTGTCATGTTTTGTAAGTTTGGGGAAATTTTAAAAATAATATAAAAATTGCTTCTTTTTCCTCATTTTATTTTCATCAACAAATCCTTTATTTAACTCTCTGATTTGATACAATGACAATATTAGAATGTGTGTTTGTGTTGTGTGCGGGATTTACCTTACATTCAAAACATATATACATACAATATGGATCTAGGGTTTCTTCCGTCGGAACCCAATTTTACCGTCTGCCGTCACCGCCGCCGCCAATTCAATTGATTGCTTGCTACAATTCCTCCGGCTAGAAAATGAAACATGGTCGTGTTTAATATAGCACGGTTGTGTTTTGTCCGGTAGGATGCCAAATAAAACCCGTTATATCTACATTAATTAGTTTTTCAAAATTGATTAATATTATTTTTATTAGCTAGGACCAATTTTGATTTTTTTTTTTTTTTTTTTTTCTAATGAGACCAAAATTGAAGAACTATTTTTTCAATTTGACTATTTTTTATACTTTTCCCTCCTTAATAAGATAATTATTAACAAATAGTAATAAAAAAATTTAAAAAATGTTTTGTAAAATGTGTCCTGTGTGGTCCCGTGGATGTCTGAAGCTTAGAGAGCTTGCCAGCTTCTTTGAGGCGGGGTTACCGCGAGCTATTTCACACCTTAGGTCTAACACCGCTTGTAGACGCTCATTTCCATTTCCAGGATATCTGTTTACGCCTTTTACCTTTGTTATTATTAATTTCAATATTGATTTTGGTTCAATATTATTTTGGATTTTATTCGATTTCACTTCTAATAATTATAATGCTATATAATAAATTATATAAAAATATTCTTAATGTTAAGTAAACGAAGCAAAAGATAAATATGACCTTTAAAAGTGGACGAATGATGTAAATGAATATACATGATTCCAGAGACGGGAGTCTCAAGATCGTTGAAGCAATCCAAGAAATCGGTATTATTCCAGCTTTGCGACAACAGATCTCAAATATCATCTCCTGCACATGCAGATATTTCCTCTGCAAGCATAGCCACGAATCATTAGATTTACGCCAATATATATGAATACAAACCGTAAAAGTTCGAAAGAAACCTGAAAATCCAGTGTTCATTGCGACATTCCTCCATTTTCGAAAAAATGTTGTGTCTCCTTAAACAAACGGAGAACAAATTGTGTTAATGTTTCAAAACCGCAATTCGAACCTCAAGCATGCAGAGGGAGAGTTCAGTCGCTTGAGCTACAATGGGATTAAACCTCAACCTCAAGTTTCTCAACTACTCAATCCACTTTATGCCAAATAAAATAAATTATTTTTATTTATCTAATTTTATTTTTCTCCCGCATCCCGACAAATAGAGAGAAATAAATATTGTAGCATTTTTTTTTCTTTTTAGTTTTTGTACTATTTAATTTTTATAATTTTTAAAATTTATATTATTTCAACTTTACAAAAATCGCATTAAATTTATTATTCAAAAATTTAATTTTTACTATTTTTGCAAAAAATATATTAACATATAATCTTACAAAATATCGTGTGAGTGAGTGTGTGTATATATATACACTAATTTATAATTTTTTATAAAAAAAAATCATCAAAAATATTTTTCCATAAATTTTCATTAGTTAAAATTCTCATTTGTCATGGTAATTATTATTATTAATTTTTATTTTCTATTCAATTCTTTTTTTTATTTCATTGAAAAGATGCATTCCAGCGATTTCAGGTTCCGTCCTGAGCCTTTTTGGGGAAAGCTCCCCAATTTGATTGAATTCTTGAAAGTAATTGTTGTTGTTGAAGCAGCTGTGAGAGAAGGAGTTTAAGAACTTGAAAGTGAATCGAATATATTTATATATATATATATATATAAATATTGGTGTGTTTAGATAGGATATGATATAATATCTAGTATTCTTATCTTAATAGATTATATAATGATACGATACAATAATATAATATTACTTAAATTGATTGTTTTATACGATAAAATTAATACTAATTAGTTCACAACTAATAACAAGTAAAATTCTTTCTAACATTTTAGTATTTTTAATTTGAAATATTTTTAATATTAAGTATAAAAAAAACCTTATGTATAATCCATCTCTAATTCATTCACAGTAAAAATAAAAATTAAAAAATATTCATCCTTAATTTTAGTATTTCCATATAAGAAAATAATAACTAATATACATAGTAGTTTTTTGTATTAATAAAAAATGAAAACAAATACAACCTATGTAACAGAACAATTTACAATAAATAGACCATGCATGAGTTTAGAGACCACAACAACAAAAATTAAAAGACCATTGAAAACTCATCAGGGATTCCGAAACTAAAGATTGTAATGAATTGAGAGAAGCTGGCTGCGATGGAAATTATATACTACCTTTGAAAATGATGGATTACTGATAGAGTCCTGTAAGTCGTGGCATTTGTATCAACTTTCGATCATAAATAGTCGCAGAATAATCGTCTTACCTAAAAGCTCAAGCTATTCAGAAAACACATCATTAATTTATTTATCTGTAAAGAAGAGTCCCATCACATCGATTTCAGGTTCCATCCTACTCGTTTTTTGGGAAGGCTCCCGGATTTGATTGAATTCTTGCCATTGCCATATCACACTACAATAGATGAAATTCGGGTGACTTAAAGGAACCAAGAACCAATTTCTTCAAGTGCAAACTCTAAGCATATATTACGAATTAAAGGAAAAAGGAGAAGAGTCGGCAGCAAGAAAACAAACAAATCGAAAGAGAGAACAGCGCTCGGATTCAAGGAACTCGCCCTTCGGCATTGCAATCATTTTTAGTTTTTTTTTTTTTTTTTTTCATGTTGATGGAGAAGAAATCCTTGAAAAGTAGCCGTCCTAATGAATCAGCTGCGAGAAACATTAGTTAGAGGTCCACCAAAGCAAGATGGAGTTTAGGAACTTCCGAGAAAATGAGAGGATTCATTGAGCAGCAGTGAAGTGAAAAGAAAAGAAACAATATATTTTAGAGAAAGTTATAAATTTTGCTCAATATGTCGGCTAAATTATTATTTTTTGATATTATTTTTTTTAATTTTACAATTTAAGACAATATGTCAACCTAAGGTCTTATTTCTGTCTTCTAGCATAGGAAAACAACACTTGAGGATTACATACGCCTACATGGAGACATTGATATGGATGTAGACGTCGTCAAAGCTGAGCCGGTACTTGACCTGAATCCTCATCCATCGGCGGAAATGACGTGGAAATTTGAATTTTTAACAAATTAATAATTTAAATATTAAAAATAACCAAACAAAATACCAAAAACATATCACTCTACTGTCTACACTCTATAAATGCATAAATAAACACGAGAAAGAGAGAGATTAATATGTAAAAAAAACAAAAGTACAAGGCTTTATAGTATCGGCAATCCAATTTCTTTTGCAATCCATTTTCCCTTTTCTTTCTTTTTCTTTTTTTTTTCTCGGAAAGTGACCGTTGTTGTTGAACCAGCTGTGAGAGAAGAGGGAGTTTAAGAACTTAGAACGAATTGAGAAGAGTGAGTGAGATGGAGTGAAGCGAATCTTGAAGGTTGTATGGCATCGCATGCAATACTAATTTAATTTTTTGAATTTTTATTTATCTAAATTTTTATTTAATTAATATTTTAGATTTGAAATTTATTTTCGATATATTAATCATTTTGGATAATTTATAAAATTATTTTATATAACTAAAATTTTTAAAAAGACAGATAGAATAGCTAACATAAAAATTGATACTATGAGGTTTTTATTCTACAAATTAGGTTCGACATGCAAATTGATATATATACTATTTTTTGTTTATATATAATTCATAGAAATTTATAGCAAAACAAATAAATATTTTAAAATGTATATAAAAAAAAAAAAGTATTTCATTTATTTAAAAAAATAAAATATTACAAATAGATCTCACTTTTGAAATGTTTCAAATGAAAAGTTTTGAAAAATAATATTTTTGCATTAAGTTAAATATTTCTAATGCATTCAAATACAATGAGAAAAAATAAAAAATAAATACTCCGAACAAATTTCATCTTGTGACAAAAAAATAAAAAAATAAAAAAATAAAATTGTACTTCACAAAATTTACAAAACATAGGGCATAGTATTCTTCACAAAATCTTACCAAAAATGTAATAGAAACTCAGCAAAATTTCAACCATAAACTGTACAAAAACTCTAAGCAGTGGATGAATCTCAGAGACATACATTTTCTTACTTCTACTTCTTTTCTTTTTTTTTTGATCGGATGTTTTACTTCTACTTCTTAATCGAATGTTGGATCGACGATGAACGAACAGCCGATCCGACGATTAGCCTTTCCTTCGAACAATTGTTACACTGCCTTTTCCATTTCCTGTCACAAACTTAGTTTTGCTGACTACAGGTTTCCCTGAGAGTTCCGATTTTGAGTCGGCCTCGCTGGACTCACGTCTGTCTTTCTTGTAAATCGGCGGCGGGGCATTTATTCGTTCATTTATGTCATTGATCGTTGTATCGCCGAACAAGCTGGACGATTTGACGAACGAGAATGGAGACACGACTAAAGATGTGGCGTGCTTCTTAGGCGTGCCTATTATTTGCTCTCCCCCTGTTTAGTCGAAGAACAAAAAAAGAAGTAGTCATCAAAAACTTGCCTGGTGATTCGAAAACAAAAGATTGTAATGGAAACTACCTTTGGAAACGATTTCTCCGGGAGTATGAATGGATTGGCTTTGTCGAACGCGACAAGTGTTTTCTGAGAGGCCTGCGCTAATGCATTGTTGATTTTAAGCATGCGAGAAAAAGAACGTCGAGCGATAATCAATGCCACAAAATATAATTTTTTGTTACCCGGAATGTCGATCTGTTCATCGGAAGCTCCAGAAGCGCCGCTGAGCGAGTCAGAATTAATGGGAAAAAAGGAGTAGAGTCGGCAGCTAGCAAGAAAACAAACAAATTAAAATCGAAAGAGAGAAGATCAAGAAACTCACCGTTGGGCGTTGCAATCAGTATTTTGTTCCATGTTGATGGACAAGAAATCTTTGGAAAGTAACCATACGTTCTATTGAATCAGCTGTGAAGAAACGTTAGTTAGTTAGTTGGAGTTCCACCAAAGAAATTGCAAGAGGGAGTTTAGAGACTTCCAAGAACCAATGAGAGGATTGAGTGAGCTCCACTGAAGTGAAAAGGAAACAAAATAATAAGTATATTGTAGAAAAATTTACAAATTTATTTTTTTCCTTTTTCCAATTTCAAAAAAATAATAGGTCTATGTTCTTTAACAAATTATTATTTTTTTTATTTTGGTTCGTTCTGTAACAAAAATATCTATTTATTTTTCTTATAATTGTACTATTAATTTAATATTAAAAATACTATTCCAATTTATAATATATTATACAAAGATCATCACTTTTAAAACTCCGTACAAAAAACAAACGTATATATAAATATAGAACGAATGGAGCATGTCAATACAAGGCCTTATTATTATTCTTTGGTGCCGGAAAAAAGTACGTGCAGGTCTCGTTTGCCTATGTGGAGAAGTCGCGCAGATGTGGATGTCATCGGAACTGAATTGGCACGCAACCTGGTACATCGGCGGTGAAGATGTGGAAATTCGAATTTTTAAAAATTTAATATTTTAAATATTAAAAATAACCAAACAAAACTAAAAACATATCACCTCTACACTCTATAAATTTTCCTGACTAGAGATTGAATTCGTCTTTGTTGTATATTGGCGTTTATTCGTTGGTTTATGTTAAGTGTTGTATGGCAAGCAAGCTGTGTGGGTTGATGAAGGTGAATGCCTGAATGGATACACGACTTCAGATGCCGAGAATGTGTGACTGTGTATTTGGTATAGGAAATTGACAAAATAGAAATAAAAATGTTTTCATTTTTGCTTGTTTGTTTGAATACAGACTTGGCCGGGGCCCGGTTTGTTAAGAATTCGAATTAACATAATAACTCTAGCTTGGCTCATTAAGTTCATATTCAAAAGCTCAGCTCAAATTTGAATTTTATACGTACTCTCTATATTTTAATATATAAATTAAATATAATTAATTTTGTTCATAATTTATTATAATAAAATATTTAAATTTTTTTAACAAATATAAATTTTGATATAAAAGTTATATATATTATATTAATATATAAAATAATATAAATATTACTAATGACCCTAGTCGAGCTACTCGTTCGATTCGTTTATAAAAATAATAATTTTCGAGCTCAAGTTCAGCTTATTTATTTTTATAAACGAATCGAGTCAAATATTGGCTGCAAGCTACTTGATTCATTTAATGTTTGTACTCCACATCATAGTTTCATTAAATAATGGATCTCTCATTGGATGCTTTTTCTTTGAATCCGGCAACAACGACGACTACCCGGAAATTGGACTGGTGGCTAACTTGTTGTTTTCCCCGAAGTTCACAACTGACCATAATACATTGATAGCTGTGTACAATTCAAACACAGTCGTGTATATTTGATCAGCATGTTCTTACTATTCAAATACGATCGTGTTCAATCCAGATTAGCATCTTATTTAATTTACATCAGCATTTTTTATTTTTTTTTGTTAAGTTTTTAAAGGTGAGATCAAAATTGTTTATAGTAAAATTGTGACTAAAATTAATAAGTTGTGTTTCGACGGAATCAACTTTAATTTTTTACATATATAACAAATATGTAATCAAGTAAACACTCTCTGTATAATATGAGTGGTTTAAAAAGAGAAAGAAAAGGGAAATATCTGAAATAAGGCAATAGTAGAGGGCAACTGAAAACTACAAACGGGAATGCCTCGATTTCAATGTTGTATTTTTCGACTGAGTCCTTTGACCTCCGTCGTATCAATAGCTGTTGGAAATGGTTTAGAACTAGAGTTCTTAAACGAATTGAGTAGCTCGCGAGCCAAGCTCGACTACGAGCCGAGCTCGAGCTCAAAGATTATTTTTTCTATAAACGAGCCAAGCTCGAGCTCGGCTCGCGAGTAACTCACTTGAGCTCGTTGGTGATAATATATTTATATTATTTATATATTAATATAATATATATAATTTTTTATATCAAAATTTATATTTATTATTAAAATTTAAATATTTTATTATAAAAAATTGTGAATAAAATTAAATATATGTAATTTATATATTAGAAAATATACTCCCTCGTTCCTATAAATATAGTCTTAATTGGGTTGGACACAGGAGTTAAGAAATACTATATTATAGGTAATGGGTAAAAAGTACGTTAAAAAACTTTTTTGCCTTGTAAGTGTATTAGTGTAAAAAGTAGCGGCAATTGTGTAATAAAAATGAAAATGTTGGGGTAGTCTTATGGTGATATGGTTATTTATGGAAATAAAACTATTGTTTTGAGACGGACAAAAATAATAAACAAGATTATTGTATTAGAACAGAGAGAGTACATAATATGAATAAAATTCAAACCGAGCTCGAATTTGAATTTGAGCCTAACGAGTCGAACTAGAAGTACAATTTTAACTCGAATTCTTAACGAATTAAACCGAGTTTGTACTGTTAACAAATTCAAATCGAACTCGAATAATCAATACTCGAACTTGCTCGGCTCGTTTAATAACTTTAGTTAAAACTTAGAGCAAGCACATTGGCCAACTTAGAGATGGCCTCTCACGAGAGCAGAGGCATTTTTGTTCCTATCTAAAAAAATTGACTTTTTTTCCAGACTGAAAATGGAGGCACGTGGAATGAAGCCTAAAGTAGAAGTCACTTCCAAGTACATAACTATATTGGAAAGTTCATTATGGAAAGATTTAAGTGAAGGTATTTTATAGTGACAGTTGTTACTTGTATATTAAAGGGAAGTTAATAGCATTTTGAGTAGATAAAATATATGAAAAAATGTATAAATTTAATGAGTAATCAAAAAAGAAATACTTCCGTAAATTTGGCGAATATTATAATTATTCGAAGTCGTATAAATAATTTATTACCATTCAAGGTGTTCTACTTTTAGAATATTTATAAAATTACATATAAATAAAAAAAATTATTTACTATCAATAAACTATGCATAAGTTCAACCCACTATTAGTCGGATGAAAAGTACTAATTTATAATCCAGTAAAAAATGGTTTGGTAGTATAAAAATATTTGGTGCTGATCTTAATTCTTAATTTTAATAACAAATGTTTAAATAAAAATAAATATTATTTTTTTTAATTATTTTTGTTTGTCCATTCAAAAAATATTTTTCAATAAGTATAATTACATACTAATACTATAACTTCAATTTTTATATAAAAATATAAAACAAAATCATTTTACACACCCCTAATAATCAAAAAAATATTTATTATTTACTTTCTAATCTACCGGAAAAATTCAAAAGAATATTTTGAACCACAACATAAAGTATCACTCGATGAATGCATAAATAAACAAGAGCGAAGAATAAGAAGCATGAAACCAAAGCTCAAATCTCCTTCACTCAAATCCTCTCTTTATTTGATGATCACAATAATGATAACAATAACAATAATAATAGTAGTAGTAGTAAGTCAGAGTTTAGGGTTTATAGCTTTAGTTTTATAGCAGCAGTTATACTTAGATAGACCTCATCTCATCTCATCACTACACTAATAAAAAACACTCATCTCCTTTCCTTAATCATCATTTATTTATTTTCTTACTTTCTTGCTCATTCTGCCTGATGCTGATTCTGATGCTGCTCCAGGTTACGGAGGACGATCCGCGCAAAGATTTTTGCTTCCAATGGGGCTCCCGTAGCTGCAGCCGCCACACGCAGAACTCGTGGGGCCCCCGCATTGTGGAGAAGGCTCACGTGATGCAATGCATGACGGCAACCAGGAATGCTAAACTGCAAGTCGAAATTTCCAATAGAAAGAGGGAAAAATTCAAATTATATAATTGGATTCTGGAGCCAATGTCAAGCCTACTGAGGGAGGAAGTTTCCGGAAGGCCACAGTTAATGATGCACAAAATAACAAAGTTTCTAGCATATAAATATGTTTTGTAGTTGAACGTGCATTGCGGGGAAGTAATCAGGTTACCTGAAGAAGAGCGAATGCGGCGCATGACTTGAGCGTTGGGGAAGGGTTCCGTAGCATAGTAACAAACCTTCCGATTTCACACCCACTGGTGAACACATGAGGAGCAAAGTTCAGGTGATTTACTACACAAATATACATACATATATATATATATAACTACAGCTATAGTGCTGAATTCAGCGCTGTGCTGACAATACATTAGTTAGTGACGGACACCACAAAATATAAATAGACAATACCAAATATAATTCATGTATTGACGACACATAATAATAGTTCATTAAGCACATACTATAATTGAACTAAGCATGTCTCTGTACAACAACCACGTGTGCTTTAACTAAAACCATGTGATTTTTATTTTTTATTTTTGATTACTAATAAGCACAGTAACTAGTCCACATATATATATATATATATATAGAGAGAGAGAGAGAGAGAGAGAGAACCTGCATCTAAGATGACCAGCCTCAGGAATACGCACAGATTCTGTTACTTGCGCCAGCGCTGCAGGGCCTGATGACGCAGCTGCCGCAGAAAAGGCTTGAGGGTCTGAAAACGTCTTGAGGAAAGAATCGATGTGTCTCAATGCCATTCGTCGGGGACCATCCAAGTTTCCGCTTTTGGAGGGGCCCTCTGACAGTGAAACTATTTGAGCAATCTCATCCATTCTAGCAAGAAATGCGGACATTAATTAAGAGTGACGGCCAATATTTACAAACCTTTGGAATTTGCGAAATTGAGGACAATATAAAGATTGAGTTCGAGAAGATTGTCAAGTAGTATACCTTCCGTCGAACATATAGGCTAGTGCCAGTGCGGACATGAAACATGCCATTTTGGATGCAGAATTCGAGCAAAGCCAAACTAAAGCTTGGACACCACCTTCCTCAACAATCCGAAGCGCATTGCCAGGATTGAATGCAAGATTCCAAAGAGCTCCCGCAGCAGTCTCGTGCACATCCTGAAAGTTTTGCGTCATATGAAACAAATGGGCGTACACAGAGAAGAATAAAGCCGACATTCACTTGAACTTCTAATTTTCATTCCATTCCATCGAAAGAAAATTAAAGAGAATCATCAATTAGACACATTACACCAGCCAATCATCAAGAAAATCCAATAATAATTCAAGTATTCCTCTAGTTATATTTAAATTCACCTTTTTCTACTCACAAAATTTATTGTCCATTTATCAAATATCAATGTAACAATACTTGATCTATCATACTTTACAAATATTAGTAATTTTAAAATAAAATAAACATTATTATTATTAAAACAATAATAGCACTATTTCAGAGTCTAAATGCTCCAGAGCACAACTGCACCAAGCATATATTATTTCTTACTTTTAACAAGTACACCTCCGAAATCTGGTAAAAGACAGAACTTTTCTTCTATTTACTCCATGAATTAAAATAATATTTCATTCAAGATCAGATTTTAATTCCTTCATTGTTTTCGAGAACTGATTAAGACTAAGTACGATATCCCCCTAAAACAGTTTATAAGCAATGTATAAAAACTAAAGTTGTAAACACAAAATGCAGAATTAAACTTCGGTAAATCATAACTAAGCAAATACATGTTCCAAAAAACCGTACATCATCAGGTTTAACAAATTACCTCAGAATTTGATCTGGCCAGTGCTATCAGTGGTGCAATGCCCCCTTCGCGACCAATAGCAATGCTATACAGAAGAAAAGTTTATATAAAACTCAGAAAACCAAAATATATACATATATACATTCACATTGTTATTAAAAGATGTAAATAAACTGTGAACAAAGATACATATGAGAGCAGTAATAAAAGAAGGCAAATGCCACTACTTGGTTGTTACCACCGTGCACGCTAATTTAATCCTCTTACAACTCTTACAAGGCATTATGGTAATGTTTTGTAATTGCAATTCGACTTGGATGGAAGAAGATGATGCAATAATCTATACAGGTAGAGCACACTCTTACCTGTTTGTTTCTGACACAGATAATCCCCAGAGAGCACCGGCAGCCCTCTCCTGAAGGCCATGAGATGCATTCGAGCAGGAATGTGCTAGAGCAACCTGACCACAAGAAAAATTGAACAATCATAAAAAAAAAAATGGACAGCCTGGAGACACAAATGAAAAGGATATACTGCCAAGAAATACATCTAAAAGGTAATGCCTCTTTGATGTAAAGAGCTTTCGGAAGCCTCAACATAAAATATATATATATATATTTGAGATAAACCAAACATTTCATGATTTTGAACATGTTTAACTGATCCTATAAAAGTTCCACCAAATTTAAAAATAAAAATTAAAGGGAGAGCCTTAAACTCTATCACACAGAATGGATGGAAACAGATTGAAGCCTCTCAAACTAACTGTTATAGTCCCCTTCAAATGTAATCCCAGCTAGCAATTCGACAAAATCTTAAGTGATGCTTAAACAAGGATGAACACACAGACACAAAATTGAAACAATATCTCACCAATGCTGCAACTCCACCAGCTGCTGCAATTGCTTCTCGATTTCTGTCATCAAAGGATAAATTCCACAATGCGCCTGCAGCTTCTTGCCTACACACCACCCAACAATGTGTGATTTTTATACCCACGAGCATGAAAAATCAACAGAACAACAGCAAGGGATAGGCTTACTTGACACCATCATGAGGTGAATTAGTAAGTTGCACCAGAGCTTCAAGAGCTCCTATCTCTTGCCCAACAGCAGCATTGTTATTATTACTATCACCATGAGCGGCCAAATTTGCCAAAGCCCGAGCAGCCTTGACAGGTAGTAATCAACGATTCTCAGTAGCAGTAAAGGATGTAACAAATGAATGGTAAAGAAGACATACCAAATTTGAGGTAATGAAGGGATCCACATTGCCATGATTTCAGGTGTCGATATTTTAGGTTGTGGTTACTTGAAGTTCTTTTACAAGATTTTTACTGTTTGTGAAATTTTTTAACTCCAAAAACATCAAATCAAATACCTACATTTTACTTTTTATACTATAGTAAAAATCAATTTTACTTTCAACCATCACATCAAATACTTATATATATCACATCAAACAACTTTTGACATTGAAAATTGTACTATTCAAAAACAAACCCCCCAAACAAACGTACCCTTAGCCCCTAGGCTTGGGTAATTTTATGCTCATTATATAGAAATTTGAACTTCCGTTGCCAAACTCCTGATCTCAGCATAGCCAAGTCTTAAACAAACATGAAACATTTTTTGGCAGGGATCAGGGAAAAATCATACCTGCTCTTGCACTCCTTCAATTTTGCAATTTCGAGCAAGCATCACTAATGCATGTACACCACCCATTGTCGCAACTTCAATGCTGCATTTTTCATCCGCTGCTAAATTCGCCAATGCGCCAGCAGCACGTTCCTGGAGTAAATTCAAGAATCAGCACAAGGCACCTAGGTATGCTACATTAATTAAATTCATTGTTGTAGGACATGATGTACAATAAACGGCAGGCTGCTGGAATCTTTTAATATAAACCAAAAATATTGATATGATTGCTGGTTATGAACTAAACTTTCAAATAAGGTCATTAATTAGCATAGCCAAGGACTCCAAAGTTCTGAAACATACCAACACTCCTTCACCGCCAGAAGTCCTCGACCACTTGAAGATAAGTTCTACTAACGCTTTTACACCGCCAGACTTGGCAATGGCACCCTACAATAGGATCTTGAGTCATAATATGAACACAATAAGAGCAATAAAAATAAGATTAAACAATAAAACAATTGACCTTATGTTCTTCGCCAACTGACAGGTTCCACAATCCGCCAGCAGCCTCTTCAGCAACCAATCTGTTAACAGATCTCGCAAGATTTGTAAGAATGTCTATTCCCCCTTCGTCTGCCACAGCTTTTGCAACCTTTGCATTCACCGATAAGTTTGCAATTGCCTGCACAAGAATTAAATTCAAAACAAGTTTATATCATTGTATAAGCATATTCTTAAATTCTATTCAAAATCTAACCTTGGCAGCTTCCGACTGGAGCCCCTCTCGCCAGGATCGTGCAAGGTTTAGAAGAAGGCTTATCCCACTATCCTGCATAACCGCTTCTGCCCGTCCTATGTCAATACTAGCATTTTCATCATCTACAACAATGAAAGTCGCCAAAGCCGTGGCTGCTCGTTCTTGAACTTCCTCCTGACTACTCTGCATGAAATTAAGTAACAAACCCGTACCCTGTTCAAGCCAAAACTTATCTAAACCAGAAGGATTGCTCTCGGAGACACGCAGAAGTGAATTGGAGAGGTTCCATTCCAGCCAGTTCAAGATCTCATTCAATGTCTTATCTTTTATAGAATTCGACCGATGCACGAATATATCCCTATCGCTTCTAGGTGTGTCACCAAATAAACTACCAACTCCTTTGAGAATGTCGGTGAAGACAGTGAGCAACACTTTCCCTTTATGATTGTTGTTGGACGCAAATGCAGCATCCCCCTCAAGCGCTGGACAACTCAAGGAACATAACAATTTCAAACTAGATGAAGACGAAAAAAGCCTAGAAACAGCACTAGGGCCAATATCCGTTCGGGAAACATCTAAGCCAATGAGATTCGGAAGCTTATTCCAATGCTGCACGGCTGAATCCCACCTTATATTCGTCGTCCCAGCCACTGACAGGAAGCGAACAGACTCCACATTTCCCAGAGCAGCTTCGTCTACCTTCCGGCAGTCAATGAATCCAACGTCCGTCAAACTCTGGCAATGCATAGCCAATGCATTAATTGCATCTGCTTCCACTTCATGGATAGAGAGCCGCAATTTCTGCAGCTGAGGGCAACAAATTGCTATAGCTTTCACGGCGTCGCTGGTGATCTTTTCGCAATAATCTGGCCCTATCTGAAGACACTGTAACTCTTGATGACGAGCTGCGAGCACACAGATCGTCGCATCAGTCATTTTCCTGCAACCATCCCCACTGACTTCACGTAAATGCTTTGCTTGAAGGTTTATGATAGCTTCGGCTGATTCAGGACCTCGGAACCTAAGCTTCTGAAGGTCACCACACCGAGAGGCGAGAGAAGAAGCAGCCGCAGAGTCAAACTTATGGGCCCGGACATCCAATGCCTGCCACAAACAAGAAGATCTACCCAGAGCCCACCATGTTCGGCAGGTTGATGATAAAGCGGCTCGGTCACGATAGTTGAGGCACAGGAAGATCTGAATTACTGTATCATCGGGTAATTTAGTCCAATCAACCACTCCTTCCTCGGGTAACATTAGATTCTCATCAACTTCAGGGATATCCACTTTCTCTTTGCCCCTTTTAACAACCCTTCTTCGAACTCTCCGACTCATACTTGATTCGATTCAACTGAAACTACTCTGAAGATCACAGCTATCAATGCAGGTTCAAGAACGTCAAAACCGAAAGCTGCACTCTCTCCTCAATTACTCCAAAGCTTTGAAAACAAAGGAACACTTATTGCAGCACCAAATTCAACAACTGTCTCCCAACAAAAACTGAAATTGAAAATGTTCTTCCTCAGTTAATGTTCACTTGAATAGATGCTCGGAAGATAAATCATTTCATTTTTCAACAAACTTCCAAGATGAGAAGCAAAATTATGAATGTGCCCTAATTCACGAATATCATCATCAAAGATAATACATGAAAGAAGAAACCCTAACCCCAAAAGAAAACAAGAAAAACAGAAAAACACTAAAGCAAATCTATAAAGCACAAGAATCAGCAGCGTGGAACGAGGAAAAATGACGAATCTCTCTAATCACAAAGTGAATGCTCAATATCCATTGAATTGAATTGCGTTTACCTTCAATTCAAACCTAGGTTTTCTGTAGCGAACACTTCTAAATCCCAAATCTTCCCATTAATCCACAGCCCTAAGGGAAAATTCCATCAAAAACAAAAAAACTTAAAGAAACGGAAATAGAACAAAATCCTAGCCTATATAAAACAAGAACTCGCACCAGATGCAAAGCAACAAATTTCAAATTAGGCACAGAAATTTCTTGGGGGTTGTTTTTACAAATTCACACACCTCCGAATAGGAATTACACGACAGATTGGTTGAGCAGGAGGAGGGACAAAGGGGAGGAAGGGTCGGAGAGAATTCAGGCAGAGTAAATCAAAGCGGTGAGAGAAAAGCCTAAGGGAAGGGCAGGCCTGAGGCTCAGCCCACATGTCCACTCCCCTCTCATTCACACGCACACGCCCACTATTGTATAAATATGGAGAAGTCTGTGTCTGTGTGTCAATGGCGGATTACATTCTACAAATGTGTGAAATTCAATGGAAATTACATGGGATAAGATTGGAATTAATGTTGATACAGGGCAGGGCAGGGCAAGGAAGATCCGACATGGGCTGCTTCCTGTCGATGGGTTTTTGTGTTGAGCTTGTTGGACTCGTTGAGAATTTTTAGCATTTATCACTATATCAACATTAATGTATCTTTTTTTTTTCACTTTATTCTTGCTACTCTTTATCGGTAAAAATTTATTTTTTAATACGAATTAGGTAAATTTTGGATAGTCATGCTAAGCCGGTCAAATAAGTAACTAGGAAAATCTTGTATAACAAACTCGATCGAAAAAGACAAATCGTAAATGAAATTTGAATTAATGAATTGTAACTGCCGAGCAATATACTACACCAAATCGGTTGATCCTTATGGTTAGTAGTAAATATTATGAAAAATAAATCATTAAAATTAAAATTAATGGTATGAAAAATTTATGTTATAATGCATATAACATTTAACAAGTTATATAATATGATAGATCTGAAAATAATGATTGATTCAATATCTACCGTTGGATCTTGACGTGGAAGATGATGATGAACTATATCGGTGGTGGTGGGGTTGCGTGAAATGGTATGGGAGGAGGAGACGGTGGTGGCGGTGAAGGTAGCGGAGAAAAGTGGGATATGGTGGTCGTGGAGGTAGCAATGGCAGTAGAAGTCATGTAGATGGTGGAGATGGAGAAGAAGATGGTTGTGGAAGAGGACGGGGAAGAGAAATGGTGAAAACTGTAGAGTATAGGGTGACGGCAGCAGCAAAAATAGCAACGGCTATAATATTGAAAATTTATTTTTTTACGGACTAATTTGTTCCGATTATATGATACCTATAGTTAAGTTAATTAGTATTTTTCTTTATTACGATTAATTGACAATAATTTATAAATATGAAATTATATATGTAATAAAATTATATGTTATATAATATCTAAGATAGAATTAATTAAAATATATTACATATTTTCAATACAAAGTAAATATTTACTTTTAGCACCGTATTTAAAAAATAATAGTATTTTAATTATAATGGACAGTTAAAAAGTAGTGTAATGATATTTTTTTCTCCACTTTAAAGATGTGATGTAAAATAAGGATATTTGTAAAAAAAAATGTGAAGTATTTAATAAAATGTTTACTTTGTAATTCGATATCTCAAAATAGAAATATGTACACTTAGTAGCTGGACAAATGAATTATAAATTTTATAGTATGAGTTTAGAAGAGTGATTGGAATCTGAGTACTTGATTTCACTAGAGATTTTTCAATAATTTATTCTAAATAGGTAATTATGTATTTTATTACTTTTATTTATCTTGCACCAATTTATATTTTTCTTACTATAACAAAAGCAAATTTTACACTAATACTAAAATGATATTTATTTATATAAATTATAAATAACATATCATATTTTTATATATATATTTCTTTTTATATGAATGCAATCTCATCATTATTGTTAAAAAGTTATTTTTTTCACTCTATTAAATTTAAATAAATATTTCTTTTGTTATCACAACTCCAATCCCTACACCACCGTATGCCATTCCTTACGGGACCTTAGGCATCTGTATTTTGTAATGTTTATGGTGTAGTCTAAACGATACCTAAGTGGACGTGGACGCTTTTCTATGCTAGATTCATTGTTGCAAAACACAACCTACAATTCTTGTCATTATTTATATATTACTGTCTCCATTCCAATATACAGTATACTCGGAGTAGTATTTATTATTTTATTTTGATATAATTTTTTTAGATAAGATAATATTTATATTATGTTTACTTGAAATAATTTTATAAGTTATATCTATAAGAATAAACTAGCAAAAATTAAATAGAAATGCAGATAAATTATAGATATTTTGAGTCATAAATTAGAAATTATAACGAATACGTATCCGTCAATTCTGTGAGATTTGATCTCAATAACGCATTAACGCAAAAGAAGACAGATGTTGACTTAACAGGCGCTTCAGTGGACGTTACGCATTGGAGCTTGTACCTTTAGGCATGCATTACTCTATTGGTCTTTACGCTTCATCACTTGTACGCACTCAAAGGTATAAATATCCGTCGACTGCCTCATCGCGCAGGGGATAAGAGGTGCGCTACGCAATGACGTCATCCTCTTCGTCGTCTTTCTTCTCGCGTTTCTGCTCCTCGGCCCTTCGTTCCAGACCACTGTCTCCGCCGGAGGAGACCTCCGTCAGAACGAAGTCAGGCGAAGATCTCGTTCGGCGGTTGGGACCCTTCGATTTGGTTCTACTCGGCATTGGTGCGTCTATTGGTGCTGGCATATTTGTCGTCACCGGAACGGTTGCTCGAGACGCTGGACCTGGTCGGTAATTCTGATTTTTTTGCTGCTGTTTTGGTTTTTGCAAGCATTATGTAGTTTGGTTTATTTCTGCTTTCTCTCTTACTCTTGTATTTTGGTGAGATATGTATGTTCTGGAATCAGCTGAGATTTTAGAATATAGATTATTCTTAAGACAAAAAGGTTATTCATAAATTTTGGAGTGGATAATGGGGAGTTGAATAAGCTATTCTGAAAACTTACTATTGGTAGAACTTAGAAACTGTTGAAGATTCATTATTTGGTGATTAATAATGATTTGGAGTCACAAAAGCCACTTGATCAAAGTTGTAAAGTTTTTGTTGCCATGATAAACACTTGTTTAATCTACATTAGTATTGTTTAATCTACATTAGTATTGGATACTTTGTATTGAAATTATACTCCATGTTGGTAGTTAGTCATAGAACCATTTCTTCTGATGGCTTGGTTGATTGCCTTATTGTGCCATTTCAGATTTTATATTTTTGGCAGCTGCAAGTCTGCACATATGTAATAAAACCAATTTCAACACACACACACACACACACACACACATAGTTTGTATATTTATTTTTTTTCATTATTTACAATTTAGCTACCAATTAATTTTGTATTAAAGGAGTTAGTCCCTGCAATGTGACACCTACCATTTCAAGGCTAGAGAAGGGAATTAATGAGGAGCACTGTATTAATGTTGGATTGGTAGAATAACTTTGATGGGTAGCTTTGCTCTTTAGTTGCCATGTTTGCTAATTTGATTGATTTTGATAAAGGTAATGTTATTGGCTAAGGTTTGGTTTGGTTTTGCATGATTTTTTCAGTATGCTCACCTTATTTTGCCTTCGTTCTTCACCAGCAGCGTTCACATTTTCTTCCTCTTTTATGGCCTTATCTGGCTGGCCTTCGCTGCAACCCCCTTTTTCCTTTTTTTTTCTTTACCTTTGTTCCGCCACCTACTTTTGTTTCTTGCTTCCTTGTCTATTATCATTTCTTATTCCTGTTATCCTGTCTCTTGTTTAAGTTATTTTGCATCTTTTTGGGATTTTCATATCGATATCAATTTTCAACTAGCCTTATAAGTAAGCAATAACTGTATCTATATCTTTTTTTATAACGAGCAATGACTATATCTATTAAGCACATGTAAAGTATTTCATGTACTACTTCACTTACGGAATATTAATTCGTGATTCTATTTATAACTTGGGAATAAATCTCATTATTATCAGTCTCAAGTCCTTATGAGAATTGTAAACATTTTTTCTATTCTCAATGATCATGAAATTACATAACACAACAAATAAATATATAGAGCCTAAACTAATACTTCCTTCAAGATGGAGCGTATAACCGTATAAGTCGTACGATCCAAACTTGTTACATATAAACTCTGATTTAGTACTTCTAAGGGCTTTAGTTAATATGTCTGCAAATTGATTATTTGAAGGCGCATAATACATCCAGATAATACATACTCTCATATGAAGTGACAAATCTATTTATATGCTTTGTTTGTTCATGTAACACTGAATTTGAGATGATGTGCAATGCTGCTTGATTCTCACGCCACAGCTTCATTTGCGTCACCTCTTAGAACTTGAGTTCACAAATTAATTGTGTAATCTAGATAAGCTCACATGTAGCTAAGACCATGACATGATATTTGGCTTCCACGCTACTTCACCAGAACATCCAAGCACATCTTATTTGTTACTTTGTAAATCTGTATTCTATTATCATGATTATGAAAAGACCTAACACAACAAATAAATATACCTCACTTAAATGGTCCTAAACTAATCATAAGTAAATGGGCCTGATCTACCAAGAATCATTGGGCAACGACTTTCCTTTATATCACGATTCTATTATTCTTGTTTTTTTTGTTTTTTTTTTTTTTTTTTTGTTTTCACAAATATCCTTTTTATATCCCATCTTCTTGACTTTTTTGGTGTTTGACCTATATATCCAAAACCTTTTCTATTGGTTGGTGAGTCTAATTAAAACAAAATTTCATATATATACATAATTTTCATTTCGGCCAATAATTTATTTCTTACCGTTATCAATTCACTTGATCTCATGATATTTGTTGTTTTTCATTATATAAAGAATTTAATCGTGTTAAAGAGGCATCTTTGGTAATTATCTCCTTTCTTTGACTTTTTTATTTTAGCGACGGAAGTTATAGATTTTCAATATATTCTTTTCTTTCGAGTATGTAATAGGAAACAACTTATTCAGGGACTCTTTAGAGATTTGAATCCCTATGACTTTTAGTTTATTAAGGTTATGTTTGCGATGCATTTTTTTCAATTTCTTTACTATGCAACCTCACATTCCCCTATAAAAACATAACAATTTTCCTTATAAAAATCACAACTAACAATTATTTCACCCAGAAAAAAAAAGGCACAAAACCAAAACCAGACACAAAGTAAGCACAATCTAAAGGCCCAACCTTCAATATTTATATTAAATATATGAAGTGTAGTAAAATAGCCACTGTTATAAGTAAATGTCAACTATATGTGCGTCATTTACCAACCAAATAAGTGGCAACATAAGTAGCATCATTAAATTCAGTTCCTTGTCTCCTTGCTTTTCTTTTAAACGATAAAAAATCCAAATATTTGTGTACATAGCATTACAAATACAAACTCACATGCATGTACTTGATAAATAAATATGTAAAAATGTTTCATTATTTGGCACCTTGGCAGCGGTCAAGGAAATTTTCCATACTAAGGAGCGTTGTATCAACATGGCATCTTAAAAAATATATTGTTTGAAACTTCTAATAGCAATATTTGTTTCATGATTAATTGGTTTTTCCTTTTAGTGAGGCTTCTTATAGCTTCATGAGGTGACTGAGACATGAATATGTAATTAGTGGCCTTCTATATTGCATTTGTGACAACTTTCATGTACTTTCTCTATAGCCATTATACCTTTGGGGCTTTTATGCTTTCAACTTTATGTCATAGCTAATGTTGCGATGTTTAGGCGCTAACGTGCCATAATTATGTTGACAATTTTTTTATTGGACCACCACCATGTCCAAGTTGGGAAGATTGAATAATGTTCTCCATAGGGAAATGAAATCGAGCTGGTTGGCCTGAATTCATGGTGTCGAGTGATAATTCATTATTGTGCCCGGCAAGTAAGGAAACAGGCTATAAGTTCAAAAAATCCTTTATATCCCTTTTCTCAATGCACAGAAATAGGAAAAAACTTCCCAACATATCGCTACTGGTCATAAAGACACTAACTAGGCTCATTGATTTTAAACATGGTGAAGTTATAGTATGTGGCTATTATGAGTTCGCAAATGATGCCATTTGTATATGGCCTTAGCAGTACGATCATCTTTAGGTGATCGTAATCTTCTTTTATATGTTTCCACAGTTAAAGATGGTTTTAATAATTCAATGATAAGATATTTCATCTTCAGTCTATATATGTTGGAAGAATATCCTAACTTTGATGCGATCTTGACTTTTGTTCTATTGTTTGCTTTTACAATGGTTTCTCTGAGGACCTTGGTGTGGAAGTTGGTTACCTTGTTTGAACTCTGTAAAACTATCCGATTATCTTATGCTCTGCATATAACTCCTCTTTTACTTTCACATTGCAGGAGTGACCATTAGTTTCATCATATCTGGAGTAGCTTCTATGCTCAATGCACTCTGTTATGCTGAACTAGCAACTCGCTTTCCAGCTGTTGTGGGAGGAGCATACCTTTATACATACTCAGCTTTCAATGAGATAACTGCTTTTCTTGTTTTCACTCAATTGATGCTTGACTATCATATTGCTGCTGCTAGCATAGCTCGTAGCCTTTCGAATTATGTAGTTTCTGTACTTGAGTTGATTCCCTTCCTCAAGGGCAACATACCAAGTTGGTTTGGGTATGGTGATGAAGTTCTCGAAACTTTTTCTTTTAATATTCTAGCTCCTATTCTCTTAGTGCTTTTGACTGTAGTCCTTTGTTGGGGAGTTGGAGAGTCTGCAATACTCAATTCAATTATGACAGTAACAAAGGTACTATCAGACGCTATATAGTATTTACTTTCATTTCTGAATGCTTGCTAAAAGGGAAAATCCGAAGTGAATGATATAAAGCTTTCATAATACTGATATACCAACAGAGCACTATATATTATGTAAATGGAAATTGTTTAATTTCATTGTTTTAGATAATTATGAACATATATTGAATGTTTCTGAAATGTACCATAAATTTCATACTTTGTAAGCAGTATTTAAGGATTTCATTGAACAAGATGCTGTCTGCAGGTGGCCATTGTGGTGGTGGTTGTAATTGTTGGGGCATTTGAGGTTGATACCTCCAATTGGACTCCGTTTGCTCCAAATGGTCTCAAGTCGATATTGACTGGAGCAACCGTGGTCTTCTTCTCATATGTTGGATTTGATGCGGTTGCTAACTCTGCTGAAGAGTCGAAGAGACCACAAGTGCGTATTACACATAGATTCATTCACCTACATTTGCCCGCATTTGGTTTATAAGGCTGTCCACCTTTCTGGTAAATTTCTTACTTTCTGAATTTGACTTTTCAGAGGGACTTGCCGATTGGAATAGTTGGTAGCCTCATTGTCTGCATTGTGTTGTACGTTGGGGTCTGCTTAGTAATTACTGGAATGGTTCCATACCAATATCTCGGGGAAGATGCTCCATTATCAGATGCTTTCACTGCCAAGGGCTTGAAATTTGTATCTGTATTAATAAGCATTGGTGCTATTGCTGGACTAACTACAACACTTTTAGTTGGGCTTTACGTTCAGGTTTCTTGCATTTATTTCTAAATTTCTGACAAGTGACTAAAGTGGCTCTTGTGTGGTTGATAGTTGATTTTTTATTTTTAATTATTGTTGACAGTCAAGGCTATATCTTGGACTTGGAAGAGATGGCTTGCTTCCGGGTATATTTTCCAAAGTGCACCCCACACGACATACACCAGTTCACTCACAAGTGTGGGTTGGTCTCGTTGCCATAATCTTGTCTGGACTTTTTAATGTGGAAGTTCTCTCACACATACTATCTGTTGGAAGCTTGGTATGTTCTAGCTCTGCCGTATGAAAGTTAAATGCGGATTTAAAGACTCACTGTTATGACGCATTCCTATTGTTTTCTACTCGGGAAGTGCTTTTTGAGAGTTTGATGCTGACGAAATATGTTTCAGACTGGGTACTCAGTTGTGTCTGCATGTGTGATCACCCTTCGCTGGAATGATAAGGCTTCGAATCAGGCTTCTACCGAGAGGATCTCAAAAAGGAGAGAAGGCATCGTTTGCCTTGTCGGCATTGCCTGTTGCGGTTTTGCTGCTGGGGTCTTCTACCGTTTCGATGCTTTGTTTGTGTTCCCAGTATTAGCTACTGCTATCGCAATATTTTGTGCAGCTGCTGTTTATCTGCGGCAGGTAAGTTTAATCCAATTTTACTTGCATATTGACATGATTCAGAAAAAGTATTATCGCCTCTATGATTCACATCAATGACATAGAGGTCCAAACACTTCTAGACCAAATGCTACAACTACATAATCATTGACAAATCATGTGTTAAATGATAGTATTTGTTTCAATTTTCCGATATATCCTTTTGATATATGTTATTGGTCACAAGTTCACCCAACATACCTACTCGACCATACTACATATCCTTTTGATATAGTATGTACATTACAGATAGTATTTGTTTCAGTTTTCTTATTATGTCTTTCATTAATTAGAATTATGTGTAGAAAGAACGAAAATATTAACTACGGATGTTTAAAATACATACATGTTCTGCACATGATTTGATTAATAGAAAGCCAAGAGCCCAGAAGTACGAAAAATAACTGTGACTTATTGTGCATTGAAGGATTATTTTGCAACCCTTTTTAATTAAAGGGACACAAATTACAGATATGAAATTAGGAAAATATCACTAGATCGCCACATTTTATCATTGCTCTGATGGCACCAGCTTTTTGTCGCCCAATATATTGATTATTGAATACACATTTGCACATTGAAACACAAGTTCCATGTCATATGCTTCATGCCCGGATTAATCGAAGTTTAGCAAAAATGTTTCTTGAATCTTTGTATTGTATAACTACTATTATTGTTAATCAATTGAGTTACTTTGGAAAGTTTGGCTCATTTAGGCTTGAACTTTGCTAAACTAATTTTACCACGTTGAGCAAATGATTAGTTTATCGAGTCTAGTTAGAGATAAATTTTAGACAGTTTACTTAATCGAATAAGCTCAAGCCTAATTCATTCTAAGGCTCAATTATAGTTCAAAAACTCTTACAATCAATTTGGTTCAGCTTGATTTGATTCAAAGCTACAATAACCGAGATTTATACATATATGCAGTTTTTAACTTAGCTCTTTGAGTTTCTGCAGGTTTATGTGGTTCCACGCAATTTCTCCTGCCCCGGAGTTCCCATTATTCCCTGCCTTAGCATTTTCATCAACATTTTCTTATTCGCTCAGGTACTAACTACTAATTATCTACAACTCGACTTATGGCCGGGAAATGCTGGTGGAAAGACAGTAGAATAAATCAGTACTCTCATATGACATTATAACACTAACGTCATTCCATACCTGCAGTTGCACTATGAAGCCTGGGTGAGATTTGTAGTACTCAGCATAGTTGCAGTAGCTATCTATGCTTTTTACGGGCAGTATCACGCCGATCCATTGAATTCAAATTCGACCGTTGTTTACCACCGGGCGCCCGGCGAAGATGCTCCGTAGTCCCCACAATTTCATGTATGTAATGTATCTTGTTGTGCTGCTCTCTCTATCTCTCTCTCTCTATATATATATATATTTACTTCTTTATTTAGAAAAATCCTGATGCAGTTTCATCTGTGGTAAATTTGTGTTGAGCATGGAATCAAAAGTAGTTTCTTCTCCAGGCTCTTGTGAACTAATGGTTATATGTATATATTTGAGTTATATGCATATATATATATATATGTCATATGTGTGTGTCTATATACTGTATCTGTCATGTGACAAACACCTTGTGTATTTTTCTTGGCCCGATATTTGATTGACTAATTAATGCCAACTTGTAATGCTTTGTTTTGTTACTTTTTTTTAATAGAACAAACTTTTTAATAGAACAAATGTAACTCTCAGTTTGGATAGGTTGTTAAATTTTGAAAAAATTTAGTAGGGTTTGTTTGTCTAGTGTTTTGGTTTGGAGTATTATACAGGAATTGTGTCTTTAGGTTTGAATATTAACTTTTTGTAAAATGATGTACATATTATATGCTTATGTATTTTTAAAAAGTTACAATAGTAGCAAGTGTTTAACATCAATATATATGTATTTTTGAAAAGTTACAATAGTAGCAAGTGTTTAACATCAATATATATGTTTGATGATCCTTTCCGTGATAACCTAATGGTTTGGGGATAAACTTGTGACTGTGAGATCATGGATTTATATTTCGACGTTTCTAGGTCTTGTCTGTCAAACACAATTTGCCTTAAGTTCGGCCGTAGATTATCCAGCGGATTTTCATGTTATTAAATATATATATATATATATATATAATGTGTTTGATGAGATCACGGTAACGTGAAGTGATTTAAACTTTGAACATCTCTAAGTTTTTGCTAGTGGTTCCAAATTTTCATGTTATTAGATATGTGTATATATGTATATGACATAAATTATATAAATATAACACTTTAAATAAAAAAATAAAGATTTGAGTATTTATTTAATAATAAATATATAAAAAAGAAATCACATAAAATCATTACATGTGAGTACAAAAAATAAAAAAAATTGACTTAAAAGTTAAAATTTGGGATCGCAACGCCGGACAAGTGCAATCTTAATGAAGTTTGCTAAAAATTTGAAGTAAAACAAACTTTTAATATTGTATCCATAGAAATGAAGATATACAAATTAAGAAAATTTGTTTGTATTTTTTATTTTAATTTTCTAATATACTTAGTTGTGTAGTTGTTATTTTACTTATTTATAATATAGGTAAGAACATAATATTATTATTTTTTAACATGAAATATTCGAATATATTGATAAATCTCAAGACAAAAAAATATACAAGCCCGATTATGGGAAATACAATCCACTATAATTTTTACCATAGTCCTAAAATAAATATGATTTATTTCATTTTATATAATACGTGTATAAATTCATTTAGATTAACTTTCCACAATATACAGTGGAACTTTACATAGTATTATGTACAATATACTCTATAATAGTATTAGTAGTTCACTGAGTGCAGTGCATGTATTTTCTCATGCTCCCTCTTTAATAATCTATTAATTTTTTTTATTAAAGTATCATTTTACTTTTTTATTAACTGTACTATCTAATAACATTACAAATATTATTCTAATTTAAAATATATTATACAAATGTCATTACCAAGATTATTTTAGTCTTTTTAATTTTATTTCTATTACATCCAATATATATTAATATTTCTAAAACTCGTTACAAAAACCGAATGGCTAGATAGATATGAGATAGAGGGAGTATAAGATATACTGATATTTTGAGTCCCGTAAAGAATGACATAGTGGTGTGAGATGGACTTATAACGGTGAGATCCCCGACACCTCTAGGTCACTTGTCACGTGACTTGCCTATCGGGATTAGTTCGATCGAAATAAATATTATATAAATATGTGTATATGATATTTTGATATAATATTAGGAAACAAATAAGTATTTAAAAAAAATTTGTTTGGTATAATCATTGGAATCAGATAAAACTTTTTAAAATTATATGATTTGTTTGTCCATTAATTTTTTTAATATTTTAATCTAAAGTATTATTTTTTTATATTATAAATATAATTTCTTATATTTTATATATATCAAAAAAATTCATATCAAAACACCAAACAAACAAACAAAATTTTAAATATAGTAGAGAAATAAATTATAATATTTTATAAGATAAAATAAAAATTATATAAATAATATAAAAAAAAAATGTATGATATAATAATTTTTTTTTAAAATAAATGTATTAAATTATATTTTCGTTTTCAGAAAAAACCAAAAGAATTTTGCAATTTTTAAGAGTGTGTTTCTTTTAATGAGTTTGAAAAAAATTTTGTTTAAATTTATATAAAAATAATATTTAATGTAATATTTTGTAAAAAAAAAAAAAAAAATACACACTCCAAGTTTTACTATTTGAAAAACTACAATAAAAGAAACGGACCCACCCTAAATTCTAAAGATAAATTAATGTAAATCACATGATTATACCCTAGGCAGGCCCATTCCTAAGGGTAAGAAAGTAATTCGACGTTTAAATCCTCCTCCAAGTTCAAGACTCGGTCATATAATAAAAATAATACTATTATTATTATTAAAAGAATAAAATTACAATACATAAAATAATAAATATAGTGGAAGTATTTTTAACAGGTTTCTCTCCGCCTTCACCACCACAGCAGCCTTCCATTCCATTCTTCCTTCCATCCATCCATTGTTCTTCTCTGCAACCTTGTTTGCTCTCAAATCACTGTTTCTCTCTGCACGATCGAGAATTCCTTTCTTCTTGCAGGTTTCTCGTGATTGATATTCTCTTCAGAAGTCATTGGAACGAGTGGTGGAGAGTCGCAGTTTCGTTTGAATGAATTGGCTCCCTGTGATTTGATTTGTCCGCCGATCGCCCATAGGATAGTGATTTCTTTTCGCTTGTGGTTTGGATTTTTAGCTTAGTTTGGCTCGATTCTGTCGTGCGCCGTTTTGGAGTCCGTTGGTGATATGGCGTCTACTGTTCCGGCGAAATCTCAGCCGCTGCACAATTTTACGCTGCCGCATCTGAAATGGAATAAGGATGGGCACTCCAGCGGGCACAACCACCGCCGCCGATCCGTAAAATCGCCGTCGCGGAGATCGAATCCGTCCTCCTCCGCATCTCCTGTCCGACAGTCGCCGTTGCGCGATTCCGTTGCGGCTACGCCGCCTCGGTATCACTCTCCTTTGCGTGACTCTGCGGCGTCGTCTCCTCCGCGTGAATCTCCTGTTCACGGGAATTACCTGGGGAAGCAAACGCTAACTGTTGGTGAATCATCCAAATCGGACGGTGTTCGCGGAGGAGCGAAGCATCACTTTCCTGTATTCAAGGATAACACTGCGCGACATTTTTCCGGCCGTGATTTCGCGTCGGAATCGGAGGATTCCGCGAGAAGTAGAGGCGCCCCCTTCATCGAGCACCGGAGAAGCAATCCGAAGAACTCGGCGTTGGACGCTACAAAAATTGGAGTTTATGCAACAAACTCCGAGCGAGCGGCCCAGAAATTCGAAACAAAATCGAAGACAAAAGGCGCCGCCGCGGATGCAGTAAAGAGATCGAAAATCCTAATTAAGATCCCTTGCAAAACCACCAAAACAGAGGAGGAAAATTCGCCGGAAGAACCACCTAAGGTCAGGGGCGGCAGCGGCGGCAACAACCACGAAGATTGTGAAACTGACGAACTTCAGGAAGAGGCAAAGATTAACAACACCGCCACCGATGAAGAAATCAAAACATGGAATTTGAGGCCTCGGAAGCCGATACGTAAATCGCTGAACATGAGTACGAGTTCAATGAAAAACAACGGATCGTCGATCTCCGAGAAGAACAAAAATCAGTCACCGCTGAGGAATCTGCACAAAAGATCTGCTGAAAACGGCGGCGCCGCCGCCGCCGGCGAGAAGAAGGAGAAGCGGAAACTGAGCATCTCCATTGCCCTATCAAAAGAAGAAATCGAGGAGGATATCTTCGCCCTAACTGGATTAAAGCCGGCGAGGAGGCCAAAGAAGAGACCAAAGAACATACAGAGACAAGTCGATGTAAGCCGAGATCCGATCTATTTCTAGGGCTCAATTCTATGTTTCCTCCCGCGATTGATTTCTCATCAGATTCAATTGATTTTTCGATCTGCAGTGCGTATTTCCCGGTGCGTGGCTTCAAGGAATTACTGCCGATTCGTACAAGGTATCCGAAAGTTCCCTGAAGGTATGAATCTTGTTCTTCACGTTTGGGGGTTCGAGGTTTTGTGCCTTCTGGTTACTGATGCAGATCTGCTATGATTCTGTTTACAGGGTTAGGTTATAGACACAACCAATGTGTTTCAAGGGTTTTTTTTCATGGTTTTCATTGGCGATGACATCTGAAGGTACAATCTGCAGTGACATGGAGGAGATGAGGTGTGGTGTTCTTAGAATTTAGTTTTTGCCGGTTTGTCAGGTATGTCTGATTCTGATTCCCCAAATAATCCATGGATGAAGTGAAGTGATAGTGATGGTTCTTTTATTTATCAGTAGATGCAGCTGTAAATATGGGTTTCTTGAATTTGAACAATTTTCTGTCCTTAATTATTATCATTTTGGTTTTTGGATCTTAACTCTTTTCATTTTTACATGTTATTTCTCTGTTTTTTTGTTCTATGGATCCATGACAGTTTGTGAGTGTTATAATCTGAAATAGCCAATCTTTTGTTATGAGTTTTGTGTCTAATAGCAAACACTAAAATGCATAAATTGTAGCAAAAACCATAGGGGAATAGAACCAAGTAGAGAGACATATATTTGAGAATGTTTATGAGTTTATCTATTAATGGGTTGATGAACGAGAGTGGAGAGGGTTTTCTTGATTAGGTTTCTTGGGAGATATACTTTCTCAATTTGTTCTTGTTTATGTTTTTTTCCAATGGCCAATGGGGCCTATGTAGAAGCTTTCTGTCTATTCTTGATTTCATAAATGGTTGGAGTGTGTGTGTGTTTGTGGTGAGGAGAAAGGGAAAAGGGTTTGAGGGGGTGATTGAAAGAAAGAAAAATAAATAAATAAATAAAAATGAGTTGGTTTGACAAATTGGATGTGGTATGGTGTCAAAGATTGGTATTGAAATGATGGACTAAGGTGCTAATGTCAGCCCTCTTATTATTATTTTTATTTTTATTATTATTATTATTCCCAAATCTGAGAAATGAATGATTGGGATTAGAAGTGGGATTAGTAACTAAACTGCTGCCTCTGTTGATGGTTGTTTAGAACAATTAAAATAGTAGGAAAAGTTATGGAATTTTTAGTATTGTTGTTGTTAGTAGTAGTTTTAATCAAGAATATTAATAACGTTGGATCTTATTTTTAAAAATTGTTGAATTTTGTATTCTAGGGAGGAGTTGGAATTGGATGTCATGTGATGTGGTATTGGGTTTGGAATATTTTTTGCGGAATGGGTTTTAGATATATTCCTAAATCCATTACTTTTTTCCATCCTCCATATAACAAATAAATACAAGCATATGCATATGGGCTTTAATACTTTTTTTATATATATATATAAATAACGTGATTGCCATTCTAGGTAAACTTAGGCTGAACAAATTTTACGATTTTACAGTCACAAGTTAATCATATATCATAAGGTCATATTTTATGGAAGCAATGTTAACTTGTACCAAGGATAACACATCTTATTGGATCAACAAGTTAATCGCATATAACTAGATCATTTTTTACAAGACCATCTATGGTTATTATTATTATTATTTTTAATTATTGTTACATAGTTTGCATTATTATCAGCATTTTAACTTGTTCCAAGGAAGGATAAAAAATCTTCTCGGATCAATGTTATGTTTTGCCTTCTAAAATCGTGGTATGATGGTTTTGTTGCGGGTGATCATTTGATCAAACAATTTATGGTATCGAGAATTGTGTTGGTATTTTTTTTTATATACAGTATAAAATATGTGTTGATTTGTTTTAACAAAACAAACGAACCATTCAAATTTAATTTAAACATAAATCATTTTTGTCCAAACTGGAAAGGGAACACACCCAAAATTTTGGTTTATCATAGATAAAGGTTTTTGTAAATAATAAGTAAATAAATATTTAATGTAATTTTTTATAAGAAAAGTATGATATACTGTACAACATTTTTATAAAATATTATTAATAAATATTACTCTCTTGTCCCGATTAAAAATATTAGTTTTACTATTTCTTGTTTCATTAAAATATATTTATTTTGTATTATGATAAAAATAATCATATATGAATATATAATTATTTTTCATAATCTTTTATTTAAATTACCTGCTACCATTATATATATACTATAAAATGTTAAAAATGTATTTTTAGTAATTAAAAATTATTATTTTTAATGTATACGAAAAAGAAATGTAAAAGAAGTACATTGGTTGAGTTGAAAAGAATAGTAACTTGCAAACCACCCAAACTAAGAAAACCCAATTCGACGTCCACCCTTATATACATGCATTGTAAAATGCTGTTATTTAATAATGATAAAATAAAATAAAATAAAAAACATAACAACAATAATTCTCTTCAAAGTATAAACATGAAAGACATTTTCCACACACAAGAAACTGCATGCAAGCCACAAAATAGTCTCCAAAATAATTCTTCACCAAAAAATTGCATTGTCATGATTCCTTTTATTAATTATCTTTTTTGACAAAACCAAATGTCACACTGCCAAGACGAAATCCTTTTTTTTTACCAAAATTGTGAAAAAAAAAAAATGAAAATAAGCTGCAGCAAAATCCAACGCAATTTTATGCTGCAAAACAAAATCTCCAAATTTCATAGTATTTTTTTCAATAAAGGCTTACCACGATTCGATTGTCTGTCGCAACAGCCGGCATCATGCTGGAACATACGACTCGAGCATCAGTTGGGCCGGGGAGGGCGACGTCACTTCCACGATCAAATACATGAACTTCCATTGCTTGTCCACCTTATCTTTGAACATCTCTGCATAAACTTTTCCGGCTCCATGTGGTCCGCGGATGTGGAAATTGACCTGTAGCTCTGCTGTTACGACCCGGCATTTATAAAAATGATATAGAACGGGGTGGTGTTACTCTTTTCTTACCATGACGTGTTCGACTCCATCTTCATCAGTCCATGTTTTGTTTGGGATGCGTTGACGAGCAGCACGGTTTCTGCTTTCTGATCCGTAGCCAGTTATAGGGGATCCAATTCTAACCCTAACCTGTTGGACAGACAGCAATTAGGAATTACAACATTTGCTCGTGCAAAATCTGAGATATCAACTTCTAGATGTGTTCTGTATAGCATAGTCGAACATTGCAGAGGTTAAAAGATTTTGAAATTTAAACGAGGCTGATTGACATAATATTCAGATTCTTAAGGAACAACTGTTAACTTCGTTTTTCTTTACCCCTGAAGGCTGAAACCAATCAATTAGAGTCGATTAATATTAATCTTTTTTTCTCTCTCTAATCCTATGCTCGACAATTTGAACTTGGTAAAGTCATGCATTCCACCTAAATTTATTTAGTAACTTTGTGATAAGGAAAACTCGGGAAGCATACTTGGCCGTCATTTTGAACTCTATCCAGTGCCTTGTTGAAAATTTTGTACCTACAAGGCATTATCTTAAGTGAAATGGCGTAGGAAAGCATAAAACACTGAAATCTCGACGTCTAAGTTAAATCTTACTCCTTGGGTTCGAATATAAGTTCTTTGAAAACTCCATATGCAGCAGCACCAGCAATGCCAAGGCCTGCAAGGATGATGATGCTATAAGAAGCACCCTCGGTGAATGTGACCGGCTTCTCTGGAATGTTATAGGTTGGAGCATCAAATGGGTCCTCAACAGTGGATATTTCTTTACGAGTCTGTCAAAGAGAGAGAAATGGAAATGGTTGATCTCACATATTAAATAATATGGACGTATCTATATCAGAAGTCGTACGGACAAAGAGATGAATATAACCTAACCATGAGCTTTTCGTGTATTAGCATAAAACAAAGAAAACGGATGACAACTTGGTCTGCAGTTTTGCTACAAAATCTACAAAGCCGAATATTCCATAAGGGAACTCAAGCAAGAGTCATGGCTAATATCTATATGGATTAACATTTTTTATACTTTTGAAAGCCATGGATTAGATGGCTGATCACAACTGAAAATAATGCACTAAATAAATAAATTCTTAAGAGGTTAAAGATTATGATGATGTCGCGTATAGGATGCTAACTCAAATAAACATATCACACACCATAATGCTAGGTTCTATGTTGAGGTGAGAGCAAGGTGTTTTTTTTTTTTTTTTTTTTGCGTGACTTATAATTAATAAAAACATTTGTTGTTAGATATAGGATGCATACTCAGTGTCAAAATAAATTGGCAAAAGGCATAGAAAGGCTCACTATGCTAGCATGGAGACAATATGTCGAACCACCACTATTGCTTTTTTGTCGCAGAATAATCTTCTTCTATATCCACACATATTGTTTCAACCTTACTGGTAATTATAAAAAGGTAAGTATTGAACATTCAACGCCCAGAATTACGATGAATTGGACAGTGATAATAAAATTTTAATGATATATGGTGAGATATGATAACTAATTATCAATGTAAATATATCCGATTGAAATTTTATGTTACTATAACTGAAAATAGGCACTAAATGCAACATGATTGTATCATTTCTTCTAAAGATTCAATGAAGATATTTCAGTATCAGCTTCAATAGGAAAATTAGACACACCTCCGATTCTTTTCGCCTTTTTGACTCTGAAGATTCAGAAGTCAAGCATCTAACAAAGAAAGAATTTCTCAAATTCTGTGCGGTGCTCATGGCAAGTTGATGTGATGACGGAAAAATCAATGCATGTTGACTATTCGACTTGTCCCTGTGCAAGATGGAGTTCCCTGCCAAAGTAGTCACTGATGATGACAATAAAAAGAAATTCTACCACACACCATATGAAATATATGAAAATCAACATCCGACAAGCCTTTCCCATCCCAAACCCCAAAACTTTATTATCTTCTGAAAATAATGATAAATGTAATATGCCATTCAAGAACCAGACATCCTAAGGGAATGCATCAATCTGTCATCAAGGGACCTTCCTCAAATTGGCCTGTCAGAATTTAATAGGCTTCTCTTATGGGCGACCACAGTAACAAAATAGTAATTGATACTTTTAACGAAGATTATAAGAGTATTGGCATGTTAATTCATATTGATATATCGGACAGATAACGAAACTGGCCATACGTACGGGAAGGATAAACCGTGAATGTGTAATAGCCCCAAAATTAACTGTCTAGCACATTTAATGCAACGACTTGAAAAAGATGCTTATAAAAGAACAAATCTACTAACCGCCAGCTCGACAAGCAACCTGTTCGCAGAGAAAAGAAAATGTGTATTAGTAACAGTTTGAAAAGCATGACTAGAAAAAATACAAAAAATGAACAGCAGTGGTCGAACTTGGCCCCTTCGTGTACTATATACTAAATAATATAAAGTCAATTGTGATGACAAACCACTTCGACGACAGCATTTTATTTGCTAATTCGCTATAGTCGTACAGACTGAACACAGAATTATGCAATTCCCTTGGCTACAATCAGGTTGGAAAGAAACGATCAAATCAATCATCCTAACAATATTTTTGCAAACAAGATGATAGGTTTGCACTCCTTCCACTCATGCAAAAATCAATATTCCATTCGATACCAAAAGTATTGGGAAATTTACACACCATACAGTACCGTGTAGGAAGATATAACACAAACTCAAACTCAAACTCTAATCCAAAGAATATGGTACTCGACCTACAATAATCTAGAATGACTTTAACATCTGATTCATATACCTAGACAAAAACACTATTCTTCTGCGCATCACAAACTCGATTCTCACTTGACAAAATAGATATCAGAAGTCGTTCCTTTCCTAATTAATTACAGTAGAACTGCGTAACTAGCACCAAATAGAGTATAGTTAGCATCCTCCGCCATTTTTACACCGTACCTTTACAGAGGTGTCTATTAAACTGAAAAATAGAACAAAAAGATAAATCAATCAATCTAACATTTCGGCATACCTTTCTGGAGAAATCAATAATCCGAGATCTTTTCGCTGCCAACGACGAAAATTCAGCTACAGCATTAGACGCAGCGTTGCAACTCCCGTACTCCAATCCCTTGTGGGACGATCTCAAAACACTCAACCATATATTCCTCATTGGAACTCCACCTTTTCCAATTTTATTCATTCCGACATCAATTTATGGAAACCTTTGGCACAATTTTCACGCCTTTCCTGCTCAAGGATTCGTGTTCAACAAATGTCGATCGCCGAACCGAATAAGAAACAAAACGAAACCAAATTCTAGAATCATTAACATCTACAACACATATCTATAAGATGAATGTCTACCGATTCCTTTATGTTCAAGCTGAGGAAATCAAAAGGGAAAATTTTTTAGAACTCAGCTACACGAACTCAGCGATGTAAGATTTACGCACCACTGAAAGAAGGGTTTTGACAAAGGTCACGTGCGGCACGTGACAGCTCACATACCCATTCGGTTCCGAACCTCCGGTTCGAACCATCGGTTCTCCGGTTTTTAACGACGGTTACGGTTCGAATCGAAACCGGACCCAAACCGAAACCAAACCATCATTCCGACGGTTCGCTTTCGGTTTGTGTCTTCGCCGAACCGTGATACCGTCGGTTCAAATAGCGGGTTCACGGTTTGAACCGGCGGTTCGGTATATTTTTTTAATTTGGATTTGTCCAGACTCACCGGTTAGCAGTCACCGAAGCGAGCAGGAGGGAGGGTGAAGACGCCGGAGCCGAGCAGCACCGTGGGCGAAGAAGAAGATGAAGGAAAAGGAAGCAAAAAAGGAGGACGAAAGGAAATAATGGGGAGGAAGAAGAAGAGAGAGAAAGAAAGAACCTGTTGCAGGCGGCCGCGCGGCGTTGTGGATGTGTGTTGTAATTAGGGCACACACATAAAATAAAATAGAAATTTGGTAATATTAATAATTTAATCATAATTAAAATTATTTATAAAAATAAAAATAATTATTAATATAAAAAATAATAATAATATAATATTACTTTACATATTTATATTTTAAATTTTATAGAATATGTTTCTTTTGTTGGGTTTTAATAATATATAATTAAATATTTTGTAAATGGGATGTTAAAATAATGAAAATTTGGAATTTAAAGACAAAAAACCAACCTTATTCTTTATTACATAATTTTTAATTACTATTATAAATAATACTAGTATTTACTAATTTATTAATTTTTGATATAAATCGGTTATTTTTGAAACAGAACCGACGATTCTTAAATCTCGTTAAACCATAGTTAAAATTGTCACTCCAAATGTATAATTTCACATTTTGATAAAAAAAAAAAAAAGAAAAAAAAAGGGCCGTTTGAATAATGGGCAAGTCTATTTATACACTTCTATTTGGGCTTCTAAGCCAATTTATGCACAGATATTTATTTGGGCTCAATTGGCCCATACTGGTGTGGCCAATTTCTCAATGTAATTTTACCATGAAATCCACACTATGCTCACTGATTTGTTAATGCATTTTAGGGTATTAATGTAATCACATTTGCCGACTTAGCCGCCACTACCCAAATCGTATCGACGCGTACATAAACGGCACTGTGCAGATACGTAGTAAGGACTGTGAAACCGGAGGAAATAAAAGGAAAGGAGAAAGAGGATCAATTGCTGCCTGGCGACTGGACCTGCGTTTTGATCCGTCGCCGTTGTAAGGCACACCGGCCGGCAGTTCCTGACGCCTTTGTTGGATCGAGAAACTCCGATTCGATTTGAAGAGGTATAGCAGTTACTTGATGTGTTTTTGTGTTCTACTTCATTTGATCGAATGATTGTTGTGAGGAATACTTGATTATTTGATTGTGAAGTTTTTGTATGCGATTGAGGGCGAGGTATGTCGATTGTTTTTGTGTTCAATGAATTGTTGAAATAAGTGGTTGGGGGACGGATTTGGTGTGATTGATTGTTGGAGCTCCTTGAACTCCAACGCTGGATATGGACCTTGGCACCATTCTGGTCGGCTTCCGAAATGTGAATGGTGCTAATCGATCTGGTGTTGTGGTCATGGAGCTAGTTTGGTTGAACATGATAGTTGTGTTGTGCATTACATTTTTTGTTTTAAAATTTACAATCTGTTTTTATTTTGAAACAAATACTCTCGCTTATTTGACAATATTAATTTTTAAAAAAATATCACATTAAATATACTTTTTTTTTTCCACAAAATATCAAATTAAATACTAATATTTTTAATTTATTTTTTCAAAATTTTAAATCTCCAAAAACTCCTAACTGAACAAATCCAAGTTTTTCACTTTTCACACACACACATATATATATATATATTAGAATATAGACATGTTATATATGAGTGTACCCGTGTAGGTAGGTGTCTGTGTAGATTATATATGGATGCAATGCAAGAGAGAATATAATGCTGGAATACTATACAAAGACAGTGTAGGGATACAATGAAAACTTTTCATACAATTACTGTTAGTACTTACAATTATTTATATAAACTTTTATACAATTATTGTTAACACTTACAATTATTTATAGGCAAATAATTGTGGAAACCGTGGCAATCAACATGCCACCATGCATCCACATGTTGTGTATGTAAGCTACTATGAATAGTGTATACAACAATGCTATTATTGTACTCCCTCCAGACCAAACAAAAAGTATATATTTACTTTTGGCGCGGAGTTTAAAAAATAATAGTATTTTAATTATAGTAGGTTGGTAAAAGTAGTGTAATGATATTTTCACCCTATAAAATTAATGATGCGATGTAAAGTAGGTGGGTTATTTGTGGAAAAAATAAGGTATTTAATGAAATAATTACTTTGTAATTGAATGTAGTATACTTTCTAACTGGACGGAAGAAGTATTTTTTTTATATGATTTGTACTTTTTATTTCACTAGAGTATAAGGGAAGAACGCACTTGTCCAAACAGTTCGAACCGATTACGGTTTGAAATTATCGATTTCGATTTATCTATATCGAATCTTTCCAATGATATTTTCAATAACAATTTAAGGGTTTCAACTATTTTGACTTGAATCACTTATTTATATTAATTTTTTTTTTAAAAAATCCATTTTTTAATTTTAATTTTAATTATAGTGTTACTTTAATAAATCTTTATATTATTATGAAAAAATAGTCCGGATCGATGAACCCGGACAGATCTAAATTCATAAAATATAGTATATAATTAATAGTTAAACATACTGTTCAAATTCTATATCGGCGGTTTGAACAGTAGGGAAGGGTAACGGAAGAGTATTAAGTGCTTTGTTGTTGTTGCTTGTGTGATTTTTTTAAATATTTTTATTTTGATATATGAGTGAAATGTGTTTATACTAAAAAAAATATTAAACCTATACTTAGATTAAATAGACATTTTCAAATGTATTTATTTATTGGTTTATTTTAAAGTATTTTTTATACAAAATATAAGAAATCGATAATAATATAAATAATAATGTATGATTTTTTTAAAAGATAATTAAATATAATACATATTGAAAATTATATTGAATGTGAATAAATAGAACTTTCAAATCTTTAATAATTTAAAGTTTAATAAAATATTTGTGAAAAAGTATATATTTAATTTAATATTTATAAAAATTAGGTATAATAGAACCTAATACACAGACACACACTTACTTACAAACCTGATTAAAGTAAACACGAAGTAAAATTATATTGGGAACTTTTTATAATATTTAGAGGGGTACCAACTTCTTGAAAATTACAATTATGGTGTCATATCGGCATTCGACGCCGAATTGGATTCGGCGATGGCGGCGGCCACTCACAGGAGACGGGCAGCTTGACTGCGGTCCGGATCCAAACTATTTAACTTGATCTCTTCGCAATGCAGTTTCGTTGATCCTTTGAGGAAACCCTCTCCCTCGTTCAGCGGCTTCTCCGTTTTCTTAGAACTTGATAATGGAACTAAAGGGGAAGCCTGTCGATCAAGGGTACCGCATGCCTGCGGAATGGGAGCCACACTCCCAGTGCTGGATTGGATGGCCGGTGAGTGCAAATTTATTCTCAATATTCTCTTTGGATATATATATTTGTGTTCTCCTTACGATTTCTTATGCCTTCTCGATTTCTGTTTTTTTTTTTTTGCTTTTTTTTTTTGTTAGAGGTTAACTAAAGCTTTACTAGTTATTGTTGTGTATCTATTTATTATTTTGAATTGGGAACTGATTGATATGCTTTTCTAATTTGATTTGGTTATTTTGATCGGTGTGTTGAATCATTCTTGTAAGTAGTGAAGTATTTGGTAGTGATGATCTATAAGTAGTGAAGTATTTTGAATACGTTTCTAATCATTTTTGAGACATAGATAAACTTAACCAAGTTCAAAAAATTATAATTTTTGCCATCTTCTTAGAGCAAAATGTGTTATATTCATTGACACTCTGATTTAATACCATAACTAATTGAAATTTTTGTAGATCAATCTACAACTTTAATAAACTAAGAAAATTTAATTGATTGTTTTAAATTATATGGTAAAATCATTTGTAAATCTTTCAATAAAAAACTACTAATTGATGTCAAATATTTTTTCAAGAAAAATCAATATAACATTGACTTATTTTGCTAAGAATTTCTAATTTTTGGGCCTATTTACCAATCTCAATATATATATGTATATAGTCCCTGATGCAAACTTAATTAGACTCAATAATGTTGTGTAAGTTCTCCTCTATTATCATCATTTTCTAACTGAGTCAGCCATACTTGTAGCTTTCTGAATTATATATGTATATATATATATATATGCTGGTATATGGTTGCATATGCATTCAATGATTCTGTAAGCAGTTGAATGTGTTTAATTGTAATGATCCTTTGTTTGAGCTTAGGAACAGCTTGCAACTGGTGAGTGGTGAATTGTTGATTTTCAAATTCCTCGAAATTTATTATGCTGATGCCTGTTCATCCTTTGTCCAATGGAAGTACTAAGTTGGTGTTAAAATCTTATTAGTACCAACCTAAATTAGACACAAAAGACTAGTTGATAATGCTGTAGGTCAGTGTCGCTTTAATGATCAATTTCCATCTTTTCAGGTCATGCATATTCCTTGTTTATTGAAATATATTCAAGCTGGTATACATCTCCATATGCCTTTCTTGATCTTATAAACTTACAGCAAATTTATCATCCGTTGCTTGAGTTTAGGAAAGGCCCGACAACTGGCGAAACAATGCGGTACATGCTCAAGATGCATATGTTAATGTTGCCACTGCAATTTCTAGGTTTGAACCTGTTACTGTATGTGCCAGCAGTGCACAGGTAGAATGATCATCTCTAATTCTTCTATTTCTTATTTTTTACTTATTCTGTAAAAAAGTTTTTTGTTATTTTTAAAGTATCATTGCCACTTGGTTGACACAATATTTCTTACATCAGTGGAATAAGGCACGGAGCATGTTGCCAGAGCATATTCGGGTGGTGGAGATGAGCATGAACGATTCATGGTTCCGTGACACTGGTCCGACTGTGAGTTTTTTCATTGAAGAGTATTTTTCTTGCTGTGGAGATAATGGTTACAGAATGTCTATAATGCTTTCGCAGTTTGTTATCGGAAATTGTGAGGAGAAACAAAATAACAAGATTGCTGGGATTGATTGGAACTTCAATGGCTATGGGGGTAAGGATGCATACACGGTCGCTTTTTTTTTTTTCTTCCCCACTTATTTTGATTTATTTGAATGGGAATCTCAGACACAAGGTTTCGAAATTCGAATTAATCTTTATTTTGCTGCTGCTTCAAATAAGTTACTTCAACAATTTCAATTTTATTTTATTCTACAATATTCTCCATATTTGGGTTATCTTGAAAAGTAGGTCATTGTAAAGAAGTGTTTCATAGGTTTCCTCTTCCTTATTTAAATGGAATCCTACGATAAGAATTTTTTCCGGTTGATACAAACAAATAGACATAGCAAATTGGGTGTTATGTCAATTCGATACCCATATTAAAATATGGAATTAATCAATTAATTTCCACGTCTATGAAGAGTGTAAATAGATATTCAATAATAATGTTTGATTCTACATGTGCTATGCTTCTCTTGGCAATTCTGCCTCAAAAAAGCGACTTTTAGTAGTGTTTTTTTATGATTTCAAAGAATTCCCCATTTAGCATTGTACATGCTCGACTTGTATACATGGGTGGTTAATGATGGTGGTTTGTTTCGACTCTCCTAGGCTTGGATGGGGGCTGTTATATTGATTGGGGCCAAGATTTGCTCATTGCAAGAAAGGTTCGCCAACTGCATAAACTCTATGATGTGGAACTGCTTTTCGTGTATGTTTCTCAAGAATCTTCTTTTGTAGGTTCTGGAAATCGAGAAAACCCCGAGGTTTCCCCATTCTATGATTCTTGAAGGTGGAAGCATTCATGTAGACGGAGATGGTCTGTAAAGTTCTAATATATCAATTATCTTTATGCTTCCGAAATGTTCTAGGTATGGATTTTTGAACTTACACGAACACAACATTTTTTTCCCAGGGACTTGCCTTACAACAGAAGAGTGCCTCCTGAATAAAAACCGGAACCCCGATTTAACCAAAGAACAAATTGAAAATGAGCTCAAATCATTTCTCGGAGTCAAGAAAGTCATCTGGCTCCCTCGTGGATTGCATGGTATTTTTATCTAGTTAATTTTCTCGTATCTTAGTTTCTTGGACATATTGATAAAGTGAGTTACATTTTCACTTTTCCCAGGCGATGATGACACCAATGGACATATTGATAACATGTGCTGTTTCGCAAGGCCCGGCGTAGTGTTGTTGTCGTGGACAGACGATGAATCAGACCCACAATACGAGCGTTGTATGGAGGCCATTTCAGTTCTTACCAACACTACGGATGCTAAAGGTAGAAAATTTGAGATCTTCAAGCTTCATGTCCCGGGGCCACTTTACATGACAGTCGAAGAGGCCGAGGGAGTCTCACAGGTTAAATTTTTTAGCACTTGGTTTACTTAATCCTGTGTTACAATGTGTTGTGTAAGTGTAACAAAAGCCTCATTAATGAAACAACAGGATGGCGATGCAAAACTAAGGATCCCGGGAACTCGGCTGGCAGCTTCATATGTCAACTTCTACATTGCCAATGGAGCAATTATTGCTCCCCAATTTGGTGATAAGAAATGGGACACTGAAGCTCTCCATGTCCTGTCGTCAGCATTTCCGGGATATGAGGTTAGTCTCTCTCTCTCTTTCAATATCGAGTTATTGATTGATAGCGCGCATAAAGTATAAATAGACAGCACAATATATATGTTAGCATAGTTCAAATATAATATAAGAACTAATACTACACATAATAAAAATAGGTTATACAACTAATGCTACAATTGAATTCAACACTTACGGTATGCTCGTACAATATACCTTATAAACTATGTCAACACAACATATGATTTTAACTAACATAGCATGTGTTGCCGGTCTATTTTTTTTACTATAAAGTAAATACTTCTCTGTCTGCTTCTAAGGTCACGTACTTAATATTAAAAATATTTTTATATTTGTATAAATTTTTGTACAAATATCCTTTTAATAATATTATAAGATACTAATGGAAATTTTTTTGTAATTTTTTTTTTAATTTGTACTACGTTTGAATATAATAATTAATATTCAAAGAACAATATACAAAAAAATAGATGAGATTTTTAGGGCATCCACAACGGGAGACGCTTGTTGAGAAGCGCCTCCCACGTCATCATTTATTAAATAAAAAAAAAATTAAAACACCAATTAACATAAGGAACGGTACATTGCGAGTGTACCGTTTCTTCCAATTTTTGTGGGCCATGGTCCACTTTTTTATTCAATAAATATTAAAAATACTATTTATAATATATACTTTTTTTATTTATATTTATAATAATTTATTTTATTTAAAATATTATATTCTAATTTTGTTATATAAAATTTTATTTAATATTTATAATTTGAAATATATTTTTCAAGAAATAAAAAAATTAAATATTTAACTTTAATTATTATGCAAAGTGTGTAAATATTATTATTTTTATTTATTTTATTTATTTATGCTAAATAATTGTTTTATTTTTATTAAATATTATAAGAATAAAATATGATTGCAAAATATAATTTTATTTTATAAATATATAAAATATTTAATGATGCGGAAAAAATAGAGATATTAAAAGGTTCTTTGATGTGGATATAAAATATGATTAGAGTTCTTTGTGACGTGAAGGAGAGAGAAGCTGATGTGGCGCAGGAAAGAGAATAGAAAGAAACCCTGTATGGGTATTTGGATTGAGGATAGCCTTAGGGCATCCACAACGGGAGACGCTTGTTGAGAAGCGCCTCCCACGTCATCATTTATTAAATAAAAAAAAAATTAAAACACCAATTAACATAAGAAACGGTACATTGCGAGTGTACCGTTTCTTCCAATTTTTGTGGGTCATGGTCCACTTTTTTATTCAATAAATATTAAAAATAATATTTATAATATATACTTTTTTATTTATATTTATAATAATTTGTTTTATTAAAATATTAGATTTAAATTTATTATATGAGTTTTATTTAATATTTATTTTTTTATTAAAATAATATTGTTAATAACTATAATTTTTAATATAATATTTTTATATTAAAAAATATAAGTTTATTTTATAAATAGATAAAATATTTAATGAGGTGGAAAAAGTAAAGATTTTAAAGGGTTCTTTGATGTGAATGTAAAATATAGTTGGAGTTCTTCGTGACGTGGCGGAGAGAGAAACTGACGTGGCACAGGAGAGAGAATGGGAGGCCATCCACAACACATAAACCCATCCAGGGTTTCTTCCCATTCTCTCTCCGCCACGTCACGAAGAACTCCAACTATATTTTACATTCACATCAAAGAACCCTTTAAAATCTTTATTTTTTCCACCTCATTAAATATTTTAATTAAGTCGTGTAGGTTTGCATTTAAATTTATGAATATTTTTATGTATTTTCAATTAATATTTGTAGTGTGTATAATTTAATTAAGTCATGTAAATTTAATTTTAAATTTATGAATATTTTTATGTATTTTTATTTATTATTTGTATTGCATGTAATTTTAATTAAACAAATGTTATAATTGAATTAATAGATATTTAATTAAATATTTTACAAAAATATGCATTAAAAAGTTACATAAAATATAAAAATATTATATTAAAAATTATAGTTATTAACAATATTATTTTAATAAAAAATAAATATTAAATAAAACTCATATAATAAAATTTAAATCTAATATTTTAATAAAACAAATTATTATAAATATATATAAAAAAGTATATATTATAAATATTATTTTTAATATTTATTGAATAAAAAAGTGGACCATGGCCCACAAAAATTGGAAGAAACGGTACACTCGCAATGTACCGTTTCTTATGTTAATTGGTGTTTTAATTTTTTTTTTTATTTAATAAATGATGACGTGGGAGGCGCTTCTCAACAAGCGTCTCCCGTTGTGGATGCCCTTACAGGCGGACGAAGTTAATAGTATATAATGATTTACTGATAGTGTCAACTGAGCTAACTGATTAAAATAAGTAGTGAGGTTTTAGCCAAAGATAACTTGTAGAATTGAATTTAGTAAAATAGCTTCTTCTAGCAACAATTTTCTTCATCATATTTCCAACTAGGTAGGGGGGAAGTCTATTTTGTTCAAGTGCCATGATTATGATTTTGTACAAAACAACCATTAAAATAATTAATTTTATTTTTTATTTTTAAATTGTGGGTTGGTTTGATTAAATTAATTAATGTAGGTGGTGGGAGTTGAAGGATGTCGTGAGATAGTGCTTGGTGGGGGAAATATACACTGCATCACCCAACAGCAACCTGCTGCTGCCTCTGCCCTTCCTAATTAAAGTTAATTAATTATTTAACCAATGAAAATCATCAGAAGGAATTATGGTGTCAATTTACATTACGCACTTTTGCCATTATGCTTTAAATATTTATTGTTTATGATTGAACCCAAGTCTGGTGTTGTGTCGTTGACATCTCTTATCAAATCGTTTTCTTGGTTCCAAATGTGCTCTCTCATATCTCTAATTTTCAATTCCACATATCGGAAGACTAAATTGCTGAGAAAATAAATTACCGTGCTTGAATTCCATGCTCTTTTTTTTTTTTTTTTTCCCCAAATAATAAGAGAAAATATTAATTATTATTATAAAGTAACAGCCGTAGGATTTTGAATTTATTTAAAAACAATATATATATATATATATTTAATTTATATCCTTCAATTTTATAAATTTATTTTTTCTCACCATTAATTCATCCACTCATATTTTCAATTTATCCGAGAACGTCGTTGTCCAGTTGTGGGCGTGGCGTTGTAGTTGTATTTAAGGCGTTTGGGCCAAAGCAATGCCTACAAGAGATTTAGGCGACAAAACAAAGTCCCCATCATGACCACGAGACATGAATCTGTGAGAGACTGAGTATGCGCAATATTGCACCCCGCAAACCCTTACGTTTTCCACCTCCACGTGCTCGCTCACACAAGCTCCCACTCCTTCCCCTGCGCCATTTCAATTTCAATTTTACATTCCACATATGTGTCTTTTAAATGTTTTCATATTTTTGGGATTTTCACTATTTTTATAAATTTTTTATGAAATATCTTTTAGAATTTTTTAACTTCTATTATTTCTATTATTTTATTTTTTTTTACCAATTATAAAAAATAGTTAGATAAAAACATTTAGGGATAAAGTAAATAAATAAATAATCTAAATCATACCGTGAAAGTTAGGCCTGAACATAAACAAGTATATTAAATGAGTATGAGTATTAAATTCAACTAGATTAGTTCCATGAAATGAATCACATAAAAATTAAAAATATTTAAATAGAGTAAGTTTAGGCTTGATTGATACTAACTGACCTGAGAATTTCATCATCAAACTATGGATATGTTTAAATTTCTACAAGTTATTGAGACATATTTTCCATAATATGCACAGACGGCCGTTAGAACAATTTAATTAGTTTTAATCAACATAGGGTAATAATACACAATGTAAATAAAATAATTAAGAGTAAACTCATTTTTTAGTTGCCGTACTCCTATGTTATTTTAGTTTAGTAAGTAAATTTCTTTTGCAATTTTAGTCTTTTGCATCGGAAATGTCTACATGGCACCCGCGTAGCTCGCCGGATGACACGTGTCCGTCAGGTCAGCGATACCTGACGGACGCGTGAATTTTATTTTTAATTATTTTTTTGAAAATATTTTATTTTTACAAAAAAGACAATAAATAAATAATTTTTTTTAAAAAATAAAAAATAAAAAAATTCACATGTCCATCGAGTATAACTAACCTGAACACATGTCCTCACGCAAATGCTACGCGGATAACTAAACATACAAATTTTTTCTATTTACGATACTAGTTTGCGAGATGCTCTAATTACATAAATAAAAAATTGCTTATTAGCATAAAACAAAGGTTAAGAATATATGATAATAATACCCACAGTATGCACCATAAATGATCTAGCATAAGGCATATATTATATGAAGTGACAACACTTGACAATAAACGCATATGAATGCTCATTTAGAATTGGTTGTAACATTTAACTCAAGCTCCCAATTATATATACATATAAGGCAAAATCTTTTAATTTTGGCTCGAATTCATCTATATAACATCTTGAATTGTCGATGAAAATGCTTACCGTGGGTGATTATCAACAAGTTCTCGGAAGGATACCTATCGGCAAGAGTCTTGATCACTTCTACATATCTTGCCCTTGCAACCTTCGCCGTCTCCTCCCATCGAGGCAACTATGTAAATATACATATATAGTCGTAAATCGATAATGCTGTTTTTAGCCATGGAACATTCTAATTGCTAAATAAACACACAAATGCATATACCTCCTTGTACACTGATTCAGCAGTTCTATCCACAGTGCCGTCTGGTAAGACAGCTTCACATTTGAAGATGTCAAAACTGAACTTCCCATCTTTGGGAGCCACGGTGGTTCTGATAGCTCGGGAGTTCATCATCTCCGACAATCCATATTCAACTGAAACCTGAATCTTATGTAGAAGAGGTATAGACATTAATTTAAGGTATGAAATTCAGAGCATATATCTTAATGAGCTGTGCGGATTGAACAATTGGATATGCTAATGTTTCTATATAAAATTAAGTTCTAATTTAGTGATAGTGAAGTTTTGGTGTGATACAGAATCCTATCCTTTCCTACTAGCTTTTTGATCCATGAAATTTATACTGTAACATGAAAGAAGAATTGCAGTATTTAGATGAGACCTGTTTTGATTATTGGAATAGCTCAAACAAACTTCACAAACAAAAGTTGATAGCTATATCATCACTAATCTGCATTGCTTGTAAACGCAAACACATAAATCATATCGCAAAAACCTTCGAGATTATATATAATATTGGAATGGAATATTTGCATCTGATCTTCCATGTAAGTGTGAAATTTGTAGATCAATCGTTTAACAAATGATAAATTCAGCTATTCGAAGCAAATCCAGGAGCAGATACAATTTCAATTACATGATTAAGCAACATTGAGGAAAAGTATGTTAGTGTGCATATACGCTTACCTTGACTTTGGAAGGATCAAAATCGACGCCGCCGTTGGAATTGGAGCAATCTGCGACGCCGACGCCGCCGCACAAGGCGGCGACGACTTCCGCGGCGGTCTCCAAGCATCGGAGAAAAGGCGACACAAAAACTCGATGTATCGGAAAACCTAGCTCCTCTCGGAACTTCTCCCCCGTCCGGAAGGCTCGGACCTTGCCGGCGCCGTCGAGCGGCGGATCCCAGGGACGCGGCGCCGACGCCGCCCAATCAGGCACGGCGTTGTCCATCCTATCGCCGTGACGCATTACGACGACGTTCTGACGGAATCTCGGGTGGGTGGAGGCTTCAATGGAGTCCATGGGCAGGCCTCTGGGTGGGTCACGTGTTTCTGTAACAAGACAGAAGAGAGGTGGTATTTATAGGAAAAAATATGGCGGGGAGAGCTGTAATTGGATAGCAGAGAAGAGAAGAGGAAAGATCGTGTGCGGCTGCAATACGTCTGCACTGAAGGAGCTCATTTCTTTTGAAAAGTATATCCATTTATATTTATTATTTTTATATATATATTTTTTGTATTAATATATGTATATTATATTTTTTAAAATAATATTTATAAATATCATTTATAAAAAACACCAAATGAACAAATTTAATATAATATATTCTTTTTCAAAAATAAAAAAAAAAAACGAAATTACAAACAAATACGTACCATCGATACCCTTCCGATTAAATGATTTAACGAGGAGTAAAATTGTCTGGTCTTGGTAAATTATTATAACAATAATTACTAGTTTTGCTGTTTTTTTTTTTTTTTTAATTGTTATATATAAGAATTTCTTTCTAAGTGGAACAACACCATGATAAATAAATAATACTAGTAGTCCCTTGAGGGACGATCTGGTAGTATAGAATTAGACGTGTGATCGTGAAAGACGCCTTAGGTCAACCTAATTTGCATGGTATTATTATTTTTTCATAATAAAATTCTTAGTTCATATCCACATAGATAATAAAAAAATGTAACAAAGCTAAAATATATATATATATATCAGTAAGAAAAAGCAATAATATGCATTTGAAATATATATATTTGTTATGATGGAAAAATCTATTTGCATTTTAAAAAGATTGATTCCAAATAATAGTAATAATAATAATAATATTATGAACAGTGGCTCAAATTTTTATTTTTTATTTTATCATTATTTCTCTTTAGGTACAGTGTACGATAACCAAAATGTAGAATAAATTGTGAGTTCTTGAATGCACTGAACCAAACTGGTTTTTTGGAGTTGGATTTTATTGAAAGCTTGCCCATGTGAGTCACCCTTTTTAATAACATTATATAGTAATTAGATTTTGTTTTTAAATTTATTTTTTAAGAGAAATGTATATTTTATTTTTTTATTTGGATGATGTGAGGATTAAATATAATTAATTATTTTTTATTTTATAAATATTGTAGGGTGTTTGAAACATAATAAAAAAAAATAAAAATAAAAAAAATGTGCAGACAGAGGGAGTAATACTCATGTTTTGTACATATTCCAATTTCTTAATTACTTTATCAAAGAAACAAGACAAATCAAAGGTCACATGCTTATTCAAATTTTGGAGTTAAATTGGAGAGTGCTGAATGAGGTTGTTGCCTTTTAAGAATATTAAGCTGCTTTTTTTTTTTTTTTTTTTTTTTCAACTAGAGCCGACAATGAGTCGATTTGTGTCGGATTGAATACTTTAAACGGATTAAATTGCTCAATTCTAACTTGATTTGTTTATTATCGTGTCGGGTTCGGTTGACTCGTGTTGACCTGTATACATGATTAAGTCTAATTTCTTGATTCAAATTAAATAATTTTTTATTTTGTTGTCGTGCTATGTTAGTTTTTATTGGTATGAGCGTAAACTAGGTTGAATTATTTAAAATTGAACTTAGTTTAAATTAATTTATGAAAAAATTATTAAATTATGATTATTATATATATAATAAATATATTAATCAATATTAATATATTATAATCGGGTTGTCGTGTCGGGTTCGAGTTGAGAGCCTCAATCCTAACCCGACCTGTTTATTATTGTGTCGGGTTCGTGTCAACCTGTATACATAATCGAATTGAAATATTTGACACAAACCCAATTATTTCGTGTAGGGTAACTTTTTGTTAGCTCTATATTCAACTAGAGGATTTTATTATTTTTTAATTATAAAAATTGTCAATTATAACTATTTAATATAGTATAAATAAATATATATATATATATATTTATTTATTTACTTCATTAGCTGTCTCGGCTACAACCACCGGCGGTTTCACAGTCGGCCATCCGCGGCCGGTGGCGGAGATTTTGAGGGAGGGCAGCGGAAATGATATTCTTCAAAGTTTTCAATAAAAAAAATTCTAACACCAAAAAAATATTTTATAGTAAATGATGTTAATGTCAAATTCACAACCACGATATAAATTATTTAATGTATCATCATAATTTAAATATTAGGAGGAGAGATTAAAAATATAACATCAGTTAAAATAAATTGATTAAAATTTAAAATTAGATTTTAGAATTAAATCTCTAGCCCAAGAAATAAACGGAAAAAACTAGATTAAAGATTCAATCATTGATTTAGAATAATCTCATTTATCAATAAATAATGGATTATAGATTTTAAATATAATTATAAATGTCCATTTCTTTTCTTACTTTGTTTGTGGTAATAGTACAACAAATTAACCACATTTATATTCGAATAAATAAAATATGTACAATTCTAGAATAATTTTTTTTAATTGAAATTATCATGAGAAAAACTCAATTTGAATACTCACTCAATTACGAAAAGATTTATATATCTAATCATGCAATTTGTAGACCAAATTATTTACCATTTCATAAAATAAATACATAATTACGGATGAAAATGTTCAATTGAAACACAATTGCTTAATTTAGAATTCGACCATAATAAATGATTAAATAAAATAATTATAAATATGAATTGTCAAAATTGCACAAATATTAATTTAACAATAACATTTAATTCATACCAGAAGATATTACCATTGTAAATTTAAATTTTGAGTTTGAGTGCTCTTAAAAATATTAAATCTCAATCACCAACAATTCCATTTAATTCACAATAAATTTGTTGTACTATATGTTAGTATGAAATTTTTATTTTATTTTTGCCGATTATGAAGTTTTGTTACATGTATGTTGTGACTCAATTTATATTGAATTAATGGATTAATTTTATTTGGTGAATTTTACTTTTGAATTTGGATATTCATAAGTATATTGTTATTTGAATAAACAAAAGAAAAAAAAATTCAAAAATTTGAAGGTTGTATTTTATTTGTTATTCCATCGGAGATTCGCTTTCTTTAGTCAGTTTTGCAAGGATATTATTCATCTCAAATTAAAATTCGTCCATAAATTTTGCGACAGATTTTCGGTCGTTAGATTTTGTGATGACTATATTTGTGATGGATACGTCATTCATCACAAAATCCATTGCAAACGTCATTTAGACAAAAAAATACGATTTTTTTTTTTTACTTATTCAATATTTTTACTATACAATTCTCTCTCTATATATATTTAAGATTTATTTTCCATGGCTTTTTTCTTTTTTTATTTATAATCTTTTTATTTTTTTCAAAAAATAATATATCCAATATTTTTTTTTTTTTTTTTTGCAAATATATCAAATTAAATAATTAATTTACTTAAAAATATTACAAATCTTTGGCAAACAGCTACTATACTCATGGATTTGAATAATCAATTCTGGACATTTTTATATTTGTTTACTAGCCTTGTGAATTTGGAATTTAATTTTAAATTTTATCATATAATTATTATAATATCTTTTAAATATATATTATATAATTTCATATAGCAAAATATCACATTCAAATTATTACTTAAATAAAAAAAATTAAAATTAAAATACAAAACAAAACAAAACTCCAAAAGATAATAGCATTACACATTTATTTACATATTATTCTAATTATGTGCCAAAAGCATATAAAACTCTTATAGATGTATATTTCTTAATTTTATTTTTAAAACACCGTACTTTTAAAAAATACTCTTATTTCCTATTGTTATTATATTATTATTCTTGATAATTTAAGAGGGTTTATTAGAGGGTTTTTAGTTAAAAAATGTATAATTTGTAAACAAAATTCCTCAAAATTTTAAATATTAAAATAAAAATTTATTTTCTATTTTTATATTATATTAAAATTAAATTTTATGTTAAAAATATCACATTAATATTTATTTATACTTCGTCCCGGTCAGATAGACCACTTTAGTTAGGGACACAATATTTTAGGCGTTGTAGAATAGTAAATTAATAATAATAAGTTATGATATTATTTTATTATTATTTTTATATAAATAGTATGGTTGATAATTTAAATATATTTAACATTATATTTCAATAAAATATATATAATATGGATATAATTTTGTAGATAACAATTTTTTTTATATAATACCAAAAAACTCTTTAAAATTTTTAGTATTATTTTCATATATATTCCTATTTATTTCCATTAATATCTATTTTCTATTATAATAAAAATAATTATATATTAATACTCAAATACTCGTTAATTTTTACATAAATTACAAACATACTATTTATACATACAATTAACTTACACATAATTACAAAAAAAAAATAAAAAAAAAATTATTTTACATATTTTTATTAAATAATAAAATATTATTATTTTTTAATCAATTACAAAACTTCTAGCATTTTGAATTGAAAAATAAATAAATAAATATATTTTTATTGTGTATGAAATACATGATTGTAAGTAGAATTAAAAAGAGAACACAAACAAATCCGAAGAAAAACCTCAAATGCCAAAACATACATCGCAATATATATACAAAAAATATATATATCTATATATACTATTCTATGACGTGCCGTGTAATGCAAGCGCACTGGAATGTATATAATTGTACGTATGTGTGTATATATATATATATTTGTATGTATTCATGGAAGCTTCGGAGAGCGAGACAAGATAAAGACAAAATACATGTGTGTTATATAAAATTGGCTGTTTTTTTTTTTTTTTTTAGTTGGATTTCGAATTTAGAATAAAATTTTGAAATTAGATAATTTTTTTATATAATATAAGTAATTATTGATATAATATTTTGAATGAAAAATAATTTTTACTATAATAAAAAAATAGTATTATATTATTTTGTAATTTTGAATTGAAACCAACATTATTTATAATTTTTTAAAAAATACATTATTTTTTCTTATAAAATATTATATTTAAATATTATTTTAAAAAAATATCTAATTTCAATCAATTTCAAACCATAAATTTGACTTTAAAACCTATGGACAAATGGGACCAGTGTTTTCAAATAGCAATTATATTGCTAGTTATTGAAAAAAATAAAAATATATTGGAAATTGTTAGGTT